TAGGCTTAGGCTTCTAGGCTTAGGCTTCTAGGCTTAGGCTTCTAGGCTTAGGCTTCTAGGCTTAGGCTTCTAGGCTTAGGCTTCTAGGCTTAGGCTTCTAGGCTTAGGCTTCTAGGCTTAGGCTTCTAGGCTTAGGCTTCTAGGCTTAGGCTTCTAGGCTTAGGCTTCTAGGCTTAGGCTTCTAGGCTTAGGCTTCTAGGCTTAGGCTTCTAGGCTTAGGCTTCTAGGCTTAGGCTTCTAGGCTTAGGCTTCTAGGCTTAGGCTTCTAGGCTTAGGCTTAGGCTTCTAGGCTTAGGCTTCTAGGCTTAGGCTTCTAGGCTTAGGCTTCTAGGCTTAGGCTTCTAGGCTTAGGCTTCTAGGCTTAGGCTTCTAGGCTTAGGCTTCTAGGCTTAGGCTTCTAGGCTTAGGCTTCTAGGCTTAGGCTTCTAGGCTTAGGCTTCTAGGCTTAGGCTTCTAGGCTTAGGCTTCTAGGCTTAGGCTTCTAGGCTTAGGCTTCTAGGCTTAGGCTTCTAGGCTTAGGCTTCTAGGCTTAGGCTTCTAGGCTTAGGCTTCTAGGCTTAGGCTTCTAGGCTTAGGCTTCTAGGCTTAGGCTTCTAGGCTTAGGCTTCTAGGCTTAGGCTTCTAGGCTTAGGCTTCTAGGCTTAGGCTTCTAGGCTTAGGCTTCTAGGCTTAGGCTTCTAGGCTTAGGCTTCTAGGCTTAGGCTTCTAGGCTTAGGCTTCTAGGCTTAGGCTTCTAGGCTTAGGCTTCTAGGCTTAGGCTTCTAGGCTTAGGCTTCTAGGCTTAGGCTTCTAGGCTTAGGCTTCTAGGCTTAGGCTTCTAGGCTTAGGCTTCTAGGCTTAGGCTTCTGCTTCTAAGATTAAAATTCTGAGCTTCTAGGGTTAACTTTCTGAACTTGTTTTTTAATGTTTTATCTCATAGGCTTAAATTTAGGCTTCTAAAGTTAAGCTTTAAAGCTTTTAGGCGTAGGCTTATACTTTAAAGTTAAACGGCTGAAGCTTCTAAAGCTAACCTTCTACGATTTAGTTTATGGGCTAAGGTTTAAACTTTTAGGCTTCTAAAGTTATACTTGAAATGAATCTTTAAGTACATACTTTTAAACCACTAGGCTTATTTTTTTAAGCTAGTACACATCTTTAGAAAAGCAATTCTAATCTTTCAAAAAATTAAAAAATGGCTTAAAAACCCAAAAAATTTAGGCTTGTAAATCTCAAAAACCTAGATTAAATTTAGCCCAACAAAAGCCTAGATTTAGCCCATCTTTTTTCCCAACTTCTAAAATTACAAAAGTCAATTTTCGCACGTTAATTTGAAAAAGAAAAGGCAACAAAAGTTAAAGTTGATTAAGTAAACAGATTTTGCAACACTGCAAACGTAAAACTCCAAAAATCATTTTTATTTCAAAAATTAATCATGATTTTGATTTTTTAATTAAAAAACGTACAACAACTTACAGTGTTTATACAGTTGAACAACCAATTTTGATCTGCTTAATCGTTAATTAGATTTGTCGTAATGAAAAAAGTGTGGAAAATGGGAAAAGTAGGGTGTTGGGTAGTGTAGAGTTGGCTAGGGTAGGCAAGACAACGCAAGGGTTGAAAATTTGTTGAACATATATAGAGGAAGGTTAAGAGAAAAATAACGTGGCTATTGTAGAGTAGGTCATGGTAGATTTAGCGGTGAGAAACGGGCCGGGCCCACCTTTTAGGATCGGCCCATCTTAATGTTAGCTCAAGCAACCCGTTTCTCACTCCTAGGTACGTTTTGGTAGGAAAGGCAAGGCTAGGGCTGGGGCTGGAGCTAGGCTGAACTAGGGTTGGGGTGAAGAGAGAAAGAGCGGGGGGGGGGTGGGATGGGGCTAGAGCTGTGAGCTTGCGCTCTGGGCTAGGGCTCTGGGCTAGGGCTCTGGGCTAGGGCTCTGGGCTAGGGCACAAAAGCAAAAGCTAAGACTAGAACTGGAGCAAAAGCTAGGTCTAGAGCTAAGGCTAGGACTAGGGCTAGGCTTCCAAACAATAACAATGAAAATAATTCCCCCCGCCAAAATTAAAATACAAAAAAATGAAATTAATAACTCAATATAAAGCTCACATAGCTTGTAAATAAATTAAAAAGACGAAACAGCCTATCTTTTCGGAAAAACCAGACCAAAACGTCAAAAAACCCCCCGGCTGGCTTCAAAGAACTCCACGAATAGTACGAGGTTTAGAACAAGATCTAGGACTGAGGCTACACCTAGATTAAAGGCTAGGGCCCTGGGCTCTGAGCTAGGGCTCTGAGCTAGGACTCTGGGCTAGGGCTCTGGGCTAGGGCTCTGGGCTAGGGCTCTGGGCTAGAGTTCTGAGCTAAGACTCTGGGCCAGGGCTCTGGGCTAGGGCTCTGGGCTAGGGCTCTGGGCTAGGGCTCTGGGCTAGGGCTAGGGCTAGGGCTCTGGGCTCTGGGCTAGGGCTCTGGGCTAGGGCTCTGGGCTCTGGGCTCTGGGCTAGGGCTCTGGGCTAGGGCTCTGGGCTAGGGCTCTGGGCTCTGGGCTCTGGGCTCTGGGCTCTGGGCTCTGGGCTAGGGCTCTGGGCTAGGGCTCTGGGCTAGGGCTCTGGGCTAGGGCTCTGAGCTAGGACTCTGGGCTAGGGCTCTGGGCTAGGGCTCTGGGCTAGGGCTCTGGGCTAGAGTTCTGAGCTAAGACTCTGGGCCAGGGCTCTGGGCTAGGGCTCTGGGCTAGGGCTCTGAGCTAGGGCTCTGGGCTAGGGAAAGACTCGTGCTAGGGTATAGTCAGAGCAAGGAAACGGTAGCACCAGCTTAAAGCTTTTTTTTAAACCATGACATGCCCCTAACAATAACAATAAAAAACTGAAACTAAAAATCCCAAAACGTAATCCCTTTACTATGACAATCGTTTTTTTACCAGTCATCCTTTTCTTTTTTGCCTCAAAAACGATTGCGATAAACATACAAGTTCAACGTCACTTGGTCGGTTTTAAACAGATTTTCGAAAAAATAGACTTTTGACGTTCCCACTCATAATAACACTTGACTCTGAGGTTATTTTTAAACTTTTAAAATGGATTTTAGGGGGATTTAAAGGTTGAAAGCATAGCAAGTAGGTAAAATGGCAAGAACTTTCTTTACAAAACATAAAATGGCAAGAACTTTCTTTACAAAACAAAAATGCAAGAACTTTCTTTACAAAACATAAAATGGCAAGAACTTTCTTTACAAAACATAAAATGGCAAGAACTTTTTTTACAAAGCAAAAAATGGCAAGAACTTTCTTTACAAAACAAAAAATAGCAAGAACTTTTTTTTTACAAAAAAATCTAAAAATTATTTTTTTTATTTTAATATATTTTTAAAAATATTCATAAAAATTTTTCCTTCCAAAAATAACCCTCATTTCACCACTTTTGTGTGGAAAAAATTTGTTTAACCAACATTACAACAAAAGGTTTACTCACAAAGTGCTTAAATCTTTATGATTCACTTTGAATTTTATTCTTTTGTGTTTAAAAGACAGATTTTTGAGTAAACATGAGGTTTGAACATTTTTAGATAGCAAAAAGTTTTTTTATATAAAGTTTTGTGTCCTCGCTACACCAGCCCGTGGCCAAGCCTTGTTCTTGCTCTGTCTTGGCCTGACGACCCCGCCTTACAATCTCCTTGCTCTAGAACTACCCAGAACTACTCTACAACAGATCTACCTGACTCTAAAACTACCTTCTCTTAAAGCTACCCTATATTTACTCAAGCTCTATACTAGCCTTTCCCTAGCAATTTTGACAAATAGTCTTATCAAAAATTGAAATTTCGCTTATAAAAACAGAATTTAAAAAATTTCGCTTTTCAACACACGCCTCCTCCTCATTCATCTTTCTCGGCTCTTCTTGGCCATAAGAAATTCGAATTACATTGAATTTGGCAAAACAAAGAAAAAGCGTCAAAACAAAAAAGAAATCTACTGAAGAGCGGCCCAAAGATTTATAAATGAAACTTTATTTTCTGTTTGTTTTAAGAGGGTGCACAGAATTAAGTGAACGGCGTAATGTATCACGCATGGAGAATCAGAAGGTCGGGGGTCTACCCTGTCCAGTCTCACAACTACCCTACCCTACCCTACCCTACCCTACCCTACCCTACCCTACCCTACCCTACCCTACCCTACTCTAACCTACCCTATCCTATCCTACCCTATATCTTACTTTACATTGACATTACCTTACAATTACTTTTGCTCTAGCCATGCCCATAAAAAACGTTACCCGCGGCCTACCTTTGGCATGCCCTCTCCTTACTATACCCTTACGTTACAAATTGTTAGCTCTACCTTACTCTAGCCTACTTCAGCCTAACCTACGTTTTCTACTTACTTTAGGTAACAAATTAAAAAATTAAAATTTTAACTTAAAAAAATTTAGGTAACTGGTTCTAGGATATAAACAAAAAACCTCGACTATAGATACCTATTTCCCTCAAAAACCCATCATACCAATCACCAATAACTAAAGTCGAAAAAATCTTTGCAAAAACAAAAAATTTAATTGCTACAGACAAATTTGGCGCCTTTTATCAGTGCATTCCATTTCGATTAGCATTCGAATTGAAGGGTTCAGTTACGAAATCTTGTTTTAACACTACTAATTATAACATTTTACCTTGAAACATGTGACTCATTACTGTGGAATCAAATTGAAGTCACCGGAAATTAAAAAAAAATTGAAAAAAAATATTTATTTACTTTACATTCTTCAAGCGTCTACAATTACAACTCGAGAGATATATTGGGCTCCTGTATAACGAATTGCTCGGGGACTCGAAATTTGTTCGTTATACAGGAGTTCCACTGTAGTTTTATTTAGTTTACATTCTTTAAGCGTCTACATTTACAACTCGGGGATATATATTAGATGAAATGATTTTTGACGCCGTAGATTTATTTTTTTATCTATTTATTTAATTACTATATGAACCTAGAATCAATAATGAAGTACACATAGAATTAACAATTACTAGAAATTCATACATGACAATACTCATTGATCTCCACGGTGTAGTCACTAAGGGCCTCGTTCCATCTCATCTCATCAGCATCCATCCAGTCAATAGTTATCCGTTTACGAAGTTCATCGTCCCATCTTGTTCTCGGTCTTCCTGCTGGTCTTCTACCATCGGGGGTCCATTTTAAAACCTTTTTCTCCCAGGTCTTGTCGTCCAGGTCTCTCAGCTTTCTGGCAAATGCCCATTTCTTCGCTACGGCTTTGACCACTATCTCGCTCAAGCCTGTCCATCCTCTGATTCTTTTACTTCTGGTTCCTTGTCCCAGTTTCACTCCGACCATCATTCTTTCCATCTTCTTTTGTCCTCTGCTGAGTATCGCACATCCGAACCCTTCAATTCAGACGCCATGCCGAACCAGCTTGGGTTGCAACCAGGGCCGGGCGCTGGGGGGGGGGTACACCGGTGGCGGACCCTTTCCCATAAAAATTTTACCGGTAATTTACCGAAAATTTCGGTTTTTTACCGGTAAAAAAGTGTTTTGTGTCCTAGCACAAAAATTATTTTTGTTTCAAAATTTGTTTTTGTTTTGGAAAATTAGCAATATTTTGACGAAATATGTTGAAAAATATCACAGACCGTTACAAAAGAACAAATAATGACTACTTTTGCAATTATTATGGTCCAAAATACGTCAGTAACCTTACAAGACTGTAGCAACATCTTCTGCCAACAACTCACAGGGACGGAAAATTCGATTTTTAAACTTTCTTGTTGATTTTTGATACTTTATGTATAGGTCCGTAATTATTTAGCGAAACAATTGCACTAAGATATCTTCAAATGATCAAGAACAGGTCGTGCAATTTTATGAGCAAAAATGCGGAAAACAAAAGATTCCATCGAACCAAGCAGAGTCTAGTGGACAATGGTCATCCAATCATCTATGACTAGCTATGTCGACATAACATATACCAGTAGGGAAAAAGAAGTGGACAGAGCTATTGGACTTATAAGTTGTTCTTTAAAGTATAAGAGTGAAATACTTACTATTTTATTGTTTTTGTTGTTTTAAAACGCTTATTAAACGTTTTAATGACATTTTAAAGTTTTTAAAGACCAAATAATAATCCGGTAAATTTACCGGTAAAAACCGGCAAAATTTTTACCGAAAAATCAATTTACCTGTAAATGTCCAACCCTACTTGGTCCCCCCTATAGATTTTTTCGATCCCCTCCCCCAGAACAGAACTCCCCGCCCGGCCCTGGTTGGAATGAAAGTTTTGCACTTGAGCAAAGCATAAAACAAATTTTATGTTAAAGCTACTAGTATCTTAAATATAAGATTAAACCATGTTCGATTCTTGGGCAGAACGGGTCTTAAGCTACTTTTCCTGATATCAGATCGTAGATAAAGTCTTTAATTTTAAAATAAATAATTAATTTTGATGTTTTCTGCGCGTTATCTATATGCAAGATATAACATAAAAGTATAACTTACGTATTAATTTTTTTTAAATAACGTTTACTCTAATTTTTGCTGTAATTAGACTTAAAATGGTTGTACAAATTAAAACTGTACAACATTCTCTGTTTATAATATGTTTAATTGTGATAACAATTTGGATTTATACGGTAAGATTTTTTTGTAATTAAATTCGTTCACCGGTATCGGTGACAGCTGTTTTAAAATACAATACTATAACTGTTTTATAAATAAAGGCTCGTATAAAGAGCCGCTTTAAAATCACCGGTGAGCCTGAAAAAATTTGCTTCGACTCGAGCCTGACCGGACCACTATGCCCGGCCAGGCTCGAGTCGAAGTTGTAGCATGGTACTAAATAGTACTAAAATTTAAATTTGTACGGTTTAACAGATAACAGTACCAATTTTTAAGAGGGGGGAGAGACTTAGTTGTAGCATGGTACTAAATAGTACTAAAGTATAAATTTTTTACGGTTTTAACAAATAACAGTACCAATTTGGGCTTTTAATACCAAAATATATAAAAACAAAACCAATTTAAAATTTAGTACTATTTTAGCACCAAAAAATATTAAAACAGTACCAATTTAAAATTTAGTACTATTTAGCACCAAAAAATATTAAAACAGTACTAATTTACAGTTTAGTACTATTTAGCACCATACTACGAAACTAATTAAAAAATAAAAAAAAACCTTTAAAAAGCCGCAAATATCCAATATCTGCATGTGTCCAAAAACCGGATTTGTCCTAGCGCCAAACCTCTCTCTAACAATTACTGACTGTTTAGTACATTAAGTTATATTGACTCTTCTTTAGATGCGCTACCACAAAGAAAAAGATGTTGTTGAACTATATATTGAATCTGCACACCTGACAAACTACTATAAGGATAGTTAATTACTTTCAATTAAAACGGTTTTTATTTTGCCCCTGGAACCCCCCCCTCCAAGAAAATTTTTTTTTGAAAAAAAAGTTGAACGTGGTCCCACCCTGTGGATTTTTGGGAAAATTCTTTCGGCTCCCACCCCAAAACAAAGATCCTCGTCCGGTTCTGTTTACCATCTGTTTTCTAGTACAACAGCACCATACTCAGTCATTTTTAATGTAATGGCGCAAAATGCACCAAATGGCCGGTACCGACATCACAAAGAATATATGCCGTTACATTGTGTTAGTGATACGAATGAGGAATCTGAAACTTCGATCCGGCAAACTGATAATCACGGAACTTGTTTTTGGAGAAACTATTTTATACAATGTGATTTCAAAAGTGCTGTACGGAGCGTGCGCCTCGTTGATAACACTGGTTATGGGCCAAAGGTAAGAACTTGCGATCGTTACATACTAACAAGGAAAGTACCCGACCTGCCCCGCTCTGATTGACTTCAAACTTTTTATATAGAAAGATCATGTTAATATAAGATCTTCAGCAGAGTACTAAATCGCGCTTTCCAGGAAATCTCGAGAAAAGCGAGATCAAAAGCTGTGTTTTGAATTTCCCGCCAAATTGGCATTGTGTTTCAAGCTTGTAGCTTTGTCATTTTTTTTACTGTTAATTATTTTTCTTTGATATACTAGTAGAAAGGCTTTAAATGAACCTACATTTTTAAATTTGTAAGCGAGCTCGGCTGGAAAGACGAAAAAAGTGCTTGCAACACAATGCCAAAGTTGCCAAATTGGCGGGAAATTTAAATATATTAATTTTAAAACTTAAAACCGCAAGCTAAAATTTTTTATGGATACTATTGAAAATACAAGGAATTCATATAAAAAATTTGAGCTGATTCTGAGCGGGGAGGTAGGGCACTTTGCTTGTTAGCTTCAAGCTCGCAAAACAAAAGTAAAAGTTTTTTTGATTATTGACTTTCTATTGTACATACAGATTGTTATTCAAGCAAACTTTAATCTGTAGTTTAGAGGTAGTTTTGTAAACCAATTGTACCATTACAACTGTAGTTATGTTACAGATTCCAGTGGTTCAACCGCGTTCCAAAAAAATTGGGTTAGTTGCTTGTCTCTCAAGAATGTTTTATTACGACAACTGGCAAACTGCTATCGCCGTTTTAGAAATGTACCATGCAATGGGTGTAAATGAACTTAACATTTATGTTATCAACGTCATTACGGAGTTATATAACGTACTTAAACTGTATGAAAAAGAGATCAGTTTAAACTTACATCCTGGCACATTGTTGCCAAAAATTGTGAGTAATTAGAAAATTTAAATAAGTTGAACTTTTCTTACAAGGAAAGTACCCAACCTGCAACTCTCAGAATTAGCTCAAAATTTTTACATTGATTCTTTGTAGTACCAATAGCACATATAAAAAATTTTAGCTTGCGGTTTTAAGTTTTAAAATTAATATATTTAAATTTCCCGTTAATTTGGCAACTTTGGCATTGTGTTGCAAGCACTTTTTTTGATGTTCCAGATAAGATAGACTTACAAATTTAAAATTGTAGGTTTATTTGAAGTTTTTCTAACATTATATTAAATAAAATTTGTCAAAAGTCAAAAATTGACAAAGTTAAAAGCTTGAAACACTATGCCAATTTGGAGAGAAATTCAAAACGCGATTTTTCGACCTTGATTTTCTCAACAGTGACCGCAAACCGCAACTTAGAATTTTGCATAAGATCTTACATTTACATGATCTTTTGATAAAAAAAATATGAACAAAATCTGAGCGTTGCAGGTCGGGTACCTTCCTTGTTAATACGTAATATTTATAAAAAGTACAGAGTGCGCCAAAAGTTCTGTTACATGGTTTTTTAATCAAATATTTATTTTAACAACAAATATAACTAAAATAACAACTAACAATAGTAACATACAGTACTAGTTATAACATAGTCAATCGGATTCGAAGTGTCTTCATTTGCAGATTGGCACAAGCGCAAACGCTTCTAAAAGTTTTCAGCAATAGAGAAGCTTTGTAACAGAACTTTTGGCGCACTCGTACTTTTTATCACGCAGTAGGTGTTTTGCCCTAGCATTAGCTAAAGCCAAGACTAAAATTTAGTTTTAGTCTTGGCTTTAGTTTTGGCTTGAAAATTAACTTTAGTCTTAGCCTAGGCCTATTTTTACACGCAATATAGGTAAACAATATATGCAAATACAGTCAGGTTACGATGCGAACGGTTACACTGAAGCCATGAATCAACTGATTTGCTACAACGAGTGTTATTTGGATCATCGTGAATCTGCCGAATTCATATTGTTTTCCGATTTGGACGAAGTTATCACTTCTGTTAACGGAAATCTGCTCAAAACGGTGCGAATATTGTTCAACCAAATACCATCAGTAGCAGGATTTGGATTCACATGGAAGACCTCGTCTTACATTAAAGGTAAGTTGCACTGTTGTGTAATACTTATTGTTAGTAAGTATTACAGTTAGTTACTGTTTTTTAATACTTACCGTTATTTCTTTATTTTTTACAGTGTGCGCCAAAAGTCCTGTTACACGGTTTTTTAATCAAATATTTATTTTAAAAACAAATATAACTAAAAAAACAACTAACAATAATAAAATATAATACTAGTTATAACATAGTCAATCGGTTTCGATGGTGCCCCATTGACGGCTTAGTACAAGCGCAAACGCTTCTAAAAGTTTTCAGCAATGAAGAAGTTTTGTAACAAATCTTTTGGCGCAACTTGTAATAATTAAATAAGTTTCCATATTTAGTTGATACCGTGAACGAATACTCTGTCGGTAGAATGTTTAATGGTCTTCGTGTTTGGAGAAACGAAAGTTACGTTAAATCCATTATAGTGCCGAAAAGAGTAGGCTTTAGCATTGTGCACGATGTTGAAGGAATGATTTATCAGGGTCGTGAAGTCAAACATGTTAAATTGCCTCTTGAAGAGGGCTACACAGTGCACTTACGTGCAGAAGCACAAATGACGAAACATAAAGGTATTGATCTTATTGATGCCAACATATTGGCTGAAACGCAAATTAACGAATATAGGAAGCTGAACAATAAAAAGGAGGTAAGACATAGCGGAGAAGACTTAAACAACATCGACAACAAAAGCACTGGTGATACGCTTCATGAGGTTGATAATTCACAAAATCTGGCCAGCACGACGGTTCCATCAAAGGAAGTACATACTATTCAGAAAATTTTAAAAAAAGCTTTACAAGGTGACGCTAAATTAATGCCACTAAACGCGCTAGCGACAGCAACCTACAATCTAAAAAAGCGGTTACAAAACGTTTCATTTTACGACAGTTTCAAGATGTTACCTAAAACGCTTTTTTTCATCTCACAATTCAAACAATGCTATAAAGACCTGCCTCATGAGAAGGGTTGTGCAAGTCTGAACAATTGCATTATTGACTATACAGACAGTCCACGCTGTCACGTTCTAACTTCTGAATATATTAGTTACAAGACTCAAAAAGTCAACAAGTATACACCGTACAACAAGAAGGTTCTCGAAAAAGAAACTTGCAAACTAGATGTAAAAGCGGCCGAGTACATGAATCAGTCGCTGTTTAGACAAATCCTAAAATGGTGGGCAGTAGTTCCAGTAGTAGCACTAATAGCTGCGTTGTTATGGAGTTTTTTCAACAGTTTTTGTCACAGCACTAAAAACTACGAAGAATTAGTTCCTTTATTATAATAAACAAAAACTGTTAGTTCTAAACGTTTTTTCTTTGAAAGTTGTGCAGTCGAAGTTCTGTATAACAAACCCTTGTGGCCAGTGTTCTACCCTACCCTACCCTACCCTACCCTACCCTACCCTACCCTACCCTACCCTACCCTACCCTACCCTACCCTACCCTACCCTACCCTACCCTACCCTACCCTACCCCACCCTACCCTACCCTACCCTACCCTACCCTACCCTACCCTACCCTACCCTACCCTACCCTACCCTACCCTACCCCACCCTACCCTACCCTACCCTACCCTACTCTACCCTACCCTACCCTACCCTACCCCATCCTACCCTACCATAATAGAAGGGTTGTTTATACAAGAGTTCTACTGTATTCAAAAGTTGCGTTTTTATACCTTTGCAATCTTACTTAATGTTTGTGAGCGGTTGTAAGAGAATGTACCCTACCGGCCTCGCTCTGGTTGATTTCAAACCTTTATATAGAAAGATCATTTAAATATATGATAAAATGTTTAGCAAAGTATTAAATTGCATTTCCCAGCCAATCTCAAGAAAACCGAGATCAAAAAGTTACGTTTTGAATTTCTCGCCAAATTGGCATTGTGTTTCTAGCTTATAAATTTATCATTATTTGACTTTTAATTATTTTTCTTTAAAATACCAGTAGAAAATCTTTGAATGAGCCTGGACTTTAAGATCTGTAAGCGTAGCTTGCCTGGAAATTCAATAAGAGTGCTTGAAACACAATGCCAAATTTGCCAAATTAGCGGTAAACCAAAATAATTCAAATTTAAAACTCAAAGGCGCGAGCTAAAATTTTTTATAGGTACTATTGGTGGTATAAAGAATTCATATAAAAAGTTTGATTTGATTCTGTACGGGGCAGTTTCCTTACTTTCCTTGTCAGGCGCTTTGTGAGAAGTATTATAGATTGAAACGCCGAAATTGGTTTTTTATTGAGTATATTAAGGAAACACGTTTAATTCTCTTAATTAACAGCGAAAACGCTTCCGAAAACTTTATTTGATGTTATCGCAGTAACAGTTACCTCACAAACCAAATTTAAAAAAAAATTGTTTTGTCCTATAAACCGGACTTGGCTTTACGTCGGCTTTGTTCTATTAGGTTGTTCAAACAATTCTGTACCCCTGAAAGCTTTCGAATTTAATGGTTCGGATGTGTGAAGGTTAGGAGCCACAGAAATATTCATTTAGCAATTTGTGCGTTAGTAGCGCATTGACTGTAGCGCCGCTTGCTATTCGGAAGGACCTTAGTTCGACCCCGCGCACCTCCCAACCTAGGCGCCTCGAGGAACAAGTAGTGCTGAGTGCACGAGGACTAGGCATATCTATACGTGGCTTTGTGGTATATTCAATGTTATTTCTTGTATTTCTTGACTCTCGCGCGTCGTTGGTCAATTCTAACATTTCTTTCACTTTCTGATTCGTTTTGCCGAGAAATACGACGATTTTCACTTTGCATCATAAGCCTGGATTCTCTGGAAGTCTCAGGTTCATTGGCTACTAAATTTGAAAAATTTTGTCTCATTAAACTTAGTCTTCTATTGTATTGCTCGGACGTTTCCTGTTCTCTCTCATTTTGTTTTCTGATGCGGTCACGTTCAAGTGGGTCTTGCTTAATTTCATTTTGTTCAAAGGTAGACTGAGCCATTTCGCGTTTTTTTGCTCTGTTTTGCCTTTGCCATTCAGCTTTTCTTTTTTTTTGCCTGTTCTTGAAACTCTCTTTCTTCTGATTCTGTCCTTTCTGATTTCCTTTTACGTTGCATTTTTTGGTTTTAAACTTAATTATTTGTGAATCCAATAATCAAATTTTACGATATGCTCGTCTTTTCAGTATTCGCCAGTTTTTTATTAGCTTTTTCAACTTTCGCTTTTTTAATTTTCGCCTTTTCTATTTTCGCTAGTTTATATTTTCGCCAATTTTATAATTTCGCTTTCTTTTTCGCTAGTCTTTCGCTGGTTTTTCGCTTTTTTTTCGCCACGAATAAAAACTGCAATTTTAAAAAAATCGCAGACTCGACCGCTCGATAACAGCCGAATTTTCGCCAAATGAGACATTTGCAAACATAAAACAATTTCACTTTAATTGAAATTTGCATAAAAGTTCGGTCGACCAACTTTTTATTTTAAAAAATAAAATTCATAAAACTGACCGATTTTTTTCAAAATTTTTACGAATTTTTTATTCTTTACCGATTTTCCCACAAATTTGCATGACCCTCTCACTTGCCCTTTACCGATCTTCACTTTTTCTGGACATAGTGACACGGCTCTGCATTTATAGGGGATTTTGTGTCTCTCAAACAACGAAAAATCAAATGAAGTGGCCCAAATTCAAGAAACAACAACCAGAATGCATTGTTTGTTCGAATGAAACAACACAAGTTCACTGGATGCTGGGTTCTTTATGAAAATTGGTAAACCTGACGACCAGCTATAGTAACAGCCCTAAAACAATATAAAATAACAAAAACCGAAATCGATTATGAAACCATTGCGCCGTTCATTGGCTGATGTGGGCTTGAGGGTAGGGGGTTCCAAGATCAGCGTCCGTATATAAGGCCGAACAATTCTTTGTTGATCATAGCGCGGACTAGTATGAGCGAGCTGAGAGTTGTGTTAATGGATAGGGGAGGCGTTGGTTGAGTTTACCTCTTATACTCCTACAACAATATCGAAGCTCTAAAGGGGTTGGCTTAAAAGCTAATCATTGATTTTCGTCAATTGTAGTATCATAATCCTTAATTCTATGTTCTATCACAATATAAAAACCCTTACAACAATCAAAATCGAAAAAACTTAATGTACAAATAAAATCGACAAAGTAGTTTACAATACTTATTTATTTTAGACAAATCCTATTAGATTAAGTCAGTCAGTCACGTGGTTATTGACGAAACGGAAGCCAGACTTGGAATTGCTCGTGTTCTTGTCGGTCTTGGAGGCGGGATCCTTGCTGTCAACTGGCGTGGTGTCCTTCTCGCTAGGAGTTGTAGACGGTTGGAGTGGCGTCGGCTTCCGTTTCAAACATCCTGTATACCAAATAGTGGAACCGACCACGCAAAACACGAGAAGGAGCGCGAAGCCACCGACTGCATAACCAATCATGTTGAAGTAGCTGAAATCAAAAAAATTGAATGGCGCTACTCTAAAGAAATAACCCAGTATTACTAGAGAAACGATTTAAAGAGGACGGAAACTAACTTTGATCATCTTCCTTCAAAGACGTCATCTACTATTGAGTTTGTGAAGACTTTTACTATGCGATACAGATGGATAAAATGTAAGAATTTAGTATTTATTATTTTAATGAATACGTTTGATTTCACTATAGTATTAGTGTCATTTTAGTTACAGTTGCCATCTATCTAGTTATAGTTGCCTACTATTTATTTATAGTAGCTCACCTAGTTATAGTACCCTAGTTACAGTAGTCCATCCTTTGCTTTTAGTAGCCGACTATGTAGTTACAGTAGCCAACAACCAACTATCTAGTTACAGTAGCCTATTGTTTTGTTACAGTAGCCTAAATATGGCCCCTTTTTCAAACTCATATCTCATGCCTAAAAATTTGATAAAAAACAATTTTTAATCCATTTTTGGAAAAACCGAAAATTTCAAATAACTAAAACTCAGTCTAAATCTTTCAATTATATAAAAATTCAAAATCAACTTACTCGGGGCTTTTGCTCATTTCAGTAACACTCAATTCTGTAGTATCACCCGCTGGAGTTGTGGTGGTGCAGGTGGTCTGTGGAGCAAGCCTGAAAAATAAGTTTAAAATTTCAAAAAATAAAAAAAAAGTCAAATGGATAGAACTGCTAAAAATATTCCAAAACCAAACTTTTAATCAACTTACTGGCTGTGAACCAAGACCAGCATCGTCTTCAAGTCGGCCTGGTCCACATCTTGGGCGATCGTTGGATCCATGTTCACCAAGGCCTCCTGAAACATTAAAAATTCAATTATATTTCAATACATTTCACTTAAATTTAAATAAAAACTAAACTTTTAACTTACAAAACAACTAAAAGCCACAAAACCTGCTAAAGAATACAAGAAAAGCATAAAAGTTTGAAGTAAACACTTACAATTGTGAAAACCAGCTCAGTAACATCTGAACGATCCGAAGGCTTCAGGTTGTCACCATCCAATGTCCAACATCCTTCAGCTTCCGTCCAGACAAGACCATCCTTCGTTTGTCCAAATTCGGGTTTGCCACATATGATCAAACCTTCATGGGTCATTGGGAGATCTCCTTGGGGTAAATTGGCCATGTCAATGTGTCTCGCAGACCCGCCCTCGCAATTTTGGAAAAACATGTGGCCATTAGCAACACCAAATTGAGCTTCTTTAGCATTCACATCTTGTTTCAAGAGCTTGGGTTCAGCTGGTGCCACCTTTAACAGCGAGAGCCCGTTGTACTGCGTTTTCCTGAAAATTAAAATATATATGCCTAGATTAATGCAAGTTATTCATAAAGAAAGTTTTCCCAGCTGAAAAAAAACCTACTCACTAACAATGGCCAAACGACTAAAGAGGATGGAGTCGAGTGCTGTGTTCACCGGGTACAGTTGCAGCAACTTGTACTGGGTAGAAGCCGTTTTGAATATTCTAAAAAAATGTCAAAAAATATCAATAAAAACGTGGCATAACAAAAACGTCAAAAAATATGAAAACATCAAAGAAGCGACTAAAATTAAAAAATGAACCTTCAAAAAACGAAAAACTTACCCTGCCGGCGTGCCAGACGTCATTTCCGTGCTTTCGCATTGCGTGAACTTGGTCGCCTTCAGCTCGTTGCTAGACTCCTTGAAGGTCGTGTAGGTCACGCACAGCTCTCGGTCGGACGGTAGCGACAGAAGCGTCAGCGCGACGATCTTGGGGAGCAGAGCCGCCAAGTTTGTCGCAACCATTTTCCAAGCAAAACGGAGATCGAATGACCACTTTTGGCCGTTTTCGGCTTACGAAGACTGAAATCAAAATATGCAAATTTGGAATGGGAAAAAAACTAAAATCGTTCGAAATTAAAAAATTTTTTCATTTTTTCGAAATCAAAAGAAAAATCTAGAAAGATTTTTACAATTGTAGAGATTTCGTTCCAAGACTTTGTTTTAGCCATCAAATAGATTTTTTGTCTCTCAAACACCGAAAAATCAATTGAAGTGGCCCAAATTCAAGAAACAACAACCAGAATGCATTGTTTGTTCCAATGAAACAACACAAGTTCACTTGCTGCTGGGTTCGTTCTAAAAACAGGTAAACCTGACGACCAGCTCGAGTAAGAGCCCTAAAACAATATAAACTAACAAAAACTACATAAATCATGAAAGCTTTACTAGAAAACTGTAAAATCATGTAACCGTGTTCTAGAAACATCAAATATCTGAGAAAACACCAGCTAAACATTGAAAAACACTTTGATTACCTACAATAATATCGGAAAGCTAAAGTTCATATCTCAAAAACTACTCAATATTTTTTCCTGGTTTTACAATCAAATTGTCCCTTGTTCTATGCTTAAACTAGATAAAAACAAATAAATGCGTTAATTATTTCAAGTCAAAAACCACCTTCATTACCTATAACAATATCAAAACTCGAAAGGTGTTATCTTCGAAGCTATTCATTGATTTTTGTCAATTTTAGTATCATAAAAGTCCTTATTTTATGTTGTACGACAATATGGAACAAAAGAAAAGCAAACGTTTTGTAGAGTTACAGCTTGTTTTAGCCAAGTCCTACCTAAAAAATTCCAAAAACCAGCCTCTGAAGCTGAAACAGGATAATGTCGATGAATTATAAACACAATCTCAATTTGGCGAGACATTCAAAACTATTTTTTGATGTCGATGTTCTCGAGTTTGACTGAAAAGCTCGACTTTAGCATGCTGAAGGTCTTCTATCTACATGTTCTTTCCTATCAAAAGTTTGAAGCCAAGTTCGACACTCAGATCGTACCAGACCCCTCATCAAACAAAGTTTGAAGTCAAAGATGTCTGGACCTTTGTCTTGTCAAAACTTCTCTTATAAGCTTATAATAGCGTGCAACGTCTAAAATACTGTGCCATTTGTACAACTACAAAACAAAAATGAAACGCATTTATTCCAACATCAATAAAACCAGAAGTAAATAAATCTCTTCTTCCATGGTGAATGTCGATCCTTTCCTGCGCTCCTCTTAATAGTGCTACTAGCCCTCTTTTCAGGTTCAGGAGCTTCTAAAACTTGCGGAAAGTTCGATGCGAACATCTTCTGCCTAAAAATGAAAAAAATTTCATAATTTCAAAAAATTCAAAATAAAAAAATTACAAATAAGAAAATTTTCAAAAACTAAAATTCAACACTCACTTCTCCAAATCACGATCAAGCCCTTCCCTCAACACTTCAAGCGTCTTCACCTCCAATATTAGTCATATCTCAACATCTTTTACTTCATCTTCTTCTTCGAAGTCAATCACAGCGGGTCCTTGTAGTTCCTTTTTCGTGCTACTCCGTATTCCTACTGAATGGTACCATTAGTCCTCTGATTCGATCAACAAACTCAACATCTAACTTCTTCCTTCAATATAAAGTGTGATAAAACCGAAAAATATACCAAACTACGTATGTAAACACCAAAGAAACTACGAAAACTAAAAAAAACTTACAATTGCAATTGCTCGGTGACATTTGAACAACCTGATGGTTTCAGGACGTTGCCATCCAACTTGCAACAACCTTCTGCCTTCTCCAGACAAGACCATACTTCGTCTGACCAAATACTGGTCGCCACAAAAGGCCAAGCTTTTATGGGTCATTAGCCGTATCCACCTCTTCAATTCTCAAGAGCTTGGGTTCACCTGGTTCCAACTTTAACAGCAAAAGCTGCATAAACAGTATTCCTACTGAATGGTACCATTAGTCCTCAGATTCGATCATACTGGTTTCGGGTCGGTGCCTTCCAACTTGCAACAGCCCTTTGCTTCCTCCACGAAGACCATTCTTTGTCTGACCAAATACTGGTTTGACACAAAGCAAAAGCTGCATAAGAATTACTACTAATGGTACAAATTCGGGCTTGCCACAAATGGTCTAATCTTCATGGGTTATCTTCAAATCTCTTTGGTCCACATTGGTCGTTTCAATGTGCTTTGTGACCTCGGACTTGCAATCTTGGTAAAAGACGTGACCTTTAGCGCCACCGACTTAGGCTTCCTTGGCACCCACAATTTTTTATTATTGGTCCTGTGATCCGATGGTACCATTAGTCTTTGGATTCTTTAAAAAGATACTTAAAATAGTCAGACAAAAAACAAACAAAAATATATCAGACTATGTATGTAAACACCAAAGAAACTACTCAAACTAAAAAAAAAATCATAAACTCAAAAAACTTACCCTGCCGGCGTGCCGGACGTAATTTTCGTACTTTGGCATTGTGTGTATCGTACAGCCTTCAGGTCAGTGCTGGAATGCTTGAAGATGGTGTAGGTCACACTCAGCTCTTGGTCGGACGGTAGCGATAGAAGCGTTAGCGCGACGATCTGGGGGAGCAGAGCCGGGAAATTTGTCGCAACCATTTTCCAAGCAAGACGGAGATCGAATGACTATTTTCGGCCGTTTTCGGCTTATGAAGACTTTGAAGTCCAAATATGCAAATTTGGGGATGGGAAAAAAACAAAAATCGTTCAAAATAAAATTTTTTTTTATTTTTTTGAAATCAAGAAAAAAATCTAGAAAGACGTTTACAATTGTAAAGATTTCGTTTCAAGACCACCTTGTTTTAGCCGTCAAATAGACTTTTTCGTCTCTCAAACAACGAAAAATCGAATGAAGTGGCCCAAATTCAAGAAACAACAATCAGAAGGCATCATTTGTTCCAATGGAACAATCCAAGTTCACTGGATGCTGGGTTCTTTCTGAGAATAGGTAAACCTTATACAGTACTCTCTCTATATAAGCAACCCGAAGGGACCGACGTTTTGTGTTTACTATAGGGGGTGTTGTCTTTACCGGGTGATTGTTTAGTGCAAATTGACCTGGCGGAGCTAAATTTCTTGTTTACTATAAGGAGAGTTGCTTATACAGGTGGTTCACTATATAGAGAGACCATTGTCTAAGGAGAGCTTATGAAAAAGTTCCATTGTATTAATTACAATATGCTTTAAATTTTAAACGTTTGTGTAGTTGAAACTGCGTCTGTTTTTTAAATTTTTAGATAAATGTCAAAAAACTCCTTAAATTCGCAGATTTATATCTGAAACTTTTTGTCAGTTTTGAGACCGGCTCTGAAAGTGGTTTAATTTTTTTTTCAAATGTTTTTTAAAAGTTTTATTAATTAAATTAAAAAAGTTCTTTAAAGTTTGATTTTTCAAATTAAATTTTTTAAGCCGAAATACTAGTGGTTTTCGTTCAATTAAGTTACGACTTACAGTGGCATTTTTGTATAACGAATTTTTTGAGGTTTTTAAATTTTGTAAAATTTTTATGATTTTTGGCAAATTTTAATTTTTTTCAAGCATAATAAAAAAAAAGTTGTTAACAGATAAAATGAATGTCTTATAGTGGCAAACGATTCAAAAAAAGTCCCATTCCATTCTGACATGTAGTACAAAAGTTATAAAAAAAAGTTTCAATCCTACCGTAATCCTACCGTAACTCGAATTTTGAAACTTTCTTCACATTTTTGCATTTTTATGCTCAAGTACTACCTTTTATCAAGAAATGAGCGGTTTTCAAATAGTTTGAAATTTTTCGTTGCCCCTGTCTGACCGATGTTCGATCCTTAGACGAACCTTGTTTTAAAGTTTGTGCGAAAGTAAGAGGAGTTTCTAATAGGGAGGTTTGTTATAAGAGGTTTTAAATAAACTATGGAGTGTTTGTCGGGGATTTGAAGGCTGTTTGTTATACAAGATTTTTTTAGAAAGAAGTTTGGTGTAGAGGAGCTTGTTCGAGAGGAGTTTGTTACAGAGGAGTTCGTTATAGAAAAGTTCGTTATACCGCAGTTCCACTGCAACTTGTTAATACATCTTTATTAAACTAAAACCAGGTTAATGGAAGCATTTCGAAAACTAAAACTCATCACATTAGCCATAAGTTTTAGCATCTTGATTTGGTTCGTTTACACTGTAAGTTTTTTTTATTTTGTATTTTATTATACTTGTTATTTTGATTCTTGTTTTTAAATTAGGGCAAAAGCAGAGGAAATCCGGTACCAAACATTTTCATTGGTTCGGCACATCTAGTAGACTATCAGAAGTAAGTATTACTAACAATCGCTTTATAAAGTAAAATTGATGTTGTAGTATGTAATAAAATTGTAAAGTAGCCAGGGCTGGTCGCTCTAATCCCATCCCATATAAAAATTTTGAAAAAAGTTGAATATGGTCCCCTAAGGGTGAGAAACGGGCCGTCTAGGCCCGGCCCGGCCCTACGATCAAACCGGGCCGGCCTTGAGCTAAAATTGAAACGGGCCGGGCCTAAAGGTTAAGCCCGGCCCGCGGGCCGAACTTGAAAATTGGGCCCGGGCCCAAAAAAAAAGTTTTAAATTTTAAAAAATTTTTTATTTTAATCCATGTTGATGTTTTTTGATTTTATTGGGTACCATGATACATAAATGATCTAAGAGAACAATGCAAAGCCATATTTCCGTTTATTTTTTAAGTTTTAAAATTTTTTAAAACGGGCCGGGCCGGGCCTGAGAGAAAATTGAAAACGGGCTGGGCCTAAACGTTGGGCCCCGGGCCTAAGCCGGGCCTAAAAATTGGGCCCGGCCCGGCCCTTTTCTCACCCCTATGGTCCCCCCTGTAGATTTTAGGAAAAAATTTTCCGACCCCCGCCCCCAAACCAAAAGTTCCCGCCCGGCCCTGAAAGTAGCCAAAATTTATTTTAATTTTACTAAGGTACCATATAATTCAGTACCAACACCCCATGTACGATTATTAAGGTAACATATTTCAGTACCGCCACCCCATTCACAGTCATACTAAACACAATGTCTGATGACGCAGGCAGCTTGACAGCTCAAGATGCCTTACCATTGTATTGTCTCAGCGATAAAAATGAAAAAGTGAAAACGAGTTTCCGAAAATCAGACAAGAACAGATACTGTTCGTGGAAGGATTATTACATACAATGTGACTTTAAACAGCCCGTTGACAGTATTCAACTGATTGATTCTTACGGAGATGGAATTGAAGTGAGTATGAAAGTATGGTTTTTCTTTAGTTTAGTCTTAGTTTAGGTGTCAGTCACAAAACCAATTCAAAAAACGATTCCGTTGGTGGCGTGCTTATCGCGGCTTTTCTACTACGACAATTGGCAAACTGCACTCGTTGTGCTGGAAATGTACCATGCTATGGGAGTGAATGAGATGAGCATTCATGTTATTAATGTCATACAAGAGATATACACATTGCTCGAGTTTTACAAGAATGAAATCAATTTGAAAATTCACCCTGGAATTGTGGCTCCTCAGATTGTAAGTTCAATTATCTTTTGAATAATTAAAAACTCGTGGCTCGCAGTAGGCTAGATTTGAAAGGAAGTCCACTAAAACTAGCTCGGCTATTTTCTAGCCCAGCCCTGGGTATAGAAGTGCAAGTACAAACCGCAGCAAATTTGAAAAGGCAGGACCGGCTAGAAAACGCGAGAGCTGACCAGTATTCAATAGGCACGGAAAGGCGAGGCAAGAAAAGGCAAAGCAGAATAAGGCAGGGTAAGGCAAGATAGAGTAGAAAAGAGTAGGGTAGGGTAGGGTAGGGTAGGGTAGGGTAGGGTAGGGTAGGGTAGGGTAGGGTAGGGTAAGATAGAGTAGAATAGGGTAGGGTAGGGTAGGGTAGGGTAGGGTAGGGTAGGGTAGGGTAGGGTAGTTTTATAAATCAACTAATAACGTTTAAAACTTAGGCAGGACAAGATCCAAATAAGAACAACGAAGCCATGAATCAGCTTCTCTGCTACAATGAGTGTTTGTTCAACTATCGCGAAGCAGCTGAATTTATCGTGTTTTCGGATATGGACGAATTGATAACATCAGCTGGTGGCAATTTATATGATACTGTCAAAAGAGCGCAGCTACGAAATCCGTTGGCGGCTGCCTTTGAATTTATGTGGAAAACTTCTAGTTATGCCAACAGTAAGTCTGACAAAATTGCTAACACATCCGTAACTTTTGTATAACGAATTCCGTACTTTTTGAAAAAATTTGTTTACAAATTAAAGTTTAATTTTAATATTTTAAACATTTCATACTTTTTTAGTCAGTTCATTTTCCGACTTCTCCATTCCTCGAATATTCAACGGTCTTTACAGTAAGCCTTCGGAAACGTACGGCAAATCAATTGTGGTGCCAAAGAGAACCGACTGGACGCGTATTCATCACTTTCACAATGTTGAATACAAAGGGAAGGTAGTGCAAAGTGTTGGACTAGGAGATGAAGACGGATTTACGCTTCATTTGAGAGGCGTTCGAAACCGTAACATTGAGCAGTTTAACATGAAAATTCCAATGAATTCTTATATATCAAAGAATTCGACGGGTTTCGAAACGAAAACCGAGAAAATTCAAAAAATTAAAAATTTTTTGGAAAATCGATTAAGAGATGCTAATGGTAATGCAACTATCGTACCTTTAAATGCCTTATCTACCGCTGCCTATAACTTTGAAAAAAGACTTCAAAATCCACTTTTCAAAGAAGTTTTTAGTATTCTACCAACCATGCCATTCTTTATACATCAGTTTAAGCAGTGTTACGAAAAGTTTGTCATAAAAACCCTATGTTTTGGCACCACCCATTGCGATATTGACTACACCAACAGTCCCAAGTGTCAAGTCAGCACAAGTGATTATGTTGGCTTTCAACACGAAAAAGTGCATGTTTATATAACATATAATAGAAAAATTGTACAAAAAGAGACTTGTCAGCTGGAAACAAAAGCTGTCGTATTTGTGAATTGGTCCTATGTTTTGAATTTATTGGTGTTATGGGTAGTTGTTTTTATTATTCTTTTTGTTTTTGTTGCGACTAGAAAGACACGGTTATTATATGTTTATTCACAATTAAAAAATCGTTTGTAACTGAATAAACTAATAACTTATAAAGAAAGTAACCAACCTGATTAGCTCAAACAGGACGAGCACTGGGAGGGGGGGGGGAACCTTCCCCCTAAAAAAAAAGTTTTTTAAAAAAAGTTGAATGTGGTCTTCCCTGTGGATCTTTGAAAAAACATTTTTGCAAAAAATCGGCACAGAAGTTATCTGTGCCGATTTTTTCGAACCCCGCCCCCGGACCGAAAGCAGTGCTGCGGCCTATCGCTGAAAAGTTTTTGAAGCGTTTGCGCTTGTCAAGCCGCAAAGGGAGGACACTTTAAAACCGATTGATTATGGTATAACTAGTATTATATGTTACTATTGTTAGTTGTTGTTTTAGTTATAGTTGTTGTTAAAATAAATATTTGATTAAAAGACCGTGTAACAGAACTTTTGGCGCACTTTGTACTTTTTTGATTTTCCAGATAAACTACTGTGTAGGATTTATTCAACTTCAGACAAACATATACCAAAGTAAGAAAAATAAATTTTATTGCATCTAAAATTCATATGCAAATTTTTTAAAATAAACCGAGAAAATGTAAAAATAACTGTCAAAACAGAAGCCCACAACGTAATATACAAAATATTTAAAAGTACATGCTTTTTTAACACCGTTGCTACTCTAGAAACGTAGTCAACATAAGGTACTTTCAAATTGCAATCCATGTTCTGAACAAGTTCACTTTCTGTAGCTAGAAACACATTAATGTGACGATAAGCGTAGCCACTGTATTTAATTTTTACTTGTGTACATTTAACTTTGTCATTGACTTTGATATCACAGTACTTCATGCTGGCACAGGTTGGCTTTTCAATTGTTGATGGTGGTACCTTTTTCAAGCAGCTCTTGAACTGCTCGACAAAATAGAGTTCTGACGGTAACTGCTGGACTAGACTATAAAAAGAAGCATCATTTAGTCGGTTTTGAAAGTTGTTGTGAGCTGCTTGGATCGATGAAGTTGATACTGAATGTTGACTTTCTACATTATCATAGCGTGCTGCCTTTATGTTTTGTAGCAGCTTAACTGTAGTATTTCTAAGGTAATGTAAAGCTCCTTTAGAGTCCGCAGCCGAGCCTGGATTCAGTTTAGTAATAGTACTTTGAATATTCTTTTCATAGCGAAAGTGAACAGTAAAGCCCTCAGTCATCGGAAGAATGATGGATTTCACCGGTTTTTCTTTAAATTTCATAGCACGAACATAGTGTAATTTAGAACGGTCGATTCTCTTGGGAACTACAATCGATTTACCAGAGTGATGCGGTGCTAACACCACTAGCCCATCGAACATGTTTTTTATTGAGAAAAGAGGCGGTGAGGGAACTAAAATAAATGTTACGTGAAACTTAAATATTTTTAAAAATTAACGACAAGGCAACGGCAAGGCAACGGCAAAAAACTTACAGTGTATATACTCAGACGTCTTCCAGAAAAACTCGTAGCCAGCAGCATAGGGATACCTAATCCGTAACTCCCTAGCTTTATCAAGCAAGTTCCCATTATCTGATACAATTAGGTCATCAATGTCAACGAAAAATAGAAATTCAGCAGCTTCACGGTAGTCAAATAGACATTCATTGTTATTCATTATTTGATTCATGACGTCACTGTTCTTGTTTGGGTCTTTGCCGTTCTTAAATTAACTTTCTAAGTAATTTCTTAAGCAAAACATATAATACTACAATAAGCATTAAGTAAGACTTACAATCATAGGCATAACTATCCCAGGATTGATAGTCAAGTTTAACGCTTGCTGATATAACTGAAGCACTTTGTAGATGTTGTCATTGATACTCATAATGTTCATACTAAACTCCGAAACGCCCATGACATTGTACATCTCTAGAGCTGTAAACAGTACTTGCCAGTTGTCAAAGTAAAATGACCTAGACAGGCAAGCAACCAATGGTATTTTTCTTTCAATTGGTCTTCTCAATGGTATTTCAGGTCCATATCCATCATTATCAACCAGCTTTAAGCTATTTACAACCTTTTGGAATTGGCACTCGACGAAATAGTTCTTCCAAGAACAGCCCTGCCCTCCATCGGTAAGATAAAAGTGGGGTTTTACTTTTTCGTTTTTGTCACTCAAACAATATAAAGGTATGGTAGTTTGTGTTCGTTCGATACCGGTATTTGTATCCTCTGCCATTGAGTTCAGTATTATAGTATTTGTGTTGTTGCTAAAAGATGTTAATATACGTATGTTTTAAAATTGAAGAATAGAACTACAGTGCTCTATCAATATAAGCAACCCGCAAGAATAGGCAGTTTGTGTGTACTTTAGGGGTGTCTTCTTTACAGAGTGATTTTTAGTGTAAAGTGGCCAAAGTTCATGTTTACTGTAAGGAAAGTTGTTTATACAGATGGTGCACTGTATAGAGAGATGACTGTTTAACATTATGTATATCTTGTTCTCGACTTTTCTCTTTTTTATCAAACTTACACTTCAAAATCGACGATGTGAGCAGAACCAACAAAAAGATTCAGAGGGTCTAAATCTGGCTTATCATCTGTTTTAGGCTCAGTTGTTTTAATTTTCTAAAAAATATTTTTAGTTTATCTGCGTTTTCACTACAGTGGACGAAATAGTTCTTCTATAACGAAAATCCCGTATAACGAACAACTTTTTAATCCCCGTCGACCACTATAAAGTGCATTTAAAACTTCTGTATAACGAAACTCCTTTATAACGAACAAATTTCAAGTCGCCGAGCAATTCGTTATACAGGAGTTCCACTGTATTACTAATAGCCAATACACGAAGTTTGAAAACATATTAGGTTGAAAAGAAAAGAATGGCGGATTTTACCAAACGATAATTCCTGCTGTTTGGTGATTCAGATGATTCTGCACAGTAGTGTAGCAAACTATGAGGTCTTTGGCATGCATTCGCGTCGTTTTTAAGTTTTTTCTTTCACGGTTGACTTCAGAATCCCATCGTCAAGCTACAGATTCGCAAAGCTAAACTCGCCATTTTTTAATCAATGGAATCAGTGATATATGGTGCATTCTTTAGCTGTACCAAATGTTCAAGCCACTTCCCATCGCGGTTGTCAAAATCCGCCCTTCCTTTCTTTCCCACCTACTAATCTACAGTTTTAAAACAGTGTTATAACAAAATACTTACATTATAAAGAAAAATGACAATAATGCAGCAACTCAAAAAAATAGACCAGTTGTTACGCATCTCTAAATATAATCAAGTTGCTTTTGAAACAAGAAACCTCAATGAGATAGTATCTTAAGTGAAAAGCTTTTTATTCGACTTTTTTCCTTAAATTGATTCCTCTATAGCCAAAGTTTCAAGTTAAATCTAACTTGTTTTTACGTTGTAGAAAGCAGAAAAACATCAATTAGACCTGAATGTTGCTTCTATTAGGCCTAGCCGGGCCAAAGCAAATTAGAAAGAGGTCGGGTCACCCGAAAATACCCTTCCTTGTTCCAAGCTATGCTCTACCAGGGCCGGGCGCGAGGGGGGGGGGACGGGGGAGGTACCCCCCCCAGAAAAAAATTTTTGAAAAAAGTTGAACGTGGTCCCCCCCCTGTGGATTTTCGGAAAAAAAAATTTTGAAAGACCTGTGCCGATTTTTTGGACCCCTGTCCCCAGACCAAAAGTTCCCGCCCGGCCCTGTGCTCTATCATAGCCTGCCCTGTAAAAAATTTTTAAAACATATCCTATACCATGCCTTACCATGCCCTATAACGGGCATCATAGGGCCCTACTATGCCCTTTAACAGAACATGGTACAGGACACCCTGCCCTGCGTCCAAGCCTGGTCGGGTGGGATTTTGAGGGACCAAGAGCCGGGCCTACATCGAAGCTCCACGGACCTAAAAGGTCATCAGGCCCAGCCCGGCCTTTTATACAAGTCGGCTGACGCAAAATTGAAAGCAGCTGCACGTTATGGCATTAAGCGTGTCGTCCCTGTTTAAAGCTATGCCTTGCTCTGCCCTGTAAAGGTTTTCAACCATTTCCTATGCTACGCCTTATCATGAACTGTTACAGTACATGGTTTAGAGCACCATCCCCAAGCCTGGTCGTAGCGGAGTGGCAAATGTGTGCTTGAGGACAAGGCAACAATTAAGTTCATAAGGAGCAAACTCAATTGTTTTACAAGTCTAAAACGATTTTAATTTTGTTTCTACTGATAATATGATAATATCTTTATTTTGGGTAGAAATATAAAATGTACAGTTCAACAAGTGAAAGATTGACCAGTTGTGTTAAAATTACTTTGAGAACGCCAGTGGTGATATCGTACCTACAAAGAAGTAATGTGTTTTAAATTTTGGTTTTTGAAACTTTTTAGGCTTAAAAACTACTTTTTATGATTAAAACATTTTTTTAGGCTTAAAAACGAATTTTTAGGTTTAAAAATAACTTTTAGGCTTAGAAGTGTTTTTTAGACTTAAAGACTAATTTTTTGGTTTTAAAGTTAATTTTTAAACTTAAAAACGAATTTTAGGCTTGAAACTAATTTTTAAGCTTGAAAACTTATTTTTAGGCTTAAAACTCGTTTCTAGGCTTAAAACTAATTTTAGGCTTACAACTAAGTTTAGACTAAAAAACTAATTTTTAAGTTTGAAAAAAGAACATTTACTTACATGCTGCAAACTAGTGTAGTAATCTCGATTCAAGGGTTGGTATGGCACTATACCGTGCGTCCTTTGATACGTGTTCTCTACTTCACAAACCACGGCATTCAGGTCAAACGAAGGCAGTAATTTCTTAATGCTGATATGCTTAACATAATGTACATGTTTCACTAAATCTTCTATTCCAAACACACACACATTGTTCACAAACTTGTTGCTAAAGCAATACTTTGGATTGCCAAAGGTTGCATGATTAGTAGCATACATGTTCAACCTCATTTGAATGATACATTCTTGAGTAAAATGGCCAGGTATCATAAGTTGTGGCATAGAAAGAAGCGTGCCAAACACGACTTCGTCTGTTCCTACAACCCATCTATTGTTTATCATGTTGATAAGGCGCTCAATGTCCATCTCTTTAAGCATAAAGTCGACCGCTTCTCTGCTTAACGACATCTTGTTTTTGTTGTCAGCTCGAACAAATGTAAGTTGGACATCGTTTGTTTCAAAGTGTTTATGGTATTTGGATTCTAAAGACATGAATTAAAAAGTTGAAAAGTGTTACACAAACTTGGTCCGGCCCGAGGCTAGTTGGTCCCTTCCTATTAGAATTCGACATAAAGAATCCGCCATACTTTTCCTGTAAATTACTGTAAAAAATGGCGGGTTCTTTATGTCGACACTTAATAGCTAAACCTCAATATCCAAAATCTACCTTTTTTAAAAAGCTTGACGTTGTTGACGGTCCAGTTAACAAATCTGCTCACTCGATGCGGACCGCCATTAGTTATGCTAATGTCATTTGCACCGTTAAGCCACTTGTAAATTTGCACTATTTCCGCGTTGGTTCTTAAAATCAAGTCGTAACTCTGAAATCTAAAAAGTTCAACTTTTTTAAAAAACTTTCTAAACCTCACCCTACCCTACCCTACCCTACCCTACACTACCCTCCCCCTACCCTACCCTACCCTACCCTACCCTACCCTACCCTACCCTACCCTACCCTACCCTTATTATACCCTACCCTACCCGTCTTACTATACCTTAAATCTCACCGTGCCTTTGGTCATATCATACCTTAGTTACTACCGTTCCTTAGACCCTACTGTACCCAAGGCCTTAATGTACCTTAAGACTATCGTACTCTAGGCTCTAGTCTACTTTACTCTACCCCACTGTACCTGTTACGTATGTATACAGTAAAGGTTGTGTATAACGAACCCCTTTATAACAAAACGTTTTTAATAACGAACGATTAAATATTTCCAAGCAATTTGATACACGGAGGTTCTAAAGTCTTTAAATCAAAGAAGGTAATGTAATTTGACTTACATGCAAAACAGCCACGTATTTCCACTTCTTGTTCTTTGTAGTCAATGCTTTCAGACAATCCAGGTTGGCTAGATCAATATTATAGCCATCACTGTTCATTTTCCTTTCAACCGGCGGTATAACAATGTTGGGAAAACAGCTAGCCAAATTGTGAAAACGTTTTTTATTCACCTCGCTCACATCAACATCAAGTGATAAACAGTAGTGATTTTGAGGTTGATATATGGCTGCTAATGTCATTTCCTGATAGAAATAGTCACCGTATATTGTCCTAGCTATCGCGATTGGAAAGTCCGCTTCTTCTTGACTCAGCGGTCGTTTATTCCAATTGTGACGGTTTCTAATAGACGCACAGTCAGTTGGCAGCTCATGATCTTCTTCTGGATCAACGAATGTTGTTCGGTTGTCAGCCAATTGTTTTACGTATTCGGGATGTTGACCATCGTATACCCATTCACATTGGAGGTGTTCGGTTCCTGGCGGACGTTTAAAAGGCTTCGGACCAGAAAGTAAAGAGTTTGTTATCAGAAAAACAAGCTGTATCAGAGAGAACAATAATATTACTATATAGGCGGCATACCGGAATTTAAAAAGATTTGGTTTACACTTGATTATAGCCATTTTAAAATTAGATGTAGCTTTTAAATAGCTAAAATTATGGCGTAGATTTCATTGACAAAATTTGAGATAAAGGCAGCTTAGTTTCAAAAAGAACTTTTGAGTTTAGCGAAATCTAATTTTAGTTTTTTTGCTTTTCAATAGATTAGATGAAGCTAAACCTTCATTTTTTAATTTTTATTTAGAATAGAGAAAGTGCACTAGCCAAAGGTGCATTTAAAACAACGTAAAACTCCTGTATAAGTTTGGGAAGTTGTTCGTTATTCAAGGTTTTGAGTATAGTGCGGTTCTTTAAACATAGACGTACAAAATAGTTAAGCGCAATTTAAAATTATAACTAGGAAAACTTGTATTGTACTGCTTCTGTGCCCTAAATAATTAATACAGTAAAACTCCTGCCCAACGAATTGCTCGGGGATTGGAAATTTGTTCGTTATAAAGGAGTTTCGTGATACAGGAGTTTTAAATGCACTATGCAGTGATAGACGGAGATTCAAAAGTTGTTCATTATACGAAAATTTCGTTATGCAGGAGTTCCACTGTATTTTAGCAATTTAAATTTTTTAAAACAATTTATAAATTTATCTTAAAGGACCAGTTCGCCCATTCAAATATCATTGGCATTCTGTCGCAAAAATCGTCGAAAATCAGGCAATTTCAATCAAAATCATTTTTCTCAAAAAACGTGAGTGGGTCGGTGTCGAAATGAATTTTCCAATTTGGGACCGACCTGCTCAGGTTTTTTGCGAAAAAAATGAACGTCGAATTTTTGCGACAGAATGCCAATGATATTTGAATGGGCGAACTGGTCCTTTAAGTACATGGTTTTAACATCAGGTTTTACAATTTTCACAAGTCAAACCTTTTGCTGCTAGACTCAGGCTTAACACTTGTGGCATTATAATGCATTAGTTTAAACCACAGTCTTCGGGCTTACACTTCCGGGCTTGATTTTCAAATTTAGTTCGGCTGGGCGGGGCCGGCATTGATTCGAGGTGGAAAATATCTAACCTCTCGCTTGCCGGGCGATTGCTCTACCATTTGAGCTACAAAGGAGACATTATTGGTTCCGATCATAGAGGAGTGAATCCAGGGCCCTCTTGGTCCCCTCGCCTCCCACCCTACAAGGTGATTCACTCCGTCTCAATACTCTCGCTACGCTGACGTCGCGACATATATAATACATTTTGAATTAAACAATACGAACTTTATTCTCACTGGGTCTACGTAAATAACAAAATGTAAATAATATTACAAAAATTACAATAACTGAAAAAAATATTTTTACAAATGAGTATCGATGCACTTCTACCGGTTCTGGTAACTCAAATTTACAGTTTTCTTTGTAGACAATCTGGCGATTACTACACGAATATACATTCAACTTATTGTAGCGATGTTTAGTATAGTCAGCCTGAACTGCTAAACTTTTAGGGCTGTTGGTGAAGTCGAGGTCACAATTCTGAAGACTATAGTATTCAGAGCAGGCTATAGCTTGGTTGTTGTAGCTTTTTGTCTTACAAGCTTTTAGTTGTAGAGCAAAGAAAGACTCTCGTGGTAGATTGTCCAAAGCCTTTTTGAAACTGCTGTCTTCTTTTCGTTTTAAAAAGTTGGTCGAAACTGTTGTCAAGAAAAAATCCAAAATTTCCTGAGGGTATTGTTCTGTTCTTATTGGTTCAGGTCTAACATTTCGTAAACGAAGAGTAAAACCATCTTTTTCCTTCACGTTCATACTCTTCAACTCTACACCGTTGTATTGCATACCACGAACGGAATGTAGAGGAGAGAACGGAAGCTTTTTTGGAATTACAATTGACATTCCAACACCTTGAATCTTGTCTAGTTTAAGTCGATTAAATATGTCGTTTGGAGAAAAAGTGGACGGAGATGACACTAAATGGATAAATTGTATATATATAATTATGTCATTTTGTATAGTTTTAAGTCTCTTATATATGATTATACAAACTGGCAAAGGAGTTGCGAAGCATCAATGTAACAACCTTGGTTACTGTAGGCTTTAAGATATCTTATTTTGCTAGAATATGGAAAATCCTATTGTAAATACAGTAGAACTCCTGTGTAACGAATCGCTCAGGGTTTTGAAATTTGTTTGTTATAAAGGAGTTCTGTTATACAGAAGTTTTATATGCACTGTGTAGTGGTAGACGGGGATTCAAAAGTTGTTTGCTATACTGGGTTTTCGTTACAGAGGAGTTCGTTATATAGGAGTTACTCCGGCTCAAAAAATTTTTTTCTAGATTTCTAAAAGGGTCGAGCCGGGTTTATTGAGCTCCTTTTTTTGACAGCTTTACATAGGTTTGACAGCTTTACATATTTGCTTAACGAATACAGTAGAACTCCTGTATAACGAACTCCTCTATAACGAAAATCCCGTATAACGAACAACTTTTGAATCCCCGTCTAACACTGCACAGTGCATTTAAAACTCCTGTATAACGAAACTGCTTTATAGCGAACGAATTTTCAATCCTCGAGCGATTCGTTATACAGAAGTTCCACTGTACAACTCTAATCTACCTTACAAAACCTATTTTACCTTTATTGTACTCCGCATTTTTCCACAGAAATTCGAATCCAGTTATCTCTGGGTACTGAAAATGATATTGTCTAGCTTCGACAAGCAGATTTCCAGTTGTTGCTATGATGACCTCGTCTAGATCAGCAAATAATATAAACTCGGCAGCTTCTCGATACTTGTAAAAACATTCATTATAACACATTCTTTGGCTTATTGCCGCTGTTTGGGCACTGGGATTGTAGCCAGGCTTAAAGTACAAACATTTGTTATATATTTAACTATCGTATGTACTTATATATATTTGCACTTACAATTTAAAAAAAGTTTTTCACTTACAATGTTAGGTATGACAATTCCAAATTCAATGTTCAAGTTTATTTGAGCTTCGTACAGCTTAAGAACATCATATATCTCTTTGATGATGTTCATGATTGGCAAGTTGAATACGCTTACACCCGAAGCTGCGTACATTTCTAATGCTGTTATTAGTACAGGCCAATTGTCATAGTAGAACATACTTGATAAACATGCAACTAATGGTATCTTTCCAGTTACAGGCTTTAGTACAAGTATCTAAAATTAGTAATTATAGTTCATAAGAAGTTAAATTTTAGGGCTTAAGCTTAGGCTTATACTCAGATTAAAGTTTAGATTTAAGCTTAAGTTTAGACTTAGGCTTAAATTGAGGCTTATGTTTACCATAGAGTGGCATTATTTATTCTTTAGATTTTAGTAGGTTACCTATAAAGGATGAAAGAGCCCAAAAAGTGAGGTTCTAGGCCACGGAAGAACCTAAAGTACAACAAGATTTAGAGTACAGTAAAACAAGGCTACTGTTGGCCTAAGTTAGAGTAGTTACTAGAAAACGGTATAGTCTACAGTACTGCAAGTTTTAAAGTAAAACAAACTTTAGGTACAATACGAGCCAAATTACAGTAGTTACTCCGGTAGGACTTAAAGAGTAAGGTTTAGAATACAGTAGATCGTAGGCTACTGTTAACCCAAAATAGACTAAAGGCTAGAATACAGCACATTCTGTGGTACAACTGAGTTTAAAGCAAGACAAAGCTACAGTATTATCAAACCAAAAGTACAGTAGTATCGGATTAAAGATACAGTAGTATTGAATTAAAAGTACTGTAGCCTCGGACTAAGTTACAGTATTGCCCTAATTCGCAACAATTAAGACTTAAAAAAATGTTACTATGTACAACTTACAGTAGGCCCATAACCACTCTCATCTACTAGTCGAATACTTTCTACCGGTTGGTTGAAATTACATGTTATTTTATAGTTCTTCCATGAAGACAACGTTTCGCCGGCAGTAAATCCAAATTTGGCATCAACTTTTTCATTATTATGGCTTACACAAGACAATGCCATATGTCCTTGTGTTCGCGGCTGAGAACCGTTTGTATCGTGTGCTATTAAGTTTAACAATACTGTGTTAGTACCGTTCTCACTAAAATTTAAAAAAATAACGGCATTTTAAAAAAATTAAAAAATGACAACCTATATAAATAAAAGAATTAAAAAAAGTTTGTAAAGACCTTACTAGTCGAAATTGACTATGTGAGCCGAACCCACAAAAAGCTCCATCACATCATTGTCTTGATCATTGTTGTGTTGAATTGAGTGATTTTGGTAAACCAACAACTGAAAATATATTTTTAAAGTATATTTTAATTTTTTCTTGAAATTGTTAAATTTTTGATTATTTAGTCACAGAAGGAGTACGATACCAGTTGTCCCAGTTATTATTTTTGTAAATTTATATAAGAGCGTGGCCAAAGCAAATTTTAAAAGAAACGATGCGGTCTGACAAGTGTGAGCTCGTCGGCCAAAGTCCGAGTTAAGACCCTGTCATGGTCTATCTACAAGTAAAATCAAAAAACGACACTTACTATAGTCCATAAAACGCAAGAAACAGACAAAAACAGAAAAATATATTTTAGGAAAATTGACATAGATTCTGGCTTTTTTGTTTATCTAAAACATATTGCTGTATATTAACCAAACTAGATTTAAAAAGTTTCTCCAAGTCAGTCTAAATGTAAACCAAACAAAGTTTATCTGATTCACAGAGTAATTGAAACAAAACCAGATTCTTTTCACTGACATAGATATATCAGACGTTAGAGATGTCAGAATTAAAAATTCTTAGCAATTTTGATGTTTTGATATTAATTTTTCAAGTTTTACTTCATGTTCTATAAACATGTTCCTTTGTACAAATACTAACTTATTTTATAGGCAGGGTTTGCTAACGCGTTACAGAAGGACAACTTTGACAGTAACAGTAACTGTTTTTGTAGTACTGCTGCTTTATACTAATTTACACATTGACAATAGAATAGACGAGACAAAAGAGTTAGATAAAGGTAATTTGAAATCAATATGACACATAATTTACAGTACTGTATTACAAATCTCTTAAGAGTACGGTAGCTTAGTATAGGGCAAGATAAGTAGGTTAGAGTAAAGCAGGGTAGAGTACAATTGGACTCAGAATACGGTAGGGTCTAGAGTACAGTAAAGTCTAGGATGCGGTAGAGCCTAGGGTAGTTAAGGCGTAATACAGTAGAGCTTTGGGTAGAGTGGGTAAGGTAAAATGGGGTAGGGTAGCGTAGGGTAGGGTAGGGTAGGGTAGGGTAAGGTAAGGTAGGGTAGGGTAGGGTAGGGTAGGGTAGGGTAGGGTAGGGTAGGGTAGGGTAGGGTAGGGTAGGGTAGGGTAGGGTAGGGTAGGGTAGGGTAGAAATTTTTTACCTCTTACCATTTTCAGTATGTTCAATAAAGAAGATTGATAAGTTAAAACAAAAGAAAGGTTTATTCTGTGATGATCAATGTACTTCATGGAGCTCGACGTTATCATTAAATTCACATGCATTACCTAGTCAACCTGAAAAGCTAAACAGTGTTTGCCAAGGAGAAGACGCTGTAAACTGCGTCCAACCTTTTAAAACAATTCTATCTGATCTTCAATACTTTTGGGTAAGGTTTTGACTTGTTTCGAATCATAGGCAGAGCATTTGTATGGGCTCCGGCTTGTGCTTTTACACGTTTTGCTTGTGAACTCTTTCGTTGCGGGACCTAAGCTAAGTCTCTAGGATCTTGTTAAAGGCCCAGGCGCTCGAGCCCACGTGTCCGACCTGGCCTTTTCAAACTTTCTTCGACTTGGCCCAACTCGGCACAAAGCCAAGCCGGACTGGTCTTGAAGGTTCAGTGCTAAATTTTTGAATAAAATTGCATAATTGTTTAGAAACTAAATCCTGCAAAGACTTTACTATGTACAATACCAAAAACCAGTTCACAGTTACTAAACGCTGTTATGTGTTTGTTGAATAACGAAACAGACTTCTTCTACAATGCCAAGTCATTTTTTGGACAATACTACACTTTGTAAGTTTGAATTTTTAATTTTTTTACAATGGAACTTCTGTATAACGAATTAGTTAAAAATTTGAAATTTTTTCGTTATAAGAAAGTTATGTTATACTGTATTATAGCGTTCTAAATAAATAATACTAAACACTTTCTATCTTTAAGAGCATGTAGCGACAACCGTATCCACGACATTGACGCACCGATAAACACAAATGAAGACGACGTTCGAACGTGGGACAAACTTACAGTAGTCCGAGACCCCGTCGATCGCTTCTTAAGCGGTTTTCTTTTTGCATGTGTGCGCGGAGTGGACTACGAGACCAGCTGTACTAGGTATTGTCATGGTTGTGGTGCCAACCTAACTTGTTTTGTTGATAGACAATACGAAGAAATGATGAGGTTGAGTCGAGGAGAGCACGATAAAGTCGACTTTTTGATACATCATCAATACCCACAAACCTGGCGGTGTGGAATGAATAGGTTTAAAAATGTAAGTGAAGATTTGCTGTTTAAAGCTTGTTGTAGTATATATTAGGTTGAAGTGGGACAAGACTTTTATTTTTCAACTATAAACTGTCCCGTTACTTTTGGTTTTACCAGGAACGTCGCTACAAATTTTCTCTGGGGGGTCAATCCAAACCACCCCCCCCCCTCCCCCCAAACGACGTCCTTGGGTCCAATCTAATAAAAAAATGTTACCTAAATATCAAATTTCAGGACTACACAATCATAAAATACAACTCCAACCCAAAGGTTTTTGTTCCACAAATTCTTGATTACCTAAAATCCAAAAATGTGTCATTGTTACCTCTGCAGTACATAGAAAGGATGGCTTTAAGTGAACGAACCCATCATTCTACGTCCAATACTAAAGCAAGAAAATTTTTCGAAAATCGTCTACGCTCATCGCCATACCTCATGGAGAAGATTGTACGAATGTTTTATTATGACTTTAAAACGTTTGACTTTGCTTTGCCGCCGGGTTTTGAATAAATATGTTATAGGTTGTTACTGTTGTTCAAAAATAAATGAGCCATGTCATATACATATCAAATTTTAAAAATGAATGTGATAACCTTTATGATAAATCTAACTACGGTAAATTTTTATAAGTAGTAGAATCTAGTCCTGCACAAATGCTAGACTAAATTCAATTTTTTGGCCAGGGCCATAAACCGGTTTATGGTGAAAGCCTCGGCTTTCCCACTCGCATGTGCCCCGCCAGTCCCAATCCTTTTAAATTGTCTTCTTCCCGGTCTCTTGCTATTCCCCAGGCCGGTCCTTTATTTAAATTCATCAAGCTTATAACTGGGACATAACTTTAACGTCAGACATGTTTAACACTTTTTGCAAGTCAAATCTGTCGTTGCGGGACCTAAGCTGAGCTCATAAGGCCTTAATTAGGAGCTCAACTTACTTTTTTTTAAACCCGGCCTTCTGGCCTGAACAATGTCTTGGCTTCTATTCGTTTTTTTGTACTGTACTATTCACAACCAGTCCTAGCGGATTTAGACATGAGAAACGGGCCTGAGCAAAGTTTTGGTATGACTGGGGTTAACATTCAGATCCGTCCGTTTTGGAAGATATTTTTAAAAAACGAAATGTAAGAAGATACAATCAAATTAAAATCGTCCCGTAAAAAATAAGAAACATATTATCCGAAAAGGGTAAGTCTAAATCAGATAATTCTCTAAAGTTCAAGCTAAGCTAACACTTCAAACTTTTTGAAATTATCTCTATTTTTATTTTTAAATTTAGTATTTTTTCTTTTTTAATGCAACACAAAATATACAGTTTATTGTTTCTAAACAAAAAGTGGCACTTAAGTATCAGAAGTTCAAAACAGTGCAATGTGTTAACTTTGATATTGATTTTTGTATTGATTGTGAATTTATGGGTTTTGATACAATATGGAATTTCTACTTGTCCTGCAAATAAAATTGAACAGGATGATATAGAAATAAGCAGAAGGCTTGAGCAGAAAGGTAGGTGAATATATTTATTTAAGTTTATTCATTTTTAGTTCAAAAAATATATTCACAAAGAAAAGTTTGCATGCATATCCGCTTAGACTTGAAAAGGCACCTGCTAGGACTGGCCCGCCTGCGGCCTGGTCCGAGCCAAATCAACTCTTAAAGAGATCAGGCTAGGCCAGGTTTTGCAAACCATGGGTTGGAACCTAAATGTAGAGCCCCAAGAGCCAAGGTTTAGAGTTGAAGAACGGATTTATCCGGTTTTACTTTTTAGGTCCTGCTTTTGCCCAAGGACCATCTTTTAGACTTGGTTTTATTTTTTCAATACCAGTCTGACCTTAACAACTAAAGAGTTTACAAAGCTAGTTTGGAACACATATTCAGGTTAGGTCCCGCAACGATAAATTTGACTTAAGAAGTTGAAAAAAACGATTTCGCATAAGCGCCAAGAATTTCTTTTAAGGATATGTTACAGAACAGAAGACTGTCCCATTGAAAAATGTCACACAGGAACGCACGGAGATCTGCGAAATAGAATCAGTACCTTGGGATGAAATCATCACTAATAATAGTTTCATAAGTTCTTCTTTACAGCATAGCTACAACAAGATATGTGAAGAAGAAGATACGGCATATTGTGTTAAGCCATTTTTAAGCACACCTCTTCCGTCAACTTTTTTTGTAGGTTTCCACTTTTCAAAAAAAATTTTAATTTAAATAAAATTTTAATTTAAAAAAAACTTTTATCAAGCGTAAATAACATTGTAGGTCCTAAAAACACACGAAACAATTTTTTGCCCCATACCAAAGACTAGCTCACAGCTAACACTGGCTATTATGTGCTTGACCAACGATCCGCTTAGTTTCTTTTACAATCAACAACAAATCTTTAGAGACTACAATCTAGCGTAAGCAAGTTTATATTTAACTAATCATACTTATACAGTACTCTCTCTGTATAAGCAACCAGAAGGGACCGACATTTTGTGTTTACTACAGTGGTCTCTCTATATAGTGAGTCATCTGTATAAGCAACTCTCCTTATAGTAAACAAGAAATTTGGTCCCGCTAGTTCAATTTTCACTAATATTATAGTAAAAAGCCTCTCTGTAAAGACTACACCCCTTATAGTAAACACAAATTGTCGGTTCTTGCACGTTTCTTATATACAGAGAGTACCGTATAAAGTGCCTTGCTACTTTCTATTTGGTCCCGCCAAAATTTTTTTAGCACTAATACTGTTTTTAAAAACCAATTGTTTTAATTCAGGGAGTGTAACAAAACATCATTTCGTAACATGACAGACGGCGAACTAACTTTTGGTTCTGACATTAACAGTTGGACTAAGCTAGCTGTTGTCAGAGACCCAATCGATCGGTTTTTAAGCGCATTTCTGTTCGTGTGTGTGCGTGGTTACGAAAATGGCACTGAGTGCACACATGCTTGCTACGGGTGTGGTGCCAACCTAACATGTTTTGTGGAACGACAGTATGAAGCTCTTATGAAATTTGAACCTGACAATGAAGATGACTTGTTTTTGATGAGGCATATGTGGCCACAAAACTGGCGATGCGATATGCAGCAGAATTTAGAGGTTAGTTCTGTTTTGATGTTCTTTAGTAACCTTTATATAATACTGTAGAACTCGTATAAAAGTATAAAGAAAGACCTGGAAAAGGGCTCACTAAGTCCGGCCGGCTGCTTCTCAACTCGAACGTGGCCCAAAGTTTACTAAGCTAGGCCAAGTTGAATCAAATTTGAAAAGAATCGGGACGTACCTGCAAATATAAGCTCCAGAACCTTCACTAAACGGGGGCAGGCTAATTCAAACAAAATCTTTTGTTTGTCAATTTTTCTTTTCAGAACTTCACCATCATAAAATACGACTCCAATCCAAAAGTGTTTGTTCCAAAAATCATAGACTTCTTGGAAGCCAAGAATGTATCAACGCTGGCGACAAAGTACATAAAGGATGTTGTATTAAATAAAAGGACTTATCATTCTACATACAATAGCAAAGCACGAACTTTCTTTGAAGGACAACTAAGATCTTCTCTATACTTGATGGAAAAGGTTGTCAGAATGTATTACCATGATTTCAAACTGTTTGGTTTTCTTTTACCTCAAGGATTTGAATAAAATATAATATTTTTGACTCTTAACATACCCTACCCTACCCTACCCTACCCTACCCTACCCTACCCTACCCTACCCTACCCTACCCTACCCTACCCTACCCTACCCTACCCTACCCTACTCTACCCTACGCTATCCTGCCCTACTATTATATCTAATTTTAAGCAACAATATCTTATCTTACCCTGCTTTAGCTCCTTTTCTTCTGAACAACATATTACAGTAGAAGTCCTGTGTATCAAACTACTCTATAACAAAACTTCTGTATAACAATTCCAATAACTTCTAAATATAAGACCAACACTACACGGTGCATTTGGAACTCCGGTATAACAAAACTCTTGCATATTGCTTTTTACTACTATACATGCTTATGTTAACCAAACAACTACATTTTATTGTTTTTATTTAATTAACAACCAAATTTCGTAGTCCTCCCTATCGCTTGTAGTCGTCTCCATCTCAAAGCAGGAAGATGATCATAAAACGTATAGTTTACGTAATGATTTCCTATCACGTGTTGCTTATTAAACATGTACTCGTGCCAACATCCGATAGCACCATAGTCGTACGAGGGTTCTACCTTATGAGCAGTAAAGTCGTAAGCTGATTTCAATGATAACAAATCGATCAAAGTTAGAATACAGACATGATTGTGGAATCTTTGGCTAGGACACTCTTGACCGTAATTCCATTTGACAAACTTTGTTGCACTGGTCCGGTCGATGCACTTTTTACCGTTGTATGTGTCAATGTCCAGTAATGTGTTGTTGGTCAGTACGTTTATTAAAAATTCTGATTCTAGTTCGCGTACTGTTGAGTTTAAGGCTTTCACGAATTGCATTGTCTGAAAAAAGCTTGCGGGTGACAATTTACACGATAAATGCCATTTTTTGTTTTGTAAAGAGTTCTTGCCATTTCTTGTTTTGTAAAGAAAATTCTTGCCATTTTATGTTTTGTAAAGAAAGTTTTTGCCATGTGTTGTTTTGTAAAGAAAGTTCTTGCTATTTTTTGTTTTGTAAAGAAAATTCTTGCCATTTTATGTTTTGTAAAGAAAGTTTTTGCCATTTTATGTTTTGTAAAGAAAGTTTTTGCCAAAATAAAAATACTTACATGAAAAATGCGGTCGATAGTTAGTCTTGAAATTGTTCCTTGCGATATAGCCAAGACTTTGTTTTTCGAGTTTTCAAAAGCCGTGGCAACTTGTGGAGGAACGTCGTGGAAAGCACCCGAGTCATCAACACCACCAAACAATTCCAGAATTTTTATCAATTCTTGATTGGTTTTTATCATTATGTCGTAATTCTGCAAGTTTTACTTTGATATTAAGTATGGTACGACCACTTCTAAATATTCTATGTGAAAGAGATCAACCTTGAAAAAATACTACTACTCTTACTTCCAAAAACATGACATATCTCCACTGTCTATCCATCATCAGCTTCAAACACTCTAATTGGGCCAAAGCAACGTTTGAGCCATTTGACTTCATATCAAAAGTTCTTTCTGGAACGATAAGTTGCGGAAAACATTTTGCAAGTTGCCGAATTTGATATTGAAACTTAGAGCTGGCACTACTGTCCAACACATAACAATAAGTATTGTTTTTGTTGAAATTTGTTGCTAATTCAGATTCTTGGAATAGATAGTCCTAAAATAAATACTTATGTAAGTTTGTTTTGAAGCTTTTAAGAATAGTTATCAGAGTCTTTAAATGACTGTTTTGGAGCTGTAGCTGTGCTGAACGCGGAGCGGTCTGCAGTTGTGCCACAGCCGTGCTAAGGCCAAGGTCGTACTAAAGCCGATTTTGTGCTAAACCCAAAGCCGTGCCAAAGCCGGAGCCGTACCATAACCATGCTAAACCCTGAGGCATCGTTCCAAACCCTGAGGCACTTTGAAGCCGAAGCCGTGCCAAAGCCGGAACCAAGCAAAAGCCGCGCTAGCTTCAGGAGCCTTAAGAAGGTATCTTCTAGCTCCGGCGCTGCCTTTTCAAGTTTTAGTCTCGGGTCCGGATCAAGATCTCGCAGCCGAGCAGAAGCTACCCTGGAGCCGGAGCAAGCTCCGGAATCCTTAAAGACTCTAAATATTGTTAATAAATCTTACTTTATAAACAATTCTCACAAAACCAATGGGAAAATCGGCTTCTCTAGGATACGTTTCGTTGACGAATGTCTGCCGTCCGTGTATGTCTTCACACTTCATTGACAGATCGGGAGGGTCAATTAATGGTATTGGAGTATAGGCTAAAGCTTCCGACGATTCTTCGTTAAGGTACGCTGAGCAATTAACTTCTGATATTATTGGGTTTGGTTTGAAAACTGGTGCTAAAAATTGTATAGCATTAAAATTAATTTTTGGTTTACGGACCTGTAATCAATTTCAATAAAAAAGTTGTTGCCATTTTTTGTTTTGTAAAGAAAGTTCTTACCATTTCTTGTTTTGTAAAGAAAGTTATTGCCATTGTATGTTTCTTAAAGAAAGTTCTTGCCATTTGAAGCTTTGTAAAGAAAGTTTTTGTCAGTTTTTGTTTTGTAAAAAAAGTTCTTGCCATTTGAAGCTTGTAAAGAAAGTTCTTGCGTTCTTGTCATGTTTTGCTTTGGAAACAAAGACTTTTTGAATAAACCTACCTATTCGAACTTCTAAATGTTCATTCTCAGCTGTTGGTTTTGTAACAAATACTGCGTATAGTATAACAAACCAGCATATTGCACTGCCAAAGATTATAGATATATACATCAGCGACTGCATTTTTCTCATTTTCGTTAGCATTCCCATTACATTTTGTACCTTTTTTAAAATTTTCTTGGTGTTTTCACCAAGTTGTTTCTGGAGCATGAAGAACCTGTAATGTTTATAGTTATTTAAAATCTTTAACATAACAAGTACTGAATACACGTAACACAACAAGTTGCTCAAATCACTGTTTAGCCGTAGCAGCCCCTATCAGGTGTAACCCAGCTCCTTTTAAGTTTGTTACGGCTTGACCCGACGCCGGGTAGCGGGCCTTCTTTCAGGTCTAATGGTAAACAAAACATAACAATAAAAATGAAACCATATAAAACTATACTTTAAAGACTCAGAAAAAGTTTATTTATGAATATTTTAATAAGCGTTTTCACTGCTAAACAAGTTTCTAATTGACATTCAATAGAAAATGTTTAAAGGGTCGCCGTGGAAAAGTTATCAAACTTAAACATCTGAAGACGAAGTTTTTATTAAAGTTTCGAGACATTTATTTTTTTCAATTCAGATTTATTAATATATCACTGAAATGATGTACTGAAGCAAATGTGATGAAAAGATCGCTCCATATTTCTGAGAAAGTCGTCCAACGTTGTTTGGTGGTGTTAGCCTCATTATGCTTCCAACTTTGACGATAACGTCAATTCAGCGCTTTCTTGGCTTTGCAAACGGTCTTTATAAAAACCAGCATCCAAGTATATCAAAGAGCCATTGCTCAATTAACCTATTGTACAGCGTATATTCAGAGCCAAGGTATACATAAGCGTTTAAATGCTGTCAGGTTTTTGAAAAACCGAGAACATCAGAGAAAACGTTTTCAAAGGTTGTGCTTTACGTTTGGTAGTTTGCATACTTAGTCGTTGCTAGCTATACCTCAAACATTTAACGTTCCATTCCTTAGAAACGATCTTATAACATAATGGGGGTCCACTCCTTTGTTAATTCTTCTGCGCCAGCATCGGTGGGAGAAATATCGACCGCTTGTTACTGTTAGAACGAAAGAAATCAGAAACGTTTATAGTTTTCTAAATATTTTGGCGGATTGTGCTTGCGAAAAATTAAACGTATAGCATGGTTCAAAAACTATTTATTACTCTGTAAAAAACGTATTATTGATAGCCTGGCGGTAATGGAAAACCAAACACTTTAAAATCATGATAAAACATCCTGACGACTTTGTCCATCAAATAAGACGATGAACGTAGACGATCTTCATAAAACTGTCGAGCCCTAGTACTAACTGTGGCATGGTGTGTTCTTTCGTTCATAGACACATCTTTAATATAGTTTAAGGCTTGGGCGGATATATTTTTGGATTCAAAGAAGTTGATCAAACGTGGAATGAATATGTTTGGATCAGTATCGTGTTTGATTATGGTTGCGTTCTGAAAAATTGAGTTATTACGCTTTTTAGTTTACTTGATAGCTCATCCTACCATACCCTAATTTAACCTACTCTACTCTACCCAACCTAATAAAATAAACTGACATGTCGATATTTGCCCATATCACACCACCAGTTCTGGGGCCATGTGTGTTGTAATAGGAAGCTGACAGCGTAATCTCCACGATTGAACCGCATCAACATATTGTACTCTTTTTCGACAAAACAAGTGAAATTGTAACCGCAGCCATTACATTCATGTTGGCATTTATCAGGCTTTTCGTAGCCTTTGATGCAAGCAAATACAAAAGCGCTCAGGAAACGGTCGATTGGATCTCGTACGACCGTTAGCTTAGTCCAATCATAAACTTCTGGACCATGGACTTCAGCAGCTTCTTCCATTGTCCATCTTGAGTTCTTCAGGCAATTACTAAATTGGAAATGTTGAAAATTCGATTGTTAATTGACAACTTGTAAAATTATTTATAACCTTTTATTATTCTTGATTAAAAAATAAACAGTAAGTGACCGGCTCTTTTTGGTTTATCTTAATATAAGATAAATTCTGAAAACTTTGTTAACTTACTTTGCGTCAAAATTGCCAAAAATCTTTTTTTGATTATAGAAAAAGCCCAGTTCGTCATTCAGTAAACAGTTGATAGCGTAGAGCAAAGTAGAACCTGTCTTTGGGATTGAGCACATAATTATTTTGTGTGTTTTCATGTCCTGTAATTACGATAAGGTTGCTTTTAACAAGATTTAAATCGTCAGATAAAAAAGTTGCAAATAGTTACAACAAATAAAACAATACTAACAAAGAAGTTGCACTAAGCAACCGTCGGGTTTTTTTAGAAAAATACCTATATAGAATGAAAAAACATAAACAGTTACCAAAAAAAACATTTTTAAAAATTACTAACTCGGCTGCCGAGTTACAGTACGCTCAATATATGGAATTGCACCAAAATATCATTCGGCTTTTAAAACAAGACCTATAGGACAAACAAGATGACAGGTTACTAAGAAATCATTACTTACCTTAAACTGTCTATTGTTATCGACTGGTAAAAAAGGTTTAACACAATTTTCAGCATCTCCGCCTTCACATATCCTGTCATAGGAAGAAGATACTTCTGGTAGTGGGTCGCTGTTCATAGCTAGCATTTCATTCTCTGATACACACGTTTTATGGCAATTTCTACTGTTTTTTTGCGTGATATTACTAGTGCTCTTTAAAACACACTCTGGAAAGGAAGTTTTAGACTAGCTACTAACAGATAGGATTAAGTAGACTTAAAGGGGCCCAAACAAAGCCTGGCTTATAGGCAAGGCCAAAAATTGGGTCCGACCTGTAGACCTGGCTTTACGGCGAGGCTGGGTCGATTTTTGAGCCTGACCTGCGGGATAAAGCCTACCGAACTATCAAAAAGCCCGGCCCGACCAAATGTTGGTCAGACCTGGCTCGGAAACCATTTCTATCGGCCTTACCTCTTTACAGGTCTAGGCTTAAAAATTAAATAAATTTTTTAACTATTTCTAAGAAATCAACATACCATCTCCCTTATTGCTGATAATGTATTGTGAAAAAATGAGATAAGTAGAGTAGCACATTAACACTGCCAGACAAACGTATGTAAGTTCTTTTTGCCGGCGAGAAAAAAATATTTTCATTTTCACGCAAAAGTTATATTTCAAACAATATAAAAAGTACTGTACAATGCTGGCAATAAAAAACAGTTAATCTGAAAAAGAAAAACATCAATATAAAGTTACTACAAAATAATATTGCACGTAACACAAAAAAATGCGCTGTGTAGTGTTAGCCGGCTATTCAAGTTTTACCCTAGCCTACCCTATCTTACAGTATTCAAAAAAGCTTACCTTAGCTCTACCCTACTCTACGCTTTGCTGGCCTTATAATACCCTATTGTGTCTACCGTAGTCACTCTAAGCCCTTACATTACCCTACCTTACCCGTCTTCTACACTATTTTTATTTGATACCGTATTCTACACTACCCTTATTTGAATCTCTGTCTCCGAGGTATTTGGCTTGCCAGTTGCCAATGGAGGTAACCAAAGCAATGTTCCATCCAAAATTTATAAATGAGTTTATTACTAAAAGTTCTTCTAATTGCAATTAGCTAAACATCATGTGCGTCGTCAAGTTATCGACTCAACAATCTATAATATAATTTTCCGGAGGTTTATCCTTCTCCAATTTACTTTTTGATACCCTCAAGTCTTTGTTTCGAGACGTTTCACATCTTATCTCTGCTTTCGCTTTTCTTTAAAATATTCAACAGAAAAGCCACCAGAAATTAAAAAAAAATAACTAAAGGAACTGAACTGTATGCCAGCCTTATGCTTAAAGTTTTAGACTTAAGTTTTCTAAGCTTAGGATTTTGTGGGTTATTATAATAGTTTCTCGCTTCTAGGTTTAGGTTTCTAGTCTTAGGCTTTAGGTTTAGACCACTAGCTTTACGCTTCTAGGCATAAGCCTTTATGCTTAAAATTCGAAACTCAAGTTATTAGGTTACCTTTTTAGGATTACGCTACTAGGCTTAAATCATTTTTTAATTTTCAAATAAATTTTTAATTTGATTGTGCTCGTAAAAAACCTCAAGTTAATTTAAAAATTGTTTATTACTTAGACTCCGTAACAAAGATCGTATTATTGATAGCCTGGTGGCAACGAAAAACCAAACACTTTGAAATCATGATAAAACATCCTGACCACTTTGTCCATTAAATAAGGCGATGAACGTAGACGATCTTCAAAGAACTGTCGAGCTCTAGTACTAACTGTGGCATGATGTGTCCTTTGGTTCATAGTAATATCTTTGATATAGTTTAAAGCTTGGGCGGAGATATTTTTGGATTCGAAGAAGTTGATCAAACGTGGAATGAATATGTTTGGATCAGTGTCGTGTTTAATTATAGTTGTGTTCTAAAAAATTGAGTTCATACGATGCTTTTAATTTTAACTCTACTCTACCGTATCTTACAATACTCTACTCTACCCAATCTAATTAAATAAACTAACATGTCGATATTTGCTCATATCACACCACCAATTTTGCGGCCATGTGTGTTGTAATAGAAAGCTGGCACCGTAACGTCCACGGTTGAAACGCATTAACATATCGTACTCTCTTTCGACAAAACAAGTAAAGTTTGAACCACAGCCATTACATTCATATTTGCATTCATTAGGTGTCTCATAGCCTTTGATACAAGCAAACACAAAAGCGCTCAGAAAACGGTCAATAGGATCACGTACGACTGTTAGCTTAGTCCAGTCATAAACCTCTGGACCATGGACTTCAGCAGCGTCTTCCATTGTCCATCTTGCATTGTTGAAACAATCACTAAAGTCACATTATGCAAAATTGATTGATAATAGACAACATGAAAATCTTTTAAGAATGTTTATCAACTTTTAAGTTACATGTTGCAAACTTACTTTGCGTTAAAATCACCAAAAATCTTTTTTTTATTATAGAAGAAGCCTAGTTCGTCATTCAGTAAACAGTTGATCGCATAGAGCAGTGTGGAGCCTGTCTTTGGAATTGTGCACATCATTATGTTATGTGTCTTCATGTCCTGCAATTATGGTAAGGTTTTTTTTAGTTGTCGGATAAAAAGCTACAAATAGTTCGCAATAAAAATTTCTTCATTTATAAGTTTTAAACTTTTATGATCTCAATAATTAAGACCGCTTAATTTCGAACGCAATAAAAGGTCCTAAAAAAATTTATTAGAACCGAATTCGTAATGATTTTTTTATTCTGATTTTTTGCTAGGACAATAACCGGTTGTGAAACGGCCTTGAATTTGTCGTCAATTCATCTCAAATCCAAAATGGAATTCAACAATATCTTTGTATATTACATACAATATCGGAACCTACCCTATTAATTGTGATCTGCCTCTAGTGCAACATGTCTATATCAAAGAAAAACTGTAACAGATGGAATTTGGGTAAAATAATAGTTTATTTAGTTTTCACTAAAAGGTTGATTGTTACAGTGGAGAAGTAGAAGAAATCAGCATTACGATTATTAATAAGTGGGTTTTGCTTGGTACAATTATTATGTCTAACGAACAGACCTTCTATGTGACACTCGGACAATAAACCCACCCACCCAACCGTATGGCGCAAAATTACCTATGCACGGTACGTATACTTTTTTACGTATTGGTTAATGTTTTTTTATACATATTGCTTAATTTGTTTATCTTATATAAGGTTTGTCATACAGCCCCTATCATATTTGGTGCAATTCCCTAGTAAGACTTAAAATGTAGGGCTTACTTTAAACTGTCTACTGTTGTTGACGGGTAAAAAAGGTTTAACACAATTTTCCACATCTTCGTCTTCACATATCCTCTCATAGGTTGAGGATACGTTTGGTAGTGGGTCGCTGTTCATTGCTAGCATTTGAGTTTCGAATACACACTTTCGACTGCAAAATCGACCGTTGTTTTGCGAAATATTGCTATTGCTTTTTAAAACGCACTCTAAAAAGAAATCTTTAGGCTGGCTACAAAGAAGTAGGCCTAAAGAAGCTTGAAAAAAAAGCCCAAAAAGAGTTTGGCTTATAAGCTGGCCCGAAATTCAGGACCGGGCTGTGGACCTTGCTTTTTTGCTAAGCGGAGTCAATTTCTGTGATGGATCTTCGGGATTGAGCCTGCTGGATTATCAAAAAGCCCGGCCCTTCTAAATGTTGCTCAAGCCCGACTCAGAAGCTATTACCACCGGCCTTGCCTCTTGACAAGTCTAGGGTTAAAAATTGAAAAAAATGTTTAAATATATTTAAAAAATCAACATACCATCTCCTTTATTGCTAATAATGTACCGTGAAAAAATGAGGTAAGTAGAGTATCCTAATAACACTGCCAAACCAACGTATGTAAGTTCTTTCTGCCGTCGAGGACAAAGTATTTTCATTTTCAAATATATATTTATAGTTTGAAAAAAAAGTGGATTGGACAATGTCAGCTAGAGAAAAAAAATTTAACCTGAAAAAGAAAAACATAAAAGCCAAGCAACTATGAAATATGAAACTACACGTAATAGGAACAAAAAGTTGCAAGCCGCGGCCTACCGTTTCTCTTTTATTTCAACTTTTAAAAGAAATGGGTTGAAATAAACAGTTATTTTTCACTTTTCATTGTTAAAGCTTCTACAATTACAATCTGGGAGATATAGATTTGATTAGTATATTTGATGCCGTAGATTGTAACGTACTGTGCTGATGTGCAATTATGTTCAAGGTTCAGATGAAGCTATTCTTGAGTCTGACGTTTCCCATAATTGGGCATCTCCCCAGGTACTTCACGGTTTCTCGCGTAACTAAGTCGTGGTTGAGGTTTTCTATAAGACTTCTGGCGTTGAACCATATACTCGTGTAGGTCAACTATAGATGTGCTTAGTCCCCGTGCACTCAGCGCTGCCAATTCTTTAAGGCGCCTGGGTTAAGCGGGCACGGGGTCCAACCAAGGTCCTTCCGAATAGCGAGCGGTGCTACATCCACTGCGCTACCAACGCACCCTACCCTACCCTACCCTACCCTACCCTACATTGCTCTACCCTACCCTACCCTACCCTACCCTACCCTACCCTACCCTACCCTACCCTACCCTACCCTACCCTACCCTACCCTACCCTACCCTACCCTACTCTACCCTACCCTACCCTACCCTACCCTTTCGTTCATAACAAACAAATTTGAAAAGCCCTAGCCATTTTTTATACAGACGTGTTACTGCAAACTTTTCCGGCCTACCCTAATCAACTTTATTCCTCCCTACATAACTAAATCAAATTGAAGTTCCCATATGTTAATGTTCTTTTATAAAGAAAAAGTCGCCGATAGATTAGTTACACACAAGTCCCACTACATTTAAGACATTGAAGAAGGAAAACTACGCAAGTCTATATGCTAAACTTGTTTATAATTCACATTAGCTATATGTATAATTCTCGTTAAAAATTTATCGACCCAAAAATCTATAAGAAGTTTATTTATCTTGCAGACACTTCTCTTTTTCAATGTGTTTTTTTTTTGCTATGCTCAAGTTTTTGCTGCGAGATTCGTAGCTTATCTTTAGATTTGCTTTAGCTTTTAATATAATACTAGAGCAACCAAAAATTAAAAGTTTAAAACCAAATCAAATTAAAAATTCAAACAGGACATCAGCTACAGCTCGTTGTTTTTTAAATGTACAGTTGGGACGACGTTTACTAGCCGATATTTTTTTTCTAGGTGAAAGGATTGTGCAGCTAAATTTCAAACAAAATAAGCCGTGATATGTGCACAAAACTTTATTTCCAAATTTGATGTCTACAATTACATAAAGAGCATATCATGCCCATTCCTTTCATAGAAAGCTTAAAAATTAATGATCATTAGTAGGTTTAGATTGACACAAACTGTCGTAGATGCTCTTGCCAAGAACCCACTTATCACCATCCACAGCTGTTACCTTGAACTCATAAGTGGAGTTGCGGAAGAACTGTTTGCCATTGGCGGCGGTGATCTTGATCAGCAAGGGGTTGCTTTGGAAGAAGGTGTCGACATTGTCTTTGGTTAGAAGAGCTTTCTTGAAGGCTTTGTTGACAGATTGGGGTACACCGATAGAGTCGTCAGAGCCACCAGAAATCACTTTTTGGTCAAAAAAGTCAAGTTGTTCAGCTAAAACATTAAATTTTGTTTTTAGTTTTTATATAAAAATAAGAAATTTTGAGTGTGCTTTGAACTCTGTCTTTTATCTGCAGTATTGGTAAGATAACAGCTCTTACATTATCAATAGTATCATTCAAAACTTACTCATAATCCCTTTGTATGATCCAAAGTTGATAGTAGGACCAGTAGAGTCTTGGCCGAGGTCGCAAGCTTGACATCCTAAGCCCACCAGAACTGCTACAGTAAGAAGACGAGCGAACATGATTGAGGACAAACTAGGTTGATACACATTCACATTTAGAAACACCCTTTTATAGCAAAAGGCTTGTGTGAAAGCACGTTTTGTTTGTTTGAAGTTGATACAGCTGTTTGAATATTAAAATTTGCAAAAAATACAAATCAATCCTGTGTGTTACAAAAATTGTATTTTAAAGGTCTATAGCTTTTGTGATTTCAACTGTATGTTTAAATATGAGCTAAAGTTTTCAAAAATAGTTGCATATTTTGCAAAACGAGGCTATCTCAATCACATTAATTATGAACAAGGAAATCTTGATAAAATTGCAGACTCACAGCACACACAAGAATGGTAATTTATTCGTTTGATGAAAAAATCAGTCAAAACGTAAAATTTTAGCAGATTTTTTCGTCTTTCCGTTTTTAACGCTATTTTTCTTTCTCTGACAACTGTCGACAACGAGAGCAACGAAGAGAGTGCGGAAAAACGAGAGACGCAAAAAATGAACTAAATTTCCGCGTTGCTTGAGTGTTGTTGCCATCTGAAAAACAAATCTTATATTGTTGTATGCTGCAAATCAATTGCTGTAACTTTATCTAGGTTTTCCCACTTGGGATCATTGTTATTGAGGTAGCCTAGTTTAGCGGCATTTAAGGAAAAATTTAATTGGCATTTTAGAAATGTATGTTTATCTACGTATTTTTGTTTTTTGCAACATTGTTTTAGTTTTGCTTTTGATTGTACGTAAGCCTTACTTTACTTTGTTACTTTATTTTACTATTTTTTAAGTTATGTCTTTTGTTACTTAAGTTAGGCCCTTACAAGGCAAGTCCACAACCTCACTAGTTCTTCTGTTAGGGCATTGATTTGGGCTTGGCCCACGAACCCGCATGCTTTGGCCTTCTCTTTAAAATGTGTTTCGGTCCGGTCCGGCCTTTCCCTAGTTATTATACAAGTGGCCGAACTTCTGGTCCACACGTTCCAGTCCGCCCTGGTCTTTTTAAAGTTTCTTCAGCTTGGACCAGTTGTACACGAGGCCGGACCGGGATCTTTGCAATCTAATGTAAATTGAGTGTCCACGTCCTTTAATGTGATAAAATGTTTGATATTATGAAGTCTAAAATAGAAGTCATTTTAACAAACTTAACACAGAATTTTATGAGTAAGCCTACAAAAATAATCGTCATGCTTTTCAGAAATGGATGGAAAAAGAGCATTCAAGGTCTAATCCTCTAAATCTTTTTATTGGCTCAGCTCATTTTGTGAACTTTGATGAGTAAGTTTTTGCAGACAGCTTCTTCACTTTTTATTTTTTCTATTTAAATTTGGTTAAACAAAACAAATTCCATTTTTAGCGATAATGCAAATACAGTTTTGTTAAATTGTATGGCCAAAAATGATAAAAGAAAAGAAATTATCACGGATACTACGTTACCTTTATACTGTTTGAGTGACAAAAATGAACGCGTTACACCTGAGCTCTACTTTGCTGATGGTAGTAGATTTTGTTCGTGGAAAAATTATTTTGTAAATTGTCCTTTTAAACAGCCTGTAAAAACTGTAAAACTAATTGACGATGAGGGCTATGGCCTTAATGTAAGTGTTCATTGCCTTGCCGTTGCCTTGTCGTTGCCTTGCCGTTGCCTTGCCGTTGCCTTGCCGTTGCCTTGCCGTTGCCTTGCCGTTGCCTTGCCGTTGCCTTGCCGTTGCCTTGCCGTTGCCTTGCCGTTGCCTTGCCGTTGCCTTGCCGTTGCCTTGCCGTTGCCTTGCCGTTGCCTTGCCGTTGCCTTGCCGTTGCCTTGCCGTTGCCTTGCCGTTGCCTTGCCGTTGCCTTGCCGTTGCCTTGCCGTTGCCTTGCTTTGCCGTTATCTATCTACTCTACCGTAATTCACCCTGCGTTACAATATCATATTTTATCTTATATTACCCTACTTTACTATATCATACTCTACTGTACCCTTCCTTACTCCTTGTTTCAGATACCAGTAAAAAGACCTAAACAGGGCAACATCCCTCTAGCCGCATGTATCTCCAGAAGTTTTTTCTTTGAGAATTGGCAAATATTATTACCTGCACTGGAATTGTACAATGCTATGGGTGTTTCTGAATTTAGTATGAATATTATGAGCATCGATTACAATTTATATAAACTGTTGCAATTATATCAAACAAGCCTGAATTTAACTATTAATCCAGGGATAGTGATGCCTATGATTGTAAGTAAATAGCTTAAAAATCGGATTTTTTTGAAACTTTTTGCAAATCAAATCTTTCGTTGCGGGACCTAAGTGACTCCTTGGGACTTTTAGTTACGCGGGCTTTTACGGTCCGAGTCAAATCCATTCATAATAAGGGTGAGAAACGGGCCAGGCTTGAAAATTGGGTCCGGCCTAATAAAAAGTTTTTTAAATTAATTTTAAGCACGGCCAAGACCCGAACAAAGAAACTTATGTTGTGAATCAGTTTGTGAATAACAACGATTGCTTCTTTGATTACCGTGAAGCGGCCGAATTTTTATTGTTTGTGGACGCTGATGACCTTATTGTATCAACGAGTGGAAGCTTAGTTGGCACAGCCAAAAAATGGCAGCGTCGACACCCTGACGCGGCTGGATTTGAGTTTTTGTGGAATTTTGCTGAATTTGTAAAAAGTGAGTAAAACCTAGGGTAGGGTAGGGTAGGGTAGGGTAGAGTAGGGTAGGGTAGGGTAAGGTAGGGTAGGGTAGGGTAGGGTAGGGTAGGGTAGGGTAGGGTAGGGTAGGGGTAGGGTAGGGTAGGGCAAGGTAGGGTAGGGTAGGGTAGGGTAGGGTAGGGTAGGGTAGGGTAGGGTAGGGTAGGGTAAACACAAATTTAAATTTAAAAATAAATTCCAGACGTTACACCGAGCGATTTCTCTATTCCAAGCATGATCAATAACACAAACGTTATCCTAATCTCAACCTATGGCAAATCAATCGTAATTCCAAAAAGGATTGGTCGTTCTTCTCTACATTATGTCCGTGATATAAAATACAAAGGGCAATCAGCTAAGTCAGTTAATGTCTCATTAGACGAAGGATATACCATTCACTTCCGCTATCCTACATCAGCTATTAGAACGGGTATATTTAAGAAAGAGGTATCGAAGAAAAGATTCATATTAAGAATACCTGACAGCTCCGAAAACCCAACTTTGATTCCACCGTCCACGTTAAGCATGGCCAACAAGAACTTTCAAGCTCGTATTCAAGAAAAGTCATTTTTCGATGCATTCCATCTTTTACCAACCAAACACTATTACGAGGACCAATTGAAAAAGTGTTATACATATATAGAAAAAATAATCAAAGGTGCTTGTAGCTTGATGCAGTACTGTAACATAACAAAAAGTGAAAAGATAACATGTACTCGTTTACATGGAGAGTACAGTGCCTACACGTACCCTAAGCTCAACTTATTTTTGGCTACTCAACGACAACTTGTTGAGAATACTGCCTGTGATCTTGAAGTGCCTCAGCCTGTGTATGTATAAAAGAAAATTAATAAAAATTAAAATTTTTTTGTAGTTTGAAAAGATTTTTTTTTTAAATTGAGTGAACGAAAATAAATATACAAAAAAATTTAACCGCAACATAGAGAAAACGACCGAAAAAGTTTTGTAACAGAACTTTTGGCGCACCCTTTTGTTGATATTGATACAACTGTAACTTGTACTTCTAAAAATCCGCAATTTACAAAAAATATAAATACATCTTGTGTTACATCTAATACAAACTATTTGTTTAGCTTTGGATTAAAAAATTAAATTTTTTTGAAGAAACGTTTAAGTTAGGCTTATTTAGCTAGTTTTTTTAAGAAAAAAAAATAAATGTTAAAATTGCCTGAGGTTTGATACAAAACGCCAAAGACTTTCGAGAACGCTTTGTGGTCTATTAAAAATTTGAACGATCTGGCCAATTTAGACCCACTCATTCTCCGACTTAAACATACAGTTGAAATAACAAAAGCAATAGACCTTTAAAATACAATTTTTGTAACACACAGGATTGATTTGTATTTTTTGCAAATTTTAATATTCAAACAGCTGTATCAACTTCAAACAAACAAAACGTGCTTTCACACAAGCCTTTTGCTATAAAAGGGTGTTTCTAAATGTGAATGTGTATCAACCTAGTTTGTCCTCAATCATGTTCGCTCGTCTTCTTACTGTAGCAGTTCTGGTGGGCTTAGGATGTCAAGCTTGCGACCTCGGCCAAGACTCTACTGGTCCTACTATCAACTTTGGATCATACAAAGGGATTATGAGTAAGTTTTGAATGATACTATTGATAATGTAAGAGCTGTTATCTTACCAATACTGCAGATAAAAGACAGAGTTCAAAGCACACTCAAAATTTCTTATTTTTATATAAAAACTAAAAACAAAATTTAATGTTTTAGCTGAACAACTTGACTTTTTTGACCAAAAAGTGATTTCTGGTGGCTCTGACGACTCTATCGGTGTACCCCAATCTGTCAACAAAGCCTTCAAGAAAGCTCTTCTAACCAAAGACAATGTCGACACCTTCTTCCAAAGCAACCCCTTGCTGATCAAGATCACCGCCGCCAATGGCAAACAGTTCTTCCGCAACTCCACTTATGAGTTCAAGGTAACAGCTGTGGATGGTGATAAGTGGGTTCTTGGCAAGAGCATCTACGACAGTTTGTGTCAATCTACTACGCCTACTAATGATCATTGATTTTTAAGCTTTCTATGAAAGGAACAAGCATTTTATGCTATTTATGTAATTGTAGACGTCAATTTGTCCCCGAATTTAAGTTTTAAAAAAAATATAGTTTGTGCACATATCACGGTTGTTATTTGTAGTAAATGTGAAATGGTTAAACACTAGCTTATATGAAAAATGTGTTAGCTACACAAATTTTCAGCTACACAATCGCAATTGCCTTAAGTTTTATACGATTTGATCAGTTGTCTCTTACGACACCACAAAAGTTTACGTTCCACAAGTTCAAAACGGCGACTTTTACATGTCCGAAAAGTCCGATCTGGTAGACCATCAGCGTTGAAGAAACCCCACCTTCTGAAGCTGATCGAGGAAGACCCCAGACGAACCTGTACTCATTTGATTGTAGAGCTTCAGTGTGACCCTTCTACCATATTAATAAGACTTCACGACCTTGGGGGATTATTATTTTTTAAATATTAAATTTTGTTATTTCTTTACACTGCAGTTCCAAATTTCAATTTTTTTTAGATAAACTTTGAACAGAAAAGTATCCTCAAAGGAGCTTAGCGTTTTTTTCCTTAATCTTTTGATGGAAATCTCAAATTAATTTTATTCTGCAATCTCTAAACCTAAGCGGCAAATAGAACATATGCGCAAATTGCAGCGCAAAAAACTCTTTTGTTGTTGACTTTTTGAAACATTCGTTGAACTATAATATGTTATTGCACATTCAAGGAATTCGATGCATAGCGATAGCATTTGTTGTGTTGTATCATTTGCGGCCAGATCTCATCAAAAATGGCTATCTTGGTGTGGATGTGTAAGTTACATTTATTAATAAAAACAATTTTTTAAAATCTTACCCTACCCTACCCTACACTACCCTACCCTACCCTACCCTACCCTACCCTAACCTACTCTACCCTACCCTACCCTACCCTACCCTACCCTACCCTACCCTACCCTACCCTACCCTACCCTACCCTAACCTACCCTACCTTTGCCTATACAAATACCCTCGCCTGTATCCATGCCCATTTCCACATCCGTTGTTCAACCTCCTAAGCTTAAACATTATTTAAATTTTTAGATTTTTTGTAATTTCCGGCTTCCTAATGCATATGTTAATGAAAGACCGTGATCTCACTGTGTCAACCATTTCAAACTTTTATTTTCGCCGTTTACGACGAATCCTACCGCTCTACGTTACTATATTACTATCAACAGCAATTATAGCTTACTTTGCATTTAACATATTCGTGTTTAATAATGTGTTAACTGAACTGAAGACTGCTGCTACATTAACATCGAAAAAAGCGCTACTGAAATGACACTTAAAAGAAACAGCTGTAGGATTATACAGTGCCTACAAATACTTTTATTGATATTTTTCATCATTCAACTTAGTTTTGAAGTGACATATACAACTTGGCTTAAAAGAAGCTTAATCACCCTGACTTCAGCGGCAGTTATACTCTTCATGGACGATTGTAAAGTACTTTTGAATTCGAAAATAGTTTATGTCGGCAACATATCGTACTCATTCTACTTGGTACATTGGCCAGTAATTTTGTTTTACAAGTACTTGAACAGTACCAATGACAACGTTATTTCGATTGAAAGTGGGTTTAATACAGTTTTTTTTACACTTTGCTAGAGAGGGTCCACTAAACCCGTACCGGTTCTGGGCGAGAGGAGGCACGTTAAATTCCTAGGCGAGAGGAGGGCAAGCACGTAGCACCTTTTTAAAGCCAGGCCAAATCAATAAAGCCCAAATGTTGGGGCTCAAATCAAAGCAAGAAAGGACCCAGCTAGTATAATATTATATTGTTGAACCAAAAGTAGTGAGACACTCTTCAGTTGAAAAATTACTAAGAAGTGTCCCGTTACTTTTGGTTCAACTTAATAAATACAACTTGAAACCGACCTAAACCTAAATAAATTTGAAATATTTTTTAATCCCGCTTTGGCTTTGACCAGGGCTAACACTAGACAGAACAAGGACACTGAATCATAGTTGAAAGATTCCTGGCGGGCCGGAGCTTAAAAAAAGCGCCGGAGCCCACCTTATTTAACGTTAATTGCCGACATAAAGAAACCGCCATACTTTTCCTTTTAATTTCCTGTAAAAAACGACGGGTTTTTTTTATGTCGGCGCCTAATATTAGGCTCGGCCCCTTTACAAGCCCAAATTTCACGATACTTCTGCATAGCACTGAATGTTTTTCTGTAACTTCAGCCTAGCATTTTTTGTTTTACATCTTTTCTAAAAACGCTTTCAGGCGGGCTTTTTCTACTGATCGTAAATGTCCTTCTAAGCATGTGCTTCGAAAACTTATTTAAACATTTGTCGACAATTCTGAATAATTGGCCAAAACTTTTGTTAACCCTCACCATGCTTTACATATCGTTAGTTGTGATTTACATAAAACTTCAAACCACGTACAACACGTTCAATCGCTATACCAATACGAACGACATTACAAAGATGTACCAGCGAACTATAAATGAAGCTTTGGAGTATTATGAGAATCCAAACAAAACGGCAACTTTAGAACAAATGGCTGATTTAAACGTACGATCGGTGTTAGTAAAAGAGCAGTTCTTCGACTCATTGAAAAGAATTAACACGTCGTCGAACACTGCTTCGTACTTCCACCAAGATAAAATTGGTTTTTTAAAAACTTATTAGGAAAAAGCCAATCACATTGGGAGGTACTGTAACGTAAAGCGGGTTCCAAATTTTAAAGAGAGATTTTTATACAAAGACGCCCTGGTAAAAGTATTATATATACATGGAACTGTAAGGGAAACCACTAGTCCAACCTCGGCCCGGTTTATTCCAACCGAGTCTAAACAAATGTTATAAAATAGCTAAATTGGGTTGACACATGTAAGCAGAGCCAAAACCTTGATTTGGGCCTTGACCCAAGTGCTTACAAGTGCCGACAACGCATTTTACAAAGTAGCTGGGCCTTGGCCATGCTAGGCTTAATAAGTCTTTTTTTAAGTCTAGCTACCATACCATATTATACCATACCATACCATACCAATTATTTCTATACATATAATTACAATTAAACTTTTTAGGGTACAGGAAAAAAACACATTTTCGTGCTAGGAAATAGTTTAGCACGAGACCTTTACTTGGGCATGTCAGCCAGGATGAAAAGTTTATACAGTACACTTACCCTTTACTTTATACCTTCTACAACACCGTTTCGTAAAGAACCGCAACTCGGCACACCAGATGCATTCTACGAGGCTGTTCAACAAAGCACAATACCGATTGACATTTTAGTTGTTAGACTTAGGTATGTAAGAAGGGGGAGGGGAGGGGGGGGGGTGGGGGGGGATAGAAGAAGCATTAAATCGACTCATATACAAAGCATATTTTTTCGTTCAATTATTCGCGTTTTTTTTCAGTCATGTATTTGTAAGAGACAACTCTACCTACCAAAAGCATGATATGTTCGATGATATGCAGACGTTTTACACTACACTACAACAAAAGTCAAAAGCCAAACATATAGTTATGGGTTATTTAGACTACAAGAAAGAGTTTGTATTTGAAAAATTTACAAATGACGTATTGAAAAATGACACTCAAAAGTATGATTTCAATTTCTTAGTGAGTTTCTTTACAAAAATACTTCCTTTGACTTGGTTTCTATTTTTTTTTTCTAAATTTACTCGTAAAGTTATACAGGATATAATAAAGAAAACTATGTTTTAAGAAAGCCAAGAAAGACACGTTGCACGTAAATCATATGATTCACAAAATAAAATGCCAAAATTGCATTAAAATCGACTTTTCAAAGCCATTGTGTGGCTACTTTACGAAAACATGTATATCGTCGCTACCAAATGGCATTTCAATATTTCGCGATAGACTTCACACAACACCGTTTGGGTCGTTTTATTTGGCCGACTTATTGACCGATGAGTTACGACTTTACAATGCTATATGAAGTATTCCGAAAAGAAAGCTTTTAACTGACAATAGTAATGAAAATAAGTTATAAATGTTTGTACTTTATTACGTTATGTGTGTCTTTTTACATCGTATCAAGTATGTTTTTATTTTTTCTCAATTTATTTGTAAGACCTCACTTAGTCTCCTTTCAACCACCGTTTCATCCTAGAGTAGCGTAACTTAAGGTAAGGTAAAAAATTACCCAAATTCGTTTCGACCGCCTCTAATAAATGAGGCCCAATTATGGGAAACGTCAGACTCAAGTATAGCTCCGTTTGTCTTCATCTGAACCTTGAACATCCTTGCACATCAGCACAGTACGTTACAATCTACGGCATCAAACTACTAATCTAATCTATATCTCCCGAATTGTAATTGTAGACGCTTGAAAAATGTAAAGTAAATAAAAAAATTTAAAAAAAATATTTTTTTTAGATAGAGATCTAACTTTTGCGCCTTACAAGGAAATTACTCAACCTGTCCCGCTCTGATTTTTTTCAAACTTTTTATATAAAAAGATTATGTAAATATACAATTTTCGGCAAATTACTAAATTGCAATTTCGAGTCATAATCGATGGTCTAACAATATAATATTTTTTGTGTCAAAACGTATTTTCAACATTCAAAGTTTGTACAGCCGTTGTCAAAAAACAAGCAACCTATTTTTTTCAAGCATAACTTTTTTTAAAAAGGTGTTAGAAACAAAAAATTTTTTGTGATTTTTGATTGGTCTATTATACAACAAGCGCACCAACAATAGTTTTTGAATTCGTTAATTTTGAAAAGTTACAGTAATTCTACCGTACGCCTATTTTTCAACTATGTGTAAAATTTTTTTTTCAAAAATTGGAGATATACGTTTTGTAGAGCATAAAAAGTTGTACATATTCTGTGTGTTTCATTACTTAATCTCTTTTACTAAACGAGTAGCGATTTTTTAAAAATCCAAAAAACTGTCATTTTTTTAAACCTTTATAAAAATTTTAAAAAATCGTATCTCGTTGACTAGATAAGATGAAGTAATCAAACTTACGGAATACGTGCAACTTTTTTGCTCTACAAAACGTATATCTCCAATTTTTGAAAAAAACAATTATACACATAGTTGATAAATAGGGGTACGGTAGAATTACTGTAACTTTTCAAAATTAACGAATTTAAAAACTTTTGTTAGTGCGCTTGTTGTATGATAGACCAATCAAAAAATCACAAAAAATTTTTTGTTTCTAACACCTTTTTAAAAAAAAGTTATGCTTGAAAAAAAATAGGTTGCCTGTTTTTTTTGACAACGGCTGTATAATTAAAATTTTTTTGACAAATTAATATTTTAAGAAGCTATTTTTACAAAATTATTCCAATGATTTTTTATAAAAAAAAAGTAAAACATATTAAAAAATGAAAACGAAACAATCCAGACTATAAGGGGCTTAAAGGGCCCCCCGTTGGTCTGATCAATTTTGAGTTTAAAAAAATATGATTTTTTAAATAATATTGTTGATTTTCAATTGATTTTCCAACACGTCAGCTAGATACAGTGAACCAAAAGCAGTCGTGTGAATAAAGTCACGGTAGATTGCGAGTCCATTTGGTAGCGCATACATGCATTTGTTCGTAATATAGTTACACAGTGGTTCCGCAAAGTTCACTTTAATGCAGTTTTTACATTTTATTTTACTGACAACCTGATTCATAAATATACTGTCAGAGTTCAATGGCTAAAATAATACACATAAAATTTTTCCAGAAGCGCGTTGTGTTATATAAAAAAATCAGCAAAAATAAAAAAAACCTACTCGAAAGTCATATTCGAATGATTCTGTGCTGTTCTTTAGCACATCGCGGACGACTTTCTCAAAGAGATCTGCTTTTTGATACTCATTGTACGATATGACTAGATGTTTTGGATTAGCGATCTCTTGCACGTTACCAACGAATGTTTGCAAGTTTTGCAACGCTTTGTCGTAATTTGGTGGTATTTGCTCTAACACGTATGCGTAACTGTAAGATTTTGTCTTTTAGTTTTGCAAAACAAGTGGAGTGGAGTTGGTGCCATAGGAAGGGTATAAAGAGAAAAATATAGGGTAAGGGATAAGATAGGGGGAAAAAAAGAAGATAAGTGAAAAGAGAGGGTGAAGGAAGAAGGAGAAAGACAGATATAAAGAACATTAATTATTACCTAAACCTGACCACCAAGACGTCAATTGGTTCTGTTGCATTACGAATGGCGTCATACATTATCATCGGTGTGTGATGATAGTCAGACCTGATATAATTTTTTAGTATGAAGAAGACTGTAAGGAGCCTAAACGAACTTTTCATTCTAAGCATCATTCCCAAATACAAGTCTCGTGCTATACTGTTCCCAAGCACAAAAATGTGTTTTGTGCCAGTTCCCTAAAAACAACCAATGTAAAATAAAGGCAGCGTCGGGCAAGTGATTTTAGTTTGGAGTCAGTGTTTTGCCCGAACCGGTCCGGAGCGTTTTTCACCGGTCCGGTCCGGCGATTTTCGGGCCCGGTCCGAACTTTAAATTTTTTGGGTTCGGTCCGGTCAAAACCCAAAATTTTTGGGTCTGGTCCGGCACGAAAAAAAATTTTTTAAAGCAAGAAGCGCCAAAACTGCTTTAGTTATGCTTAAAAAACACTTAAAAATTATGTTTTATTTGCAATTTTTTAAACCAGTTTTATTTAAAAAAAAATTTTTTTTTGGACCGGTTTTGGAGCTTTTTCTTCGGCCCGGGTCCGCAGGTTTTTTCGGTCTGAAAAAAATTTTGGTTTTTTTAAAATTTTTTTCAGGTGTTTTGTAATTATTAAAGACATCAGTTAGTGAATACCTCGCAAATTAAATTATTGCTTAAAGGAAAACGTATACACATAAAAGAAAGTTGATTAGCTACCTTGACTTGATGATAATGCGTTGTTGCACCAGTATCAAGAACAGTTACATTTAGAATTGACATAAATTGAATCATTGCTGTGTTTGACCGTGTATTAAAGTCTGCCACTTCTTTTGTCGTAAGGTTTTTTAATGGGTTTTCATACAATTCTATAGCTTGATTGATTGTTTTTTGGTAAGGATTTGTTGAACTGTCTTCATCGGTGCCAACTTTAACATTCGTCGGTGACCGTTTACGCAGAAAGCAATCCGTAGCAAACAATGCAAAGTATAATATTAATATAATTATGATTAGCTTTCTCCAATCGGTTAAAAGTTTACATAAATGTTTGAATGTTCTTTCAATGCGTATACTTAACATGATGCTTACGTAGAAAAGGAAAAACCCTCCTGAAAATATTTTAGTAAATGCGTTAGCACCAGAGTTCCCACGGTCTCCGGAGCTGGAGCCGGAGCCACAAATTGTCAATTTCAGTGCAAAAGACCCCCCGGAGCGGCTACGGCTCTGGAGCTGGAACCGGAGCCAAAACTAAATTTAAAAAAAGGGGGCATAACCAAACCTTCTATTGTGAGTACAGCATTGGTGTAGCTATTGAAATACTTGTAGAAGATAATTACGGGCCAATGTACCAAATAGAGCGAGTAGGATATGTCTCCAATAAAAACCAATTTTTTATGCGACAGGACTGTGCCATTGTCCAAAAGTAGTATTACAAGACACGCCGTTATTGTAACCAAAACTCTTTTAAGGCATGTTAATAATGAAAAAGTCAAAGCCAAGTTGGGTAACAAGAAGAAGCAGTATGACGTTATTTAGCATAACAGACTTGACAGAATGTAAAACTTGTGGCTGCTTTAAATTGGCAGATACATAAGAAATGACTTTGGTGTTCAAGGTACGAGTAATACTTTCGTTTTTTGGATCATCACTACTGTTAATTAGTAGTGGACTATTTGCATCACTTGTTTTATTTTCTTTCTGATTCCGTATTGTGAAAATCAGAAATCCAGCCAGAAATTGCCAAATTCTAGAGAAGAGATGCATATGTTCTATATTTTTGTCTAAATAACAAATTGTTAATGGCTTATAAGTTTCTGTTTTAGATTTTTTAGTTCTCAATGGAACACTTGACTACATGTTTTACTTTTGTTTCATGCATGTTATTATGTAGTGTTGAAACTTTACCTCTCTGATTCCGTGTTTGATAAAACAAACTAAGAGCCAAGACGCCAGTAACAACCACGTAATGACAATTCTGGTTCAACTTCCTTATAAAACTAAAAACAAGGTACAGTAATGGAAACAGTAAATAGTACTGAATCTCAACAGCCAACGACCATGTGTGCAAAAACAAGGGATACTTGTTGTTAAACTCGAAATAGTTCGTATCTGGTAGGTAGAACACGTTAGAAGTGAAGGTAGCTGCTGTTTGTAGTTCACGAGACACACTCTTGTACTTATATACGGTAAACGTTAGTACGGCTATGACAGCTGTGACCAAGAGTATTGTAAGGTAAAGGGGCAGAATTCGGCGGAAGCGGCGGAAATAAAAAGTTGAGATATTCGATATGGATACTTCTTTGTTTTCCATCAACATGTGCATTAGGAATCCAGAAATTACAAAAAACCTGAAAATTAGAATGATAGCTAAGGCTATGAGGTTGAAGTACGGTAGAGGAAGGTGTTAGGGTAGGGTGGACTGGATTGGTTAGGAAGGGGTAAAGTAAGTTAGGGTAGGGTAAGCCAGGGTAATAAAAGTATTTTTTTTAAATTTGCAAAAACTTACACATCTACCCCAAGGAATCCATTTTTGACATAACTCGGCCACAAATGGTATAATACTACAAATAGCACCGCTACGCACCGAAGTCCTTGAATGTGAAGCAGCATTCTGAAATTTAAAAAAATAAAAAAATATAGAAAAGTATTAATTGAAACCTTTACAATGGAACTCTTTTTTAACGAACTCGTCTATAACGAAAGTTCCGTTCACGTAGAGTTCTTCCCGGACCGGACCCAATGCGGGAGTCCGGAATTTGAATTTTGTTTTCCCGCGCTTTTTTTCTACCGGCCGAATCGGTCTGAAACTTTTTCTACTCCCCCCCCCTATTTGGAATGGTGCTGATCCTTCTGGATGCTATTAGTTTTTTGAAATCTATCATAGTTTTCAAGATAGGCGCTTGGCGGGAAAAATAAATTTAAAAAGTAGGGCAGGGTAGAAATAGGGTAGGGTAGAATATGGTAGGATAAGGTAAGATAGATATTTCTAAAAAAATATGAATTGTTTTATGGTTTTTGCGTTTTAAAAACCCTAAAGTAACATACGAAGATCAAGATAATGCCCGCCCCTATGTCAGTAAGGTTAGCGTAAATCTCATAGAATTAAAGTTGCTATAAAAATTTTTTTAAACTTTATTTTAATACAACTAACGGTTTGGACATGACTCAGTTCTTTCGGCGACGTTTAAACATCTTTCGAAGATTTTTTTGTGATTGCTGTTTTGTATGTATTGATTAAAGTGTCTTACAGCATGTTGACTTTTCACAAAATGGTACGGTTTATTATTTTTATGTTATGTTGAGAAAATCGTTGTGGAGCACCAAAACGCAGGAGACTTAAAACAACATATTGTCGTAGGGTTACAAAATTGACGCAACCTGGCCTTAGTCTGACCTTGGCTTGGCCTTAACCTGGCCTTTTTTTGGCAATGTCAATTTTTCGAAATTTGAAAATTTTTAAAATATTTTTATGATAAAAGTAAATTATAAATAATATTTATTAAAACCCGTCAGGCAGTTAATAACCAAACATTTTAAAGTCATTATAAAACATTCTGACAACCTTCTTCATGAGATATGGTGAAGACCGTAACTTTTTTCAAAGAATTTTTTAAAGGCGTTTTCGAGGTGGTATGGGATGTTGGTTTAGAGAATTTAAAGGCACTTTAGACGGTCGTTTAAAAGTTTTTACGGAAATTTTTATATTGAGGAGTTCGTTGTACCAGAGTTTCACTGTATAATAAGGTTATTTTACGATATTGTCTGGCCACAGATAACAAAATTAACAAAACGCAAACTGTAAAATTTGTTAATTAGACCATACAAACTTTATTTTCACTGGGCCTACTTAAGTAAGAAAGAGTAAATAAAAACACAAAAAATACAATAACAGAAAAATATATTTTTAAAAATGAGTATCGATGCACTTCTACTGGTTCTGGTAACTCAAATTTACAATTTTCTTTGTGAATAATTTGTCGATTGCTATACGAATAGACATTTAACTTCCTGTAACTATGTTTAATGTAGTCAGCTGAGATTGCTAAGCATTTGGGGCCGTGAGCAAAGTCAATGTCACAATTCTGAAGACTATGACATTCGGATACGCCAACAGCTTGGTTGTCGTATATCTTGTTCTTACACGCCCTTAGTTGTGGAGCAAAGAAGGGCTCTTGTGGTAGATTCTCCAAAGCCATTTTAAAATTGCTGTTTTCTTTGCGTTTCAAAAAGTTGTTCGAAACTGTTGTCATGAAAAAATTCATTTCTTGAGGATATTGGCTTTTCCTTATTTTTTCAGGCCGAATATTTCGCAAATGAAGAGTAAAACCGTCCTTCTCCGTCACGTTCATACTCTTCAACGCTACACCTTTGTATTGCATTCTACGCACGAAATGTAAAGTAGAAAATGGCAGCTTTTTTGGAATTACGATTGATTTCCCAACGTCTTGAAGCTTCTCTATTTCAAGGCCGTTAAATATGTCGCCCAGAGAAAAGGAGGAGGTAGATGGTACTAAATGATTGTTTATATTAGGTTGTTCTTAAAATTTAAGAGCTACTAAACTGCACGTCAAAAAAATTTAGACCTTTTAAGGAGCTGGTGTTTAGTAGTCCTGTTTTAGATTTAGTTTTAATACCTGCCTTACAAATACAACTGCAGCACACACAATAACACGTAAGTTACCTTTATTGTACTCAGCATTCCTCCAAAGAAACTCGAATCCCGCTACGTCTGGATGCAGAGAATGATATTTCCAAGCTTCAACAAGCAGGTTCAAAGTCGTCGCGAAGATCACATCGTCCAGATCAGCAAATAATATAAACTCGGCAGCTTCACGATATTTGTAAAAACACTCATTATAGCACATTCTTTGGTTTATCGCTGCCGTTCTCACATTGGGGTCATAGCCAGCCTTAAAATACAACAAAATCAGTATTTCAACTCACAATTTTAGGTATGACAAGTCCGGGTTCCACGTTTAGGTTTATTTTGGTTTCGTACAGCTTGAGAAGGTCATGTATCTCTTTGATGATGTTCATAATTCGTAAATCAAACTCGCTTACTCCTAAGGCTGCGTACATTTCCAACGCTGCTAATAGTACAGGCCAATTATCAAAATAGAAAGTTCTTGATAAGCACGCAACTAATGGAATGTTTCCAGTTACAGGTTTCATTACAGGTATCTAAAATAAATAGTTATATTGAGTTGTTCAAAGACTGCTGTGTCTTCAAAGCAAATGTGTAAAGCTAGGGATGGCAGAAAACCAAAACAAATTTTACTATTTGTAACTTACAGTAGGCCCATACCCACTCTCATCCACCAGACGAACACTCTCAACCGGCTTGTTGAAATTGCATATTATTTGATAGTTCTTCCAGGAACATAAAAACCCGCCGTCAGTGAATGCAAACTTGGCATGCGCTTTTTCATTACTATCGCTTACACAAGACAATGGCATATGTTCCTGCGTCCTAGGCCGCGAATCGTTTGTGTCTTGTGCCATTAAACTCAACAATACCGTGTTGATATTGTTTGGACTAAATTCTAAAAAAATTATTGTCATTTTAGTTTTAAAAAATTATAAATTGAAACTTAAATAAAAAAATTTTTAAGATTGTGAAAAATTTACTAGTCAAAATTGACCAAATGAGCCGAACCCACAAAAAGCTCCATCACATCATGGTCTTGGTCATTTTCATATTTACTTGAGTAGTTTTGATGAACCACCAACTGAAAATAGTTTTTGTTAGTATTTATGTTTTACGAGTAGATTACAGAGAGGGCCACTGTCTATGGGCAAGTCAAGACGGGTAGTGTAGGTCAAGAGAGGCGAGGGAAAACAATTTGAAAAGAGCCGGGCCATGAAAACCAAGTCTTTACGTATTAGGTTGTTAGGTAAGTCGTGGGCCCCTAACCGTGTATCAGAAAAAAATTTTTTGCGTTACAACAAGAACGAATTATTAATCAAAATAGTTATCATCAACATTAACACAATGTGTCCAACGTTTTTAAGCATTTGTATCCCAGTAGCATAGGATTCAGAATTTCTAGAGCCTAAGAAAATTTTGATGGCTTCCATGAAATCGTCATCTTCAGTGGATTGTCGCTGACACATAAATGCTGTCGAAGATTTGAAAATATGGTAATATGTAGCTATCATGTCGAGTAAATACAAATGATGGTCAAAAACTTTGTATCCAAACCCGTTGTTTTTCTGCGGTCATCGTTGCCAAGTGGGGGCGGACACTGTCATGAACAATAATTGACCTTCTGTTTCTCAACTTTGAAGGTAGATAGTGGCGCATTTGGTCAATATTAATAGAATACGTACTAACAGTTATGGTTTGGCCAAGTTTCAAGGAATTATAGAGAACTATTCTACAGGACCTCCACTTTTCTTCAAGCGTCTCATCTCCAGAAGGAAGCTTTCGGAACCAAATTTTTGCTGTTGTGTAGCTCACAATACTTTGTCCATGTGTCTTATTTATGAATCCGGCCGTAGTTTTAACGTTACGACTTGTTTTGTACTTTTTTACATCACTACCCAAAGTCTTCATTTGCCCTATAATGTTCTGGCCACTAAAACAACAAAACAAAAAATTAAAGAGGTTTGAAACTTACATATTCTGAAAATATAGGTTTTAAACTATAAAAGGACATCAAAATTTTCAATTTGCGATATATATTAATTTTTTCCTGATTTTTCAAACATTTGTGTTGAAAGGGGGCCCACGACTTACCTAACAACCTAATAAGACCCATGGACATTTGTAAACGATAAAAATTGTCTCAGAAGGCCAGAAACTTGGGCCCGCCTTTTTACAGGCCTACATACAAGCTAAATCAAATCGTGGCACTTACTATTGTCCAGAGAACGCAAAAAACACATAAAAACAAAAAAGTTTGGAAAAAATTAGCATTCCCTCTACTTTCAAAAAATACTTAAAATCCAATTTGAAACAAGCTTTATCTGATTTACGTAGTAAGTAGGATAAAACTGAATTCTTTTCGGCTGTAGATATATCAATATGTGCCCTTCTGGTGTTTTGCTTAATATAATTTGAAGTTTTACCATTACCTAAGTATTCCTGAAATATATAAATAAATAAAACAGCAATTTTTAAAGTAAACTTTTTTAATTTCAAAAATATTACAAATGCAGTAGAACTAATGTATAACAAATCGCTTGTTTTTAAAATTGTTCGTTATGAAAGTTATACAGAGGAAAAGTTATACAGAGGTTTGGAATGCTCTGTAGTCTTGAAAAAAAGCAAATTAGGCCAAATTTGAAGAAAAAAAAAACAAAAACCAATCCGTTAAATTTACCTGTAAAAACTGGTAAATTTACCAGATTTTAACCGAAAAATCAACTTACCGGTAAAAGTCCAACCCGGGCCTAACTTTTAGGCCCGGTCCGTTTTTGATTTTGGACAGGCCCGGCCCGGCCCGCTTACAAAATTTCTAGGCCCGGCTCAACCCGGCCCGTTTTAAAAAAATTTTAAAATTTTAAAACAAAAAATAAACAGAAATTTGGCCTTAAATTGTTTTTTAGGTCATTTATGGACCACAGTATCCAATAAAATCGAAAAACATCAACGGAGACAAAAATAAAAAATTTTAAAAAATTTTTTTGCCCCGGGTCCAATTTTCAAGCCCGACCCGTTTTTGATTTTTGTCAGGCCCGGCCCGGAGGTAAGACCCGGCCGGGCCGGCCCATTGCTCCTGTCTACTACTGGTCCTACTATAAACTTTGGGTCATACAAAGGGATCATGGATAAGTTTTGAATGTTGCTTTTTATAATGTAAACCTACTTTCTTTACTAATGCAATGAGTAAATAGTGTAAAGTAGGTCAACATTTCTTATTTTCACAAAAGAAATTAAATTTAATGTTTTAGTTGAATAACTAGACTTTTTCGACCAAAAAGTAACTTCTGGTGGCTCTGACGCAGGCTTGGACGCAGGGCAGGGTGCCCTGTACCATGCCCTGTTACAGGGAAAATTTATTTTGCACTAGACTAGAAATTGCTACGATTGGTATTTGTAGTAAATGTAGAATAATTAAAAACTTGTCGATAAATCTGTTCACTGCTAATCAGATCTACAGTAAAAGTACAGTATAAAACAATTTAACTACTTAAACAATCCAATTATTCAAATTTGATAGTAAACATTACAATAACATAAATGACTCCAAATTCCTAAAAATTTTTAAAATTTACTCATCGTAGCAAGATAAACAAAGTTGTTTAAACAAATTTTTCCAAAATTACCGTATTTGGGGTTACGGTAATGTCGGTCGAATTTTTGTATCTTGAAAACTAGGCATCGTAAAATTACGCGGTTTTCACTATATTAATCAGCATAAAAAATACGTATTTTGTCTTACAACAACATTTTTGTAGCACTTGCGCATCAGTGCGAAAAAATTTAAAAAGTGTGCACAGCTACAGTAATCGTACTGTAACTCAAAAACTATGTTTTGTTTTCCTAAATTTTTACTTCATATCATTAATCTACTGTTTACTGCGGTTAAAATGAGCCTATGCACATGTGCTAACCCCGAATTATTTGGAGTCAAAAGTGCATTTAAAGTTTGCACACCTACTTTTTTTAGTGTAGGGCGTCTAAACTTTTTTGAAGAAAAGTAAAAGCACCGTTCTCAAAAAGTACTGGTCTGATTTGAACGATTTATTTTGCACTAGACTAGAAATTGCTTGCAAATTTGGTATTTATATATTGTTTTTGAGTATTCGGCGGAGGCTCGGCGGAGGTCGGCGGAGACTGAATTTCTTAGTTTTGGACAAAAGATATGTAATTTTTTTTCGCATGCAGCCCAAACATTTCTCAAAAATATTTTCTTTTAATGAAACACTTTTCTGCTATGTCGGCGGAGGACCGGCGGAGAAATTCTTCAAATGCCATAACTCGGCCAGTTCTTAATATTTTTGAACCGGATAAAAACCAATGGTATTCATTGACATCTTTCTTTAAAATGTCACAATTTAATAAATTATCAACAATTTTTGACAAATCGGCGGAGACACCAGATTTCGGCGGGCACCGTAACTCTTTTTAAAGAATTCCGGCGGTTGTGACCCCGCAGCGGTTGTGACCCAAAACGGCGTTTGTGACCCCATATAATTAAAAAAATAAAAAATAATTATATAATTATATTTTGACCCTACCCCAGACCTTCCTGACCCTAAGCTTGATCATTTCGGCCCTACGCGACCCTATTCTTGACTTGTTTGGCCCACCTGACCCTAATCTTGACCTACCTGACCCTATTCTTGATCATTTCGGCCCTACCTGACCCTAATCTTGACCTACCTGACCCTAATCTTGAGTTGTTTGGCCCACCTGACCCTAATCTTGACCTACCTGACCCTATTCTTGATCATTTCGGCCCTACCTGACCCTAATCTTGACCTACCTGACCCTAATCTTGACTTGTTTTGCCCCTACCTGACCCTATTCTTGATTATTTCGGCCCTACCTGACCTTATTCTTGATCATTTTGCCCCTACCTGACCCTAAACATGGTCATTTTGCCCCTACTTGACCCTATTCTTGATTATTTTGCCCCTACCTGACCCTATTATTGACCTACCTGACCCTAATCCTGACCTACCTGACCCTAATCTTGATCACTTCGGCCCTACCTGACCCCATTCTTGATCATTTCGGCCCTACCTGACCCCATTCTTGATCATTTTGCCCCTACCTGACCCTATTCTTGACTTGGTTGCCCCTACCTGACCCTGATCTTGACCTACCTGACCCTATTCTTGATTATTTCGGCCCTACCTGACCTTATTCTTGATCATTTTGCCCCTACCTGACCCTAAACATGGTCATTTTGCCCCTACCTGACCCTATTCTTGATTATTTCGGCCCTACCTGACCTTATTCTTGATTATTTTGCCCCTACCTGACCCTATTATTGACCTACCTGACCCTAATCCTGACCTACCTGACCCTAATCTTGATCACTTCGGCCCTACCTGACCCCATTCTTGATCATTTCGGCCCTACCTGACCCCATTCTTGATCATTTTGCCCCTACCTGACCCTATTCTTGACTTGGTTGCCCCTACCTGACCCTGATCTTGACCTACCTGACCCTATTCTTGATCATTTCGGCCTCACCTGACCCTAATCTTGACCTACCTGACCCTATTCTTGACTTGGTTGCCCCTACCTGACCCTGATCTTGACCTACCTGACCCTATTCTTGATCATTTCGGCCTCACCTGACCCTAATCTTGACCTACCTGACCCTAATCTTGACTTGTTTTGCCCCTACCTGACCCTATTCTTGATCATTTCGGCGCTACCTGACCTTATTCTTGATCATTTTGCCCCTACTTGACCCTATTCTTGATTATTTTGCCCCTACCTGACCCTATTCTTGACCTACCTGACCTTAATCCAGACCTACCTGACCCTAATCTTGATCACTTCGGCCTTACTTGATCCTATTCTTGACTTGGTTGCCCCTATCTGAACCTGTTCTTGATCATTTTGCCCCTACCTGACCCCATTCTTGATCATTTTGCCCTTACCTGACCCTATTCTTGACTTGGTTGCCCCTACCTGACCCTAATCTTGATATACCTGACCCTATTCTTGATCATTTCGGCCCTACTTGATCCTATTCTTGACTTGGTTGCCCCTATCTGAACCTGTTCTTGATCATTTTGCCCCTACCTGACCTTAAACTTGGTCATTTTACCCCTACCTGACCCCATTCTTGATCATTTTGCCCTTACCTGACCCTATTCTTGACTTGGTTGCCCCTACCTGACCCTAATCTTGATATACCTGACCCTATTCTTGATCATTTCGGCCCTACTTGATCCTATTCTTGACTTGGTTGCCCCTATCTGAACCTGTTCTTGATCATTTTGCCCCTACCTGACCCTAAACTTGGTCATTTTACCCCTACCTGACCCCATTCTTGATCATTTTGCCCTTACCTGACCCTATTCTTGACTTGGTTGCCCCTACCTGACCCTAATCTTGATATACCTGACCCCATTCTTGATCATTTCGGCCCTACTTGATCCTATTCTTGACTTGGTTGCCCCTATCTGAACCTGTTCTTGATCATTTTGCCCCTACCTGACCTTAAACTTGGTCATTTTACCCCTACCTGACCCCATTCTTGATCATTTTGCCCTTACCTGACCCTATTCTTGACTTGGTTGCCCCTACCGGACCCTAATCATAACCTACCTGACCCTAATCTTGACTTGTTTGCCCCTACCTGGCCTTATCCTTGATCATTCTGGCCCCACCTGACCCTAAATTTGGTCATTTTGCCTCTACCTGACCCTATTCTTGACTTGCTGTAACTCTAGTTCTACTCTAACTTTATTTATTTAATTTTGCTTCCTTTTTTGTATATTATCATGCTCTAACATAAATTAATCTACTTGGCTTTACCTTATGTAGTTCATTTTAGAGATGTTTTGAAGAAATTACCGTCAATGTTGAAGTTGAACGCTCCAATGTACATTGTAGGCGATATTCATGGCCAATTTACTGATTTACTGCGGATATTTGCAATGTGTGGTAATCCATCTGAAACGGTAAGAGCTCACATTTTTTTTGTCTGAAAATCCAAAAAATTTTAAAAAAATTTTTTGAATTTGTAATTAAAATGCAATATTATAGAGGTAGGGGCAAAACAAGTCAAGATTAGGGTCAGGTAGGTCAAGATTAGGGTCAGGTAGGGCCGAAATGATCAAGAATAGGGTCAGGTAGGTCAAGATTAGGGTCAGGTGGGCCAAACAAGTCAAGATTAGGGTCAGGTAGGTCAAGATTAGGGTCAGGTAGAGCCGAAATGATCAAGAATAGGGTCAGGTAGGTCAAGATTAGGGTCAGGTGGGCCAAAAAAGTCAGGATTAGGGTCAGGTAGGTCAAGAATAGGGTCAGGTAGGGGCAAAATAATCATGTTTAGGGTCAGGTAGGGGCAAAATGATCAAGAATAAGGTCAGGTAGGGCCGAAATGATCAAGAATAGGGTCAGGTAGGGGCAAAACAAGTCAAGATTAGGGTCAGGTAGGTCAAGATTAGGGTCAGGTAGGGCCGAAAAGATCAAGAATAGGGTCAGGTAGGTCAAGATTAGGGTCAGGTAGGGCCGAAATGATCAAGAATAGGGTCAGGTAGGTCAAGATTAGGGTCAGGTGGGCCAAACAAGTCAAGATTAGGGTCAGGTAGGTCAAGATTAGGGTCAGGTAGGGCCAAACAAGTCAAGAACAGTGTCGGGTAGGGGCAAAATGATCAAGAATGGGGTCAGGTAGAGCCGAAATGATCAAGAATGGGGTCAGGTAGGGCCGAAATGATCAAGAATAGGGTCAGGTAGGGCCGAAGTAATCAAGAATAGGGTCAGGTAGGTCAAGATTAGGGTCAGGTGGGGCCAAACAAGTTAAGAATAGGGTCAGGTAGGGCCGAAATGATCAAGAATGGGGTCAGGTAGGGCCGAAGTGATCAAGAATAGGGTCAGGTAGGTCAAGATTAGAGTCAGGTGGGCCAAAAAAGTCAGGATTAGGGTCAGGTAGGGGCAAAACAAGTCAAGATTAGGGTCAGGTAGGTCAAGATTAGGGTCAGGTAGGGCCGAAAAGATCAAGAATAGGGTCAGGTAGGTCAAGATTAGGGTCAGGTAGGGCCGAAATGATCAAGAATAGAGTCAGGTAGGTCAAGATTAGGGTCAGGTGGGCCAAACAAGTCAAGATTAGGGTCAGGTAGGTCAAGATTAGGGTCAGGTAGGGCCAAACAAGTCAAGAACAGTGTCGGGTAGGGGCAAAATGATCAAGAATGGGGTCAGGTAGGGCCGAAATGATCAAGAATGGGGTCAGGTAGGGCCGAAATGATCAAGAATGGGGTCAGGTAGGGCCGAAGTGATTAAGAATAGGGTCAGGTAGGTCAAGATTAGGGTCAGGTGGGGCCAAACAAGTCAAGAATAGGGTCAGGTAGGGGCAACCAAGTCAAGATTAGGGTCAGGAAGGTCTGGGGTAGGGTCAAGATATAATTATATAATTATTTTTTATTTTTTTAATTATATGGGGTCACAACCGCCGTTTGGGTCACAACGGCTTTTGGAAAAACTAACCAGCTTTGTTTATCTTGCTACATAAAGTAAATTCTGAAAATTTCAATAAATTTGGGGACATCGATTTTTTTTATTTCGACTCAGGGTTCAAAAGAACTCAATTATTATGAAAAACGTGTTTTAACTGATGTTATCGTTTTTTTTAACATTTTATTCTCTGATTAAAATAACTACGTTTCAATTGTCTACGAAAACGTCATTAAAAAATTGTTGATGTTATCTAGATTCAAATTAAGAGTTCTACCGGTTACATTCAAAGACCAAATAAAAAATTTTAAATGTTTTAAGAAGCTCCAAAAGTCAAAATTTTTTGAAAATGAGCAAAGCTTTATCAGCTCTTGTTGTGTGCTACATTGTTGGACTTTGGTATTTTTATGTAAGAAGTTTCGGCTTGTATTAATGACATTGTTTATCAGTTGTAATGTGTTGAGTTATTATTAGAAATATTAGATTGTAAGTAATAATAATTTAGCCAATTGTTTAGAACGCGACAAACGAAACTGTGCCGTATGACGATCCTATCAATCTTTTCATTGGTTCGGCGCATCCTATTGATTTAAATGGGTAAGTCTTACACACGTTTATCGGCTTCTGGGCTTAGGCTTCTAGGCTTAGGCTTCTAGGTTTAGGCTTCTAGACTTAGGCTTCTAGGCTTAGGCTTCTAGGCTTAGGCTTCTAGGCTTAGGCTTCTAGGCTTAGGCTTCTAGGCTTAGGCTTCTAGGCTTAGGCTTCTAGGCTTAGGCTTCTAGGCTTCTAGGCTTAGGCTTCTAGGCTTAGGCTTCTAGGCTTAGGCTTCTAGACTTAGGCTTTGGCTTTTAGTCATAGACTTCTAGGCTCAGGCTTCTAAGCTTAGGCTTAAGCTTCTAGGCGTAGGCTTCTAGGCTTAGGCTTCTAGTTTTAGGCTTCTAGTCTTGGGCTTCTAGGTTTAGGCTTCTAGTCTTGGGCTTCTAGGTTCAGGCTTTTAGGTTTAGGCTTCTAGATTTAGTCTTCTTGACTTATGCTTCTAGGCTTAGGCTTCTAGGCCTTAGCTTTTAATATTCAACATTATAGCAATGAGACACATACCGTACTGTTAAACTGTATGGCCGATGACAATAAAAAGGGTAAAAAGCGAACAGAAAAACTTCCATTATATTGTGTGAGCGATCAAAACGAAAAGGTTTCGCCTCAATTTTCTTTCAACGATGGTAATATTAATTGCGCATGGAAGAATTATTTTGTAAAATGCCTATTCAAAAGCGCTGTGAATTCAGTAAAGCTGGTTGATGAGTTTGATCACGGTCCAGAAGTGAGTTTACTTCTTGTTGAGGGAGGGCGCTTTGCATTTTAAAATTTTTTTTATGATAAAATTTTTTTTGAATTTGAAAAAATTTTTTTTTGTAATAAAATTTTTTTTTGTATCAGGCCAAACCGGACTTTAGTCTGACCAGGCCGAAGAGAAATTGAAAACGGGTCTCGGCTTAAAATTGCTCATGGGGTTTACATGTGCCGAATTGGCCAAGTTTTTTTTGAATTTGCTATGATCGGCTTGACCCCGGGTTTGGACTGGATTTACCGAGCCCTCTTTTAAGCCTAGTTATTTTGAATCAAAAGTAGCGGGGCATTTTCAGTAGGAGAATAAATGAAAAGTGTCCCGCTACTTTTAGTTCAGCTTAATAATCCCGCTACTTTTAGCTTAGCTTAAGTAAGCTTTTGCAACTAAGAACGACTATTTTAGGTACCACTCAGAAAGCCGGTAGAAGGCAAGATTCCATTGGTTACTTGCCTTTCTCGAGCGTTTTACTTTGAAACATGGCAACTGCTTCTGACTTCATTGGAAATGTACCATGCCATGGGTGTATCCGAGTTCAGCATGAATGTTATGAGCATGGATGGCAACATATACAATGTGCTTCAACAATACAAAAAATTGGTTAATATTAAAGTTAATCCAGGCATCGTTATACCTAAAATTGTGAGTTTTTGATTTATATTCAACAAGGAAAGTGTCCTACCTGTAACTCTATTTTTAAACCTTTAAGAATGGTGCCAACCCAAACAAACAGGCCTATCTTATGAACCAAATCATGAACAACAACGAATGTTTGTTCGATTACCGTGAAGCTGCCGAATTTTTAATTTTTGTGGACATTGATGACCTTATTATATCAACAAATGGGGATCTAGTCGATCAAGCCAGAAACTTGTTGTCCAGACACCCTGAGGCGGCTGGGTTTGAATTTTGGTGGAAAACTGTCAAGTTTTTTCAATGTAAGTAATATACTGGAAGGGGGGGGGGAGAGGGGACCAAGAAGCACCCCCTTTCAGAAAAATTTGTAAAAAATGTCACACTTGGTTTGCCCTATGTTTTTTTTTAAAAAACAAATGCGGGAGGGGGGGGGGCGGAGGTGCTACGCAATTTAGGATTCGGCGGACCTGGGCACAATTGTAAATTTTGCTTTCTCTAACGAACTCCTGTATAACAAACCCATCTATAGCGACCAGAGCCGGGCGGGGACTTTTGGTCTGGGGGGGGGTCCAAACATAGTGCCGGTTTTTTGCGAAAATTGTTTTTGAAAATCCACAGGGAGGAGCACGTTCAACTTTTTTCAAAAATTTTTCTGTGGGAATGGGATGGAGTTTTCCCAGGAGTTCTACTGTAGTGTAAACGATAATGTGAAACGTTTTTCTTCGAATATTCTCTCATTTTTGAACTGATGTTATCGGTTATTTCAACAAGTAACCCTAAATTAAAAAAACCCGACTTTTCAATTGTCTACGCAAACGTCATTCAAAAATGAACTAATGCGTTATGTGGTTACAAGTTACTTTCAAGTTGAGATCTTATCCGATTAAATGAAAACATCGAGTATAAGGTTCTAAAAAGTCTCAATTAGTCATGAGCAACGGGCCGGGCCAGGTCCACTTTTTCAGGCCCTTCCCTTTTTTTGATTTTGGTCAGGCCCGGCTCGTTGTTCATGTCTAGTTTTAAGAATCTTTTTTACAGAATAAGTACCAAACGGCATCGCTCAGAATCAGCTCACAATTTTTATATGAGTTCTTTGTACTACCAATAGTATCCAAAAAAAATTTTGGCTTGCGCTTTTGAGTTTTAAGTAACATTATTTTGGTCTCCTTCTAATTTGGCATTGTTGGCATAGTGTTTCAAGCACATTTTCCACTTTCCAGAAAAGCTACGTTTACAGATTTAAAAACGTAGATTCATTTAAAGGTTTTTCGCTATTATTTCAATTGAAAATTATTAAAAATTAAAAAGTGACAAAGTTATAAGCTTGATACGCAATGTCAATTTGGCGGGAAATTCAAAACGTTATTTTGTAATTTCGATTTTTTGAAGTTCTATGGAAAACGCGAGTTAATACTTTGCTTTGTCTTATAATTATACAATCTTTCTACATATATACATACGTATTAGGTTGAAAGTAACGGGACACCTTCACTTATTTTTCAACTAAAAAGTGCTCCGCTACTTTTGGTTCAACCTAAAAAGCATAAAGTCAGTCAAAGCAGGGCAGTTCCGACACTTTCCTTGTGTTTAGTATGACAATTGACTGATTAAAATAACACTGTGCTTTAATCCGTCAGTCTAACACTAAAGAGGTTTGACTGTGTAGCAAAACCAGTTCATGATAGATGAAACAAAAGTGCTAACTTGTGACTATTACAGATGCTTCGCCAAGGTTGTTCACAATTAAAAGTATGTTTGATGGTTTCAATTACACGCACGTCCACAATTATGGGAAATCAATCATAATTCCGAAACGGATAGAACGTTCAACACTACATTATGTTCGTAACCTGACTATTAACCACAAGAAAGTCCAGTCCGTCAATGTGTCATTGGACGAGGGTTATACTATTCACTTTCGATTCCCCATTCAAGTTAACAGTAGTTACTTAAGAGATAATAAGGTTTCTAACGACAAGTTAAATAGTACGATACTTAACAACGTAAGCAACATACTGGGGTTATTCGGACCAAATAGCATTGCAAAGCCTAACAATTTAAGTGTTCTGCCTGCACTACGCACGGCTAGCCAAAACTTTAAGTCTCGAAAACAAGATACGTCGTTTTACAATGCTATTCAAAATCTACCGACAAAAACTTTCTATGTAGACCAATTCAAGGCATGCATCAACAGAATGTATTACATAAAAAACGTTTGTCCCAGTATGCAGTACTGCAAAATCGAGCCGGTGAAAGAAGCGAAATGTACAAGACAACATGGTGAATATATTGGTTATATTTCTCGTAAAATCAGCGTATACTTGTCTAAATCAAGAGAGCTGGTTGAAGATACGGATTGTGCTCTCGATGTGCCTGATGCTGTGTATGTGGATAAGGCAGTTATGAGCATGGTAAAACAAGTGATGTTTGAAAGAAGGGTTTTTGTAATTTGGTTGTTGATGTTTCCGATGTTGTACGTAGTAATGATGATGTGGTTTAAAAAGCCAAACGTTTATGTAAAGTTAGTCAATAAAGTTAGTTTTTTGTAAACTTGGCCAGTATAGTACTAACAATTATTTCTGCTGTAGAACACTTAAAATCAACTGTAATTTTCTATTACATAAACTTTTTGTAGTACAAATAGTACATACAGTGAAGTTTCATTAGTTATAAACTTTGATAGTGTAAAATCTCTTTATAATGACTGCTTCTTGACTTTTACTTGTATAATATAAAAAGCTAAGACTCTAGGGCTTAAGCTAGGGCTTAGACTAAAGCTTAAGCTAAAACGTGAGCTAAGCTTTAGACTAGAGCTTAGGCTAAGTCTTTGGCTTGAGCTAGAACTTAAGCTAAGACTTAGCTTAGGGCTCAGGCTAGCGCTCTGGGTTAGGACTCTGGGCTAGGGCGCTGGGTTAGGGCTTTGGGTTAGGGCTCTGGGCTAGAGCTCTAGGTAAGGCTCTATGCTAGGATTTCGGGCTAGAGCTCTGGGCTAGGACTAGGGTTAGCGCTCTGGGTTAAAGCTCTGGTCTAGGGCTCTGAGCTAGGGCTCTGGGATAGGGCTCTGGGTTAGGGCTCTGGGCTAGGGCGCTGGGCTAGGGCTCTGGGCTAGGGCTAAAACTAAGAAGATTGTTTTGATAAATAACTATAAGTTCTGCCCTAGCCCTCGCCTTAGTTTCACGCTTCTTTGTCATCAATACAAGTTTTGGTACACTATACCCATATAAAGTTTACTGTCCTTGTTTGTTCACAAATGAAAAGTAATAAAGAAGACTGTTTTGACTATATATTACGAGATTTTCTTAAAGACCATGGTAAGCTTAACGCCAAAATGTAAATATTAAACAAGTTTAAAGACAAAAACAAAATGAAATGCCAAAAAATGAATAAAAATGTTGAAAATTAAATCATGGTCCATGGAAAGTAGTTTCCGTAGAATTGACGTGGATCCGCATTCTTTTGCAAAAGCTCGTGAGCCGTTTTGGAACTGACGTGTTCTGACGAATATTCAGGCTCATCTATGGCGTCAAGTAGTTCTGCTGTCTTCTGAAACAACTTGTAATGAAACTTTGAATTTTCCTTTCAATTTCAGTATTTAGGCTTGGTAAGATTAGGCTTGTTAGTCTTTTGCAAATGCTTAGGCTTGTTAATTTCAGGCTTCGGCTTGCACTTAAGCATAAGTAAAGATTTGGTGCGTTTAGGTTTAGCAGGTTTAAGCTTAGTCGACTTAGGCTTAGTCGACTTAGGCTTAGTAGGCTAAGACTTAGTAGGCTTAGGCTTGGTAGGCTTAGGCTAAGTAGGCTGATGTTTAGAAAGCTGAGGCTTAGTAGGCTTAGGTTAAATAGGCTTAGGCTTAGTAGGCTGGCTCAGGCTTAGTAGGCTTAGGCTTGGTAGGCTTAGGCTAAGTAGGCTGAGGTTTAGTAGGCTGAGGCTTAGTAGGCTTAGGTTTAATAGGCTGAGGCTTAGTAGGCTTAGGCTTAGGTTTAGTTTAAACGGGTTTAAATCTTCAATTCAAAAGGTTATGACAGTAAAAACTAAGAAATGCATTTACGACCTATAAAGATGTAACCTCGCAGTAAAATAGAGCAAGATCGCAGCACTCGCAGTCATTTGGTGGGTCGTTTTACACCGAGGCAAATATTACAAAAGTCAATAATATTGCACAAGAAAAAGTTGCGTAATACGATTTCTTACAATTGCTCTAAGGCTACGGTTTGTTATAGTAATATTGTATAACAGCGCTAAATTTTGCGCTACTTTTTTTATAAATTCAACCGCTATACCTACACATCTTCCGATACCTATACCTCTATAACTAAAACTTTCAATTGTAACTTTCTCAGTATGATGACATTAAAATAAATATTTGAAATGAGGAATAAATGAAATGAAATGAAAAATGATACTACAATAATAGGTCAGCACTTCTGGCAACGTATTTTACCTTGTCCATTCGACTTTGATACCCAGGCTGATGTTTGAAAAATTGGTCAAGGTGTACTGGTTGTTGCCAATTGTATGTTATCAGAGCTTCTGTGACCGACACTGCTACCAAAAACACTAGAATCCCAATAAAAAGACGAGCCATTGTCTGAAACAATTCTTTTCAAAATTTTTTTTTACTATTTTGAAACGCGCCATTGGTTTCCGAACAAGAAATTAAGATAAAGAAAGTACTGTAGCAAACCGAAAGTACGTTGTATGTTACCGTATCATACCTGCCTTATCGTACCCCACCCTATTCTACCCTACCCAACCCTACCCTACCCTACCCTACCCTGCCCTACCCTACTCTACCCTATCCTACCTTACACTACCCCTCACCCAACTTCTCTAACATTACAGTGTTCAATTACCGTACTATTTTTAGCCCTAAAATTCTTATACATAGTACTAATACTAACACATTATCTATTATTATTTTGCCTTTTGCTCTAGCTAATTGAACATTTACATAGCTTATATAACACAGATACCATACATAAGCACCGTCTTTAAAACTCTTTAACACACCTTTATATAAGACTTCAGTGTACGTACCTCAACACACTAACAGCATAATCGTATTACGTTAAGCGACTTGCAAGAAAACTGTCATCATATTGATTAAAGATACCATAAAAACATACGAAATAAGGCTTTTAATGTGTTAATGAAAACGAAGGTCGGACATACGTCAATATGACAGTTTTAGTAGTACAACACGCCAAATAGTAGTTGTAGTTAATTAATTTGTATACTGTAAGTGTCAACTAGTTTCAGCCTTAGCCTCAGCTTTAGCCTCAGCCCAATCCTCAGCCCCAGCCACAGCTCTAGCCTCAACCCTAGTTTCACGCTCAGCTTTTTAAAAATGACATTATTTGTTGTAAAATTTTAAAATTTGCAAGTAAAACAATGAAGTACTTTTTAAAACGCCAGAAACAAAACAACAAGATAAAAAAGTACTCTAGCAAATACAAAAAAGTTAATGAAGTTCAACTAGAACGCCTTATTTTTGCCTAAAAAATAATTACCATCTGAAGATCTTTCGAATTTCGTTCAAAAATTAAAAAGTAAAACAAATTGCAAAATTCTCCCAAATCCGTTTCCTAGAAAAGATATTTCCTTCTACTATACACACTAATTATCACCATTTCCTCCTAATCAGTAAATAATAATTAAAAAATTTTAGCTGAAATTTGGAAATTTTTTGATTACTGATGTTTTCCGTACAATATTTTAGGAGAAAAATGCCCTGCCCTGCCCTGCCCTGCCCTGCCCTGCCCTGCCCTGCACTGCACTGCCCTGCCTTGCCTTGCCCTGTTCTACGCTACCCTATTTTACCCTACTGTATTCCACCCTACTCTACTTTACTCATCAAGATTACCTTACCCCTACTCTAAATCTAAATTAAGCTTGCCTTAGCCCTACCCTAACCCTAAACTAAGCGTGCCTTAGCCCCACCTGATCTACAGTCCAATCCTCCTAATATTGGCATTAATCGAACATTATAATGACTATCGTAACTCTACTACTACTACCTCTACTCTATTAAGCTCGTTCACGATAAGACACTTTCGTATGACGTTAGTGTGTTAAGATGTAAAACATGCTTAGGAATAGTTAATGCTCATGCACGATAAGACACGGAAGTGGAAGAGTTTAAGCGAGTAATTAGTTTTTTACACTTTCGGATTACTTTAAGTGAACGTCAATCTCACTAAAATTGTAAAACAAATTGTTTTACAATTCTTTTCTGCTTAACAGTACAAAAATCTGTTTTAAATTGTTTAAAGTCCACAAAGCTACCACTTCTACGAATGGCAAAACCTTTTTTAAATTTGAAAAAAAGTGGTCGAAATTGATCTTATTACTGGTATTATTAGTAAAGTAAAGTCTAAACAAGTATAAGACAGATCTTTGGCGCTGTATCACAGATTACTGTGGCAATTTTAAGAACTGTAGACCGTAAAAATCCTCAAAAAGTAACAAGAAATAAAGGTTTCGCAAAGAATTAAGCTGCTTTTACGTGATTTTTGTAACGCCAAAATTATTTTTAAAACTTTGAAAAGTGTTTGTTTACAAACATAAGATTAGAAACCAAAACTGTCAAGCCTAATTTTAGAAAACTGTGCATAAATTCTTAAGTTTAGAAGCAGAAGCCCGGCCGAAGCTTAGAAGCTTGAGCCTAGGAACCTAAGCCTAGAAGCCTATGCCTAGAAGCCTAAGCCTAGAATCCTAAGCCTGAAAACATAAGTCTAAAACCCTGAGCTTCAAAGCCTAAGCCTAAGCATAAACTTAAGCCTAAGCTTAAACCTAAGCCTAAGCCCAAGCCCAAGCCCAAGCCCAAGCCCAAGCTCAAGCCTAAGCCTAAGCCTAAGCCTAAGCCTTAGAAGCTTAAGCCTTAAAAGTTAAACCAGTAAAATTAAATCAAAAAGCATTAAACTAAAAGGTATGGCGTTCAAGGTAATTGCTTGTCTATTTATTTAGCCTAATATGCCTACAGTACAATAAATTACAAATAAAAAACACCCCATATATATATCACGTCATAGTAATATCTGCTTGCTTATCTCAACAATTTACTATTCATAAGGCAAAAGAAAGAACCATGTTGTTTACCGTGTTGTTCCGAAATAACCTATTGTGGCTCTAAATATCATATCAAAATCTATTATTTTGTTTTTAATTCACGAATTCATAAGGTCGTATATCTTGACAAGGTAACGCTTCATAAATTTTAAAACTTGATTTTGAAATTTGGTTTTGATAAGTACAGTGGATCAAAGGGTACAGCCAACAACAACAGTACAGAAAGAGTGTAGCGTACTGTAACTGAGACGTTTTTTATTCTCTTTTAATTTCTAACCCTATTACCTTCTCCTAAGTAAGATTTTGTAACAGAACTTTTGGCGCACCCCGTATGTAATAGACATGTACATGTGTCATTTTATATTAGACATAGTCAGTTGACGTAAAAATAACTTTTTGTAAACCTTTTATATTCTATCGTCTTGAAAAACGTAAGTTCACACTCAAAAACGTATTCATATATTATATACACAAAGCCGTGAGAACAACGTCAAAAGTAATATACAATTTTGCACTTGAAAACATTGTTCCTTGTTTTAACAACACTTCTCTGACAAAAAAGAAACGTTCTCAACAGGAACTTCAAAACCGTTTTCTAAAGTTTCTAGAAGATTTTGGCGCATAAATTATTAGAAAAAAGCTTTTTTTCTAAAATAATGCTTTAAACTTAATCCTAGACACACAATCATATAATTAGGCTTAAAGGTAAATCTAATTATGAGCTTGGACCTAAGTGTGATCCAAATTTAGGAAAGTTTCAGGCATCAGCCTAAGCCTGAGCTTAGGTTTAACTCTTGATTCAGAACCTTTCAATAACACTAAGAACAAGGTTACGCCTGAGAATAAGCCTAAGCCTACTAAGCCTAAGCCTACTAAACCTAAGCCTGCTAAGCCTCAGCCTACCAAACCTAAGCCTACTAAGCCCAAACCTAATACCAAACTTAAGCTTAAACCTAAGGCTAAATTAAATCTAAACTTAAGCCTAAACCTAACTCGCCCAAACTTAAGTCTAACTCTAATCCTAGAACTAAGGCTTAACCTACGGCCGCCATTTAAAGCTAAAATTAGCCAACTATAAATAAGAAGTGTTTGTGTACCAAAACTAAAAACAAAGATATAAAAGTTTTCTTACAATATAAAGTTGTACAAAGCAAAAGTAAAACCAAAATGAATAGTGCCCTCAAGCAATTGCCATTCCGAAAACAACATCTTATTTTGTTTATCTCATCATTAATTAATTTCCGCTAAATTTCAAGTTTTACAATTACAAACTTTACAGGAATCGTATGAAATCATATATGATAGCGAAGTAAACAGTGGGAAATAAGGTATGAAATCCTTGAAATATCTATGTACTAGTGAAACATACTATTACATGTTATATCAATATTACACGTTACCTATAATAGACGGTAAAGTGTACATTACATAGTTTTCTATGAAGGGCTATCATTATGTATATGGTATAACAAAAACAGTTAATAACAATGTATTTGAACATAGAATAGTAACATGTCATTATTATTGTACTAATCGTAATCCCTTTAATTTATGTAGATGAACAGAGGAGGAAACCTCTCTTCCAATACGAAAAATTGAAAAAATGTTTAATTTAAATATTTTTTATTTTTTAGATAACAATATCACTGATTACACAATATACACAACTTACCAATTCACTTTAGCCCTAGCCTTACCCTTGACTTCAGCCTGAGCCTTGACTTTAGCCTGAGCAATATCCTAATCTCTCTTTTGCCATCACCCCTTCTATATACTATTCTACTCAAAACTCAAAACTACAGTTTTAGTACTACAAAGAAACATGAAATAAATTTTCATGCTGGCCACACAGATCAAAAAGTCCAACCAAAGATGTAATCACTCGTTTTTCAGGCAATTCGTACTAATAGTAATTACCCAGTCACGCATTAAAATTTAACTGTTTTTGAACTCAACTGTTTTAAATTTTACTTTCTTTGAATAACCTTTTTACGTAAATAGTATTGTAACTGTGCCATGGTTTATAAATAGTACTGTTTGGTAATTCAAAAGTGAAAAATTTTTGATCTGTAACGTATTTTCTAATTTAGATTTGAATTTTTTTAATTAAATCTTTTTTATTTTTGAAAATTACGGCAATTTTTTGAAATAAAGTTTGAAAAATGTTTAAATTTAAGAATTATAAAAAATTAAAATTTTTTTTAAAATTTTTAAAATTACTTTAATTTCTGTGAAATTTTTTTACAAGCTTAAAACAAATGATAAACCTAATACGACATTTCCTTTTGATTGCCTTCGAAAACGAAAGAGAAACAAATGTGTACGCCCATAGCCCGTTGAACGCACGCCATCCCGTCCGATCTGGCAAGTTAAGCAACGGTGCGCTTGATTAGTACTTGGATCGGAGACGTCCTTGGAATCTCAAGTGGCGTACGCATTTTGGCAATTTTAAATATTGTATGTAATAAATAGATTGTTTTATTATTTTAGATACCAAAAATTTTGGTTTTATTAAATTTTAAACCAAATACACAAATTTTTATGCTGTTCTGCCACTAACTTGTAGCTATGTTTAATACTAATCTTTTGATGTATAGAGCATCTGCACTAACTTTTAGTGCTAGTTTTGCTATTTTTAAGTCTCCCATAGTAACTTTTACTCACAAATAATACAAAGTTTGTCACAACTAGTACAAGCTGTTATGAAATATATGCTCCACAACAAGCAGAGCGTTCCAAAATTTCTCTTTGATCAGCCACTGAGAGTTCAGAGCCGAAACATGAGCTAACCTCAAACTTGGGTTAATAAACCGAAGATGTTGTCTCTCTTTCGGCTCTAAGTAAAACTGTCATTTGTTCTTCGAGTGAGAAAGACAGGGTTTTTGGAGGCGTTCGGGGGCTCTAGGTGTCTCTTTTGTTATTATAAAGGTGCGCACAGGCTCTCGCTTTTTCTTTATATCTCTAGCATAAGAAGAGGTAATGTTTCGTATGTTCGTATATACATTGTAAAGACTCTACGCAGTCTTTTCATGCCCCAATCTTATGGTGTTTTCAAAAATGTCTTTTTCTATAAGCTCTCTTTTAAAGTCATCATTCCTTTTACTTTTCTCATTTTGACTGTCTTTTTTCACTACACTCTCAATTTACCATGCCCTCTACAATCCCATCATTCAGCCAATCATCGTACGACACGAGTAACTATTCCATTCTTCTCCTGTTTGTTATTTCAAATAAAGGATTCAATAAAAAACGTCAGAGGAGAAAAAACAAGACTTCTAGAAATTTCGTCAGTTCCACTACCCTTTTTTGACGTATTTTCCATAATAACCTCATAAACTGTTAAGATTTTTATGACGTAAATACCCGTTCGATAACTTGTAGTTTTGTCTACATTTTTATATATAATAAGTGAAAAAGAAATCAGAGGAAAAAAGATACGGACAGAGAAAGAGAGATGAGTCATGATTTCATGAGGGTTTTTTCTAGAAAAACAGTCATATCGATTGATTTTAGTTTGTAATGACAAAATTTATAGTTTAGAATTAGTCAAAAGTTAATGAACGTCACTTTAATGTAGTACGCTCAGCAATTTTTATCTATTTAGGCGGGGTATTTACTAATTTTTGTCATGATAACATTAGGTGGGCCTACGTCAATATAACGTTTCATAACTTTGTTGCCATTTACTTTAAAGCTCTGAACTTCATTGTGAACATTTCGAAATGTATTCTAAGTGTTGTGAATAAAAATGGAATTAATATCTGACCTCAATTTAAAGTTATGACCAATTATATTATGCTATGTATATCAAAGTCAAGCTTTTAGCTAAATAAATTTAATGCCATAATAGCTAAAGGCCTGACTAGATCTTGTTTTTCCTAGTAACCTTGACGTTTTTCAAGTATGTTTTCGTCGTATTTCCACACTTTTTATAAGTCGACGTGTCTTTAAAAATCTTGTTTCGAAAGCTCTCTTCTCTTGCTGCGGGTCAGTCGAAAGCCCAATGCAAATGAGATGGTTGTGGTTTGCCAAAAGCTCCTTCTAGGCCTAAATTATTTAGATTTTAACTCTTCTTCAATCTACATAACAGCCTAATAATAGTACTTTACAGTTTTAAACAAGGTTTATATTTATAGGAGAAGACTTGTCTCAAAATCGAAAATGAGTCAAATTTTTCTTTTTTTTTTGGAAGGAACTCTCTGGATCTTCCACGTGTCAATGTTTATCGACTTGTCGCTATAACTACCTCTTTATGTGGTATTTTGTTATCTTTTTCATCTCTTTAATTAATTTTGTATAATCTTTGCGGTATATATTCTCCTGTTTGTTTTTTTTCGAATATTTTTATATTATACATGGTTCATAGTTCAATATATCGATCAATTTTAATGTAAATGTTAATATATCTTCTCTAATTCTTTTCGCAAACCTAATTGCTTTTTTAACATTCATTTTATGCACATTTCCTCTAATTTTTGTCCGTTTTATTGCGGTTTTTATTGAAGTGATAACATTTTAATCTATGATAATATCGCAGGTTTTTGCGGTCGCTACAGTTCCCGGAATCGAATTCAGATGCGATTGGTTTTATTTGTTCAGCTATTGAATTATGATTAGAGGTGTGGGGAGCGAGAAGGGGTATAAAAATCGATATTAACATAGACATAATGATGTTGGTTCAGGGAAAATTGATAGAACCTTCCGGAAGCTGGGGTTATTGTTTGGATTTTGGTACCGTAAGATAGAATAGGATCTCGTCTTTCAGATAAGAATAATGTTAGACGTGTTTGAGTCTTACTTTTTACGTTATGATCGATTTTCCTTCCAATCACCACTATGTTAATATGGGTACTTCAACATAATTGCTTTTAAAAAGTAGCTAGAAGGCTTTATGACGTCAAAATTGTTGTTAAAAGCTTCGTGACAAAGTAATGAATAATATTTTTATGGTGGGTGGGTACAATCGCACGTATTTACGCTACCGCGACGACTTTTTTACTCCCACCTCTATTCATAGAAGATATACATTTAAAGCTCCGAAAATGGATGAAACTCGAGGTGTATTATCTTTCCTGGTTTATAAGTTGATGTTAACTGTTCATACTATCATTTAAAATTGTATTTCATTTTTGTGTTTTATTCTACTTTGATCGTGCAGCCTATTGTTACCTAAAACAATATAATGGTGTAAAATGTTAACTTTTGATATTTTCAGGATTTTTATTGTATAATCAACAACTAAAGAGGATTTTTATTCGTTAACTGGCAGGTCCAGGACTACTGTGACACAGAATTTACAAACATGGCTAAATTGTATCTTATTCAACCAGCTGTGGTGGCTCCAGTTAGAATCAACACAGTAAGTTTGTTTTGAATTTGTTTTTGAGTTTATAGGTTGTGAAAGCTTCTGAATATATTGTTAAAGGTTTTGAGTTGAAATAGTTTTGGAATTCGTAAAATACGACCATTGATTTTGTTCTTTTTGTAAAATATTGGTTTTAAAGACATAATTATCGATTTTTTCGTAATTTTTAGTTTTTTGAAAGAAATTTGGTATAAAATCTAACTAGAATTAATTTTCAGCATCATAAACAAATGACAAAGCCAGTAAACGATCTTCTCGATGATCCTTTGGCGGTAATTAAGTCACAGAAGAACAACAACCAGCCCAGACGTCGTGAACGTCTCACACATCTCACAGCCGAAGAGAAGTTGAATCGTCGCAAAATGAAGAATCGTGAAGCCGCACAGAATGCCAGAGACCGCAAGAAGGAGCAGAACAAGCAGTTGGAAGGAGTTTTGCGACAAATGGCAGCCGAAAACAAGAAGTTGAAGGCCGAGAACGCTAAGTTGAGAGCTGAAGTCGCCAGACTGTCTGGCAAAGAGTATACTGGTACTGATGGTGCTAAAAATATGGAAACGTATCCTATAGGTAGTGCTAATGGATATGTTATGGATGGTACTGAAAGTCCAGTATATGGTTTGGATGGAACAGAAGATTATAATGTTCACAGTAATGAACTGGACGTTCCTTGCAGTCCAGACAGTGCTTATGCTTCCAGTTCCACTTCAGCTCTATCCCCAGTGTCTTCGAATGGATATCAACCGGTCGTTTATCAAAACAGGTCAAAGAGAACCAGCATGAACTTGAGCAGTCCTTCTTCAAGTCGTTCAAGCTTTTCACATGGCTACAGAACTTCTGAATACAACAATATCAACAGAAATGATGGCTTGAATGGAGCGCATAGGTCTTCCAACGATACCTACATTACTCCTGAATCCAACGATACCTACATGTCTTCCGAATCCAACTTCAACACCCAAAACCCGATCTTCAACGATAACTACGAGTTCAACCAAGCACCCCTCAACCCCCACCACGCTCACCCTACGGAACCCCAAGCCGATCGGTCGTTTGTCCCATCTGTCGAGTCTGCCGCACTCCGGATGTCCCTGCCGCGGAACAGGACGAACGATCGGCCCGCCTACCGGTGCCCGACGAGAGCATGGTGCTGGAGCCGTTCGAGGAGGTCAGCGAGTACGTCGACGTGTACGCCGATGATTACAGTCACGACGCTGCTCAGCTTGATGAACTGGACCTCGATGGAGAGGGATTCGAAGCCGGATTCGAGTTTGGAAACGAAGCCGGCTTCAGAAATGGATTTGAAGGCGAGTACGGTAACAAAAGTGGACTCGAAGGCGAGTACGGTAACAGAAATGGATTCGAAGCCGGCTTCGATAGCCCATTTGACCCCATCTACCCACAGACTGAAGCCCAGAAACCGGTTCAGAATCCGCCGACGGACACCTTTGAAGGCCTGCCAGCCTTCGACGACCTCGTTCAAAGCTCCTTCCTCGACAAACTCTGCTCCGAGCTGGAGATTCTCCCCTCCCAGGAGGAGAACAACTACATGAACGACTTTGAAATGGACAATCAAAACCTTTTCGACTGGTGCAACAACGTTTAAATGGTCGATTTATGGATGAAATGACGGATTAATGGCAAAAATGGTTGATTTTGATTGGTTTTATATACTGGATGACGGATTTTATGGAAAGGATGACGGATTTTATAGGAAGGATGACGAATTTTTTGGAAAGGTGGATTTTACGGAAAGGTGATGGATTTTGTAGAAGGATCATTTTATGGAGTTCATGACCAATTCTTTCTAAAAATCGACAATTTGCCTTGGCTTAAATTGTACTTGACCTATATCTGTTATGCTGTTCCTGTACAATTTATATTGTTATACTGGATAATATACTAATGAATTTTGATCTTTTGTCAATTTTTTTATTCATTATTGTCTATGCTAACTAATTTTGTCAGTTGTAATATGAAGATTGGCACTATATTAAGCATAGTCACTAGCTCTATTTAGGGCTATTAGGCTGTTCAAATAATTCAGTGCCTTGTAACTTTGAAAATATGATATACAAAGGGCACAGAATTAATTGAACGATCATATATGTATAAGAACCATATTTTTTGACCAGTTTCACTATGTTAACCATGTCGAATTGTCCCTTGATTGTGATGTTTTTAAGGTTTCTTTACCTTGTAGGTCATGTAGAACTTATTTATTTTCGAATTCGTTTTGAATTCAAATTTTAAAAATATTTTTTGAAATGTACAAAATTTTAAAAATGCTAAAAAAATGAATGTTTTTTGTTTGATAGTGCATCAATAAACAATATTATACTTGATTTTATTGGTTTTCTAGATTTTATTTTCAATTTTTGATTGTTTTGTAGGTATTCTTTGGTTGACAAAGTATAAAAAAGTTTAAATTTGTGGAAAAAAGGTATTTTATAAAAAGATACGGAGTGTCTTAGATATATGAACATAAAAATGAAATTTTCAATACCTAGTGTTATAAAAACCAGGTTTAAAAACACCTAAATTACGATGAAGAATGCCAAAACGCGTACGCCACTTGAGATTCCAAGGACGTCTCCGATCCAAGTACTAATCAAGCGCACCGTTGCTTAACTTGCCAGATCGGACGGGATGGCGTGCGTTCAACGGGCTATGGGCGTACACAATTGTTTCTCTTTCTTTTTCGAAGACTATCAAAAGGGAATGTCATATTAGGTGTATCATTATTTTTAGGCTTATAAAATGGAAAATTACGCCAAAATTACAGTAATTTTGAAAATTCAATAAGTTTTTTATTCCAATTTTCTATAATTCTCAAAGTTAAAAATTATGTGAACTTTAAAATAAAATACAGTCCATTTTACACAATTAACATATATCGAAAATATGATAACAATTAACATTTTGCTATTTTATTAAAGAAACGCTGATCAAAACCAGCCGGAACCAATAATGTGAACAGAATAATGTCAAAAGTTCATTAACCTTATTGTCCTATGCATACATTATAAACTATAGTATTTGAATGTCATCAAAGGTCAGAAGTTGGTATAAAATAACATTATGTGGCTTGTTGTCTCCGTTATTGTACAATTTACATTCTCTTTGGCAGACTTGTTAAAGCTATGTTACGGTTAATTGTGGTTTGTCTTCTGACAGTAGAGGTTAGTGGGTGAGTAAGACATCTTCTTTGCCCTACCGTACTCTATCCTACCGTACCCTACCCTACCTTACTCTATTCTACCCCTTACCTACAATACCCCACATTTGACCTTAAGACTTACCCTACCCCGGCCTTGCACTATTAAAAAACTTTGTTTTATGTTTGTACTCCCTGATAAACTAAACCCGTTCGAACAAGATGAGCATATATTTGCTGTGATTGCAGTCGGTTCAAACACATTTTACAACTATAGGCATCAAGCTGACGCTTGCCATGCCTACCATACTCTCCGTGATCACGGTATTCCAAAGGAGAACATTATTGTTTTGAACTACGATGACGCACCAAACGCCGAAGAGTAAGTAGTATTACCTTATGTTACCTTACCTTACTCTGACCTACCCTACAACACAGGGTTGTCACAACTAGTACGAGTTTGCTTGAAATATATGCTCCACAATAAGCAGAGCGTTCCAAAATTTATCGTTGATCAGCCACTGAGAGTTCAGAGCCGAAACATGAGCTAACCTCAAACTTGGGTTAATAAACCGAAGATGTTGTCTCTCTCTCGGCTCTAAATAAAACTGTCATTTGTTCTTCGAGTGAGAAAGACAGAGGTTTTGGAGGCGTTCGGGGGCTCTGGGTGTCTCTTTTGTTATTATAGGTATGCGCGCTGGCTCTCGTTTTTTCTTTATATCTCTAGCAAGACAAGAATTATTCTCTCGTATGTTTGTATAAACATGAAGCAGGGTCTCTTGAATGTATATACGAACATACAAAGCATCACTTCTCACTACGCCAGAGATATAAAGAAAACCGAAAGCCAGCGCGCATACCTATAATAACAAAAGAGACCTCCAGAGCTAACGAACACCTCCAAAACCCCATTTTTCTCACTCAAAAAACAAATGACAGTTTTATTTATAGCCGAAGGAGGGACAACATCTTCGGTTTATTAACCCAAGTTTGAGGTTAGCTCATGTTTCGGCTCTGAACTCTCAGTGGCTGATCAACGAGAAATTTTGGAACGCTCTGCTTATTGTGGAGCACATATAAAATGACAAAGCACATGGACTGAGTGAAAATTAAAATTGAATTTTTTTAAATTGGACTTTTTTTGATAAAAACCCTTTTTACATCCATTACCATACATTGCCTCTCAATTGCCTTCGAAAAAGAAATGAGATAAAACGTGTACGCCCATAGCCCGTTGAACGCACGCCATCCCGTCCGATCTGGCAAGTTAAGCAACGGTGCGCTTGATTAGTACTTGGATCGGAGACGTCCTTGGAATCTCAAGTGGCGTACGCATTTCGGCTATTTTGATCGTATTTCGGATATATATTTTAGTTGTATTTTGATATTTTAGACATTTGTAGTGCTTCCTATTTTTAGGTACTTTATTAAGGTTGGTCTTACAATAGTTTGTTTTGTCATATGATAGTCTTTTTGGTCTATGGGCTTTATTTAGTTAGTTACTTGGTTAACAATTTTAAGGAATACGTATCCGGGCAAGCTCTACAACCACCCCGACATGTCATTTGACGTGCGCAAGGGCTGCGAAACCGACTATTCGGGTAAAGATGTAACTGTGGAAAACTTTGTCAACGTTCTCACTGGTAACGACGAGAACGGTGGCCGAGTTTTGAAAACGACCGATGAAGATACCATCTTTGTTTACTTTAGCGACCATGGTGGCCCTGGTGAGCTGGCTTGAGGATGTGATAACAGTCAAAGACATGGATGCCATTTTGAAGACGATGACAGAGAACAAGTCCTATAAAGAGGTCGTATTTTACGTTGAAGCCTGTTACTCTGGTAGTGTTTTCGAGAACATTGTACCCAAATACGATAACGTTTTGGCCATTACCGCCGCCAATGATGACGAATCATCCTATGCCACGTACTGTGACAGAGAGTTGGACACTTGTCTTGGCGACTGGTTCTCGATATCGTGGATGGAGTACTCCGACAAACACGATCTACGCAAGACCACGATAGAAGAAGAGTACAAAATGGTTCAGGAAAGAACATATAGAAGTCATGTTTCCGAGTATGGCGATGATAAAATTTTGGATCAAGAAGTCAGTCAAATACAAGGAGATGAAGAGCCCGAAGACAGAAGAGTATATGGAAAGGTAACTTTAGTTAACACAAGGCATACCCTACCATTTTAAAATCTATGAGACTACAAGGCTAGAGGAATACTAAAGCACGATAGGGTAATAGGGTAGAATAGAGTAGGGTATGGTAGGGTAGAATAGGGTAAGGTATGATAGGGGTAAATTAGGCGAGATAGGGTGGAGTAGAGTAAAGTAGGGTAGGGTAAGGTAGGGTAAGGTAGGGTAGGGTAGGGTAGGGTAGGGTAGGGTAGGGTAGGACAGGGTAGGGTAGGGTAGGGTAGGGTAGGGCAGGGTAGGGTAGGGTAGGGTAGGGTAGGGTAGGGGTAGGGTAGGGTAGGGTAGGGTAGGGTAGGGTAGGGTAGGGTAGGGTAGGGTAGAATAGGGTAAGGTATGATAGGGGTAAATTAGGCAAGATAGGGTGGAGTAGAGTAAAGTAGGGTAGGGTAAGGTAGGGTAGGGTAGGGCAGGGTAGGGTAGGGTAGGGTAGGGTAGGGTAGGGTAGGGCAGGGCAGGGTAGGGTAGGGTAGGGTAGAGTAGGGTAGGGTAGGGTAGGGTAGGGTAGGGTAGGGTAGGGTAGGGTAGGGTAGGGTAGGGCAGGGTAGGGCAGGGCAGGGCAGGGCAGGGGTAGGGTAGGGACAGGGCAGGGCAGGGTAGGGCAGGGCAGGGCAGGGCAGGGCAGGGTAGGGCAGGGCAGGGCAGGGCAGGGCAGGGCAGGGCAGGGCAGAACAGGGCAGGGCAGGGCAGGGCAGGGCAGGGCAGGGCAGGGCAGAGCAGGGCAGGGTAGGGCAGGGCAGGGTAGGGCAGGGCAGGGTAGGGCAGGGCAGGGCAGGGTAGGGCAGGGCAGGGCAGGGCAGGGCAGGGCAGGGCAGGGTAGGGCAGGGCAGGGTAGGGCAGGGTAGGGCAGGGCAGGGCAGGGCAGGGCAGGGCAGGGCAGGGCAGGGCAGGGCAGGGTAGGGCAGGGCAGGGCAGGGCAGGGCAGGGCAGGGCAGGGCAGGGCAGGGCAGGGCAGGGCAGGGCAGGGCAGGGCAGGGCAGGGCAGGGCAGGGCAGGGCAGGGCAGCGGCAGGGCAGGGCAGGGCAGAATAGGGCAAGGCATGATAGGGCAACTAGGGCAAGATAGGGTGGAGCAGAGCAAAGCAGGGCAGGGCAAGGTAGGGCAGGGCAGGGCAGGGTAGGGCAGGGCAGGGCAGGGCAGGGCAGGGCAGGGTAGAGCAGGGCAGGGCAGGGTAGGGCAGGGCAGGGCAGGGCAGGGCAGGGCAGGGCAGGGTAGGGCAGGGCAGGGCAGGGTAGGGCAGGGCAGGACAGGGCAGGGCAGGGCAGGGCAGGGCAGGGCAGGGTAGGGTAGGGCAGGGCAGGGCAGGGCAGGGCAGGGCAGAACAGGGCAGGGCAGGGCAGGGCAGGGCAGGGCAGGGCAGGGCAGGGCAGAGCAGGGCAGGGCAGGGCAGGGCAGGGCAGGGCAGGGCAGGGCAGGGTAGGGCAGGGCAGGGCAGGGCAGGGTAGGGCAGGGCAGGGCAGGGCAGGGCAGGGCAGGGTAGGGCAGGGCAGGGCAGGGCAGGGCAGGGCAGGGCAGGGTGGGGCAGGGCAGGGCAGGGCAGGGCAGGGCAGGGCAGGGCAGGGCAGGGCAGGGCAGGGCAGGGCAGGGCAGGGCAGGGCAGGGCAGGGCAGGGCAGGGCAGGGCAGGGCAGGGCAGGGCAGGGCAGGGCAGGGCAGGGCAGGGTAGGGCAGGGCAGGGCAGGGCAGGGCAGGGCAGGGCACGGTCAGGGCAGGGCAGGGCAGGGCAGAATAGGGCAAGGCATGATAGGGCAACTAGGGCAAGATAGGGTGGAGCAGAGCAGCAGGGCAGGGCAAGGTAGGGCAGGGCAGGGCAGGGCAGGGTAGGGCAGGGTAGGGCAGGGCAGGGCAGGGTAGGGCAGGGCAGGGCAGGGCAGGGTAGGGCAGGGCAGGGCAGGGCAGGGCAGGGCAGGGCAGGGCAGGGCAGGGCAGGGCAGGGCAGGGCAGGGCAGGGCAGGGTAGGGCAGGGCAGGGCAGGGGTAGGGCAGGGCAGGGTAGGGTAGGGCAGGGCAGGGTAGGGTAGGGTAGGGTAGGGCAGGGTAGGGTAGGGCAGGGCAGGGCAGGGTAGGGTAGGGTACGGCAGGGTAGGGTAGAATAGGGTAAGGTATGATAGGGGTAAATTAGGGCGAGATAGGGTGGAGTAGAGTAAAGTAGGGTAGGGTAAGGTAGGGTAGGGTAGGGCAGGGTAGGGTAGGGTAGGGTAGGGGTAGGGTAGGGGTAGGGTAGGGTAGGGTAGGGTAGAGTAGGGTAGGGTAGGGTAGGGTAGGGTAGGGTAGGGTAGGGTAGGGCAGGGTAGGGTAGGGTAGGGTAGGGTAGGGTAGGGTAGGGTAGGGTAGGGTAGGGTAGGGTAGGGTAGGGCAGGGCAGGGTAGGGTAGGGTAGGGTAGGGTAGGGTAGGGTAGGGTAGGGTAGGGTAGGGTAGGGTAGGGTAGGGTAGGGTAGGGTAGGGTAGGGGTAGGGTAGGGTAGGGTAGGGTAGGGTAGGGTAGGGGTAGGGTAGGGTAGGGACAGGGTAGGGTAGGGGTAGGGTAAGGTAGGGTAGGGTAGGGCAGGGTAGGGTAGGGTAGGGTAGGGTAGGGCAGGGTAGGGTAGGGTAGGGTAGGGTAGGGTAGGGTAGGGTAGGGTAGAGTAGGGTAGGGTAGGGCAGGGTAGGGGTAGGGTAGGGTAGGGTAGGGTAGGGTAGGGTAGGGTAGGGTAGGGTAGGGTAGGGTAGGGTAGGGTAGGACAGGGTAGGGTAGGGTAGAATACAGTAAGGTATATAGCAAATTAAACACTACCAAGCCATTTTTTAGACCGATGACTCCTCCTACGAAACTATACCCGCCCTAGACGTGCCATTATTTAAAATCAAAACTCAGAAAAGCCATGGCCAAAAATGATGATACAGAAACCAAAAAGTACCAAAAAGAAGTTGAAAATTTGTTGGAAAAACGAGAAAAACTGACGAAAAGTGTCGATTTTATTGTGTCATCGATTGCCAAAGACAAAAGTGACATGATGGATGAACGAAGACCTATTACTGATTTGGATTGTCATGATAAGGTGGTCAAGAGCTTCCACAGGTTGTGCTACAATATGGGCAAGGTAAAATTTGTTTTTCATTTGGGGGTTGTTTTTTTGTTCTGTAAAGAAAGTCCTTGCTATTTTATGATATGGAAACAAAGTTCTTGCCATTTGTTGTTTTTTAAAGAAAGTTTTTGCCATTTCTTCCTTTGTAAAGAAAGTTCTTGCTATTTTTTGTTTTGTAAAGAAAGTTTTTGCTATTTTATGATATGGAAACAAAGTTCTTGCCATTTGTTGTTTTTTAAAGAAAGTTTTTGCCATTTCTTCCTTTGTAAAGAAAGTGCTTGCTATTTTTTGTTTTGTAAAGAAAGTTTTTGCCAGACAAGTTATACGATAAACGTTCTTTTTCAGAACCCCTTCTTGGGCACGTTGAGTCACAAGGTTGTCAACCTGTGCCACATCCTACCAGCTGAAGAAATTGTACTTCAATTTGAACTTCTTTGCCGTGGCATTACACTTGACAACGTTCTGTAACGCTTTATTTTCAAAATTTTGAATTTTCAGTTTTAATTTTTCAAAATCAAAAAAAAATTAAAATAAATAACCAATAAATACATTATACAAGCACTACGGCCAATAGTTTTTGAATTCTTGCGATGGCGACCATGTTTTCCGACACCAAATTGTCTTTCGTATAAGGTGGTTCGATTACGACTGCGCCCACCTTTAGCCCGCCTTCAACTTCTTCGAATGGCACTTTGGTCGACTTCATGTGGTCGATCAGTTTCTGTTTCCTTTCTTCTATCACTTGTGATGACACTTCTCCAGTTTTGTTCAGCATATCGTCGATTTTCTCTATCAGATCTTCTGAACCATGGGAGACGGTCGATATTTGGACGTTTTTCGACAATTTGTGGACGGATTTTATCGAATATGCTGGGATTAGGGTGAGAGATGATGGAGATTCTGAAAATTCATATATCGATTGGTTTAGAAGATTTTTGAATGAAAATGCTCAAAAAGGTCTAGGATAACATCAAGTACCTACTACAACATTGAGAAACTCAGAAAACAGGAAAAATTGAGCCGTATTTTACAACCCCTTACCTTTTTCATGTTCAGTAGTTACAAACTTAAAAAACTCAGAGACTTTTAGTATATCAAAGCCATAAAAACACAATCAACATCATGTCTACTACAACATCCAAAATCTCAATAACCAACGAATGCCGTATCGTATTTTACAAACCTTACCTTTTTCAGCTTCAGTAAACTGTGCTACCACCAAATTTCGTGTGTCCGGATCCACTGTGTACACATTTCCATAAACATCTTGACCATTCGTTGCTTTATGCACCTCCACTCTGACTGGTTGGTCTTGTAGTTGATAAAGGTCGTGGATATCAGCTGTATTTATATCCATTTAGCTGAAACAAACATTTATCTTTCTTTTTAGCACAAAATTGATTAAATATTGCTATGATAACATTGAGTTATTCAACATTTTCGAGGTGATATAACCAATTCTTGATGTTTTTTCGTTTATTTTAGTTTTAACAACAAAAACAGGCGCGATATAACAATAACCTAATATATTACCATGGTATACAATCTACAATGCATTTAGCAACTATTTCGTATCAAAAAAGCTTTAAAATCGCCCAAAAAATGGCATAAATCTCTAAAAATCAACCCAAAACACCGTTCATCCTGTTCCCTCAAGCAGATCTGATCGTATAAAATGGTAAAACAAAAAAATTATACAAAATTATTCCCATCCCAAGTTCCTGCGAACTTGTGGGTCGTCCAAGCTCTTCAGTTCATCTTGTCTGGACTTCAGAAGTAGGTCAGGGATGTATCTGTAGTTTTCGTCCGCCTTCTCGTGAACTTTGGCCGTTAACTTGACTCCGGATGGTAGATGGGCTTGAACAAAATTGATGAACAGTTGTAGACGGACAGCCGAGACTGAAGACATTCGTAGCCATCGATCGTAGGTGTGTAGCTCGAGTTCTGAATCCACGATGGTGGAGTTTGGCTTCAGGGTTGTGATTCGCTCGGATGTTGAGGAGACGGCATAGCTGAATTTATGGAAATGGAATTTTAGGTAATAAAAAATATTTTTCTATGATTTGCCAGGGTTTTCCTATCCATTTTACCCTATTTTTTATCAAAAATCCTCCGATTTTTCCTTAAAACTGCCTACCGTGCTCACATAGTTCAGTGGGTTTCCCAAATCTAACACCCCAAACCATCCAGGTTCGATCCCCACCAAAAGCGAAAACTCACCTTTCATCCACTTTGAACTGAAAATTCTTGGCCATAGTGTGAATAAAACGTTGATATCGTTCTAACGAAGCATAGTCAAAGCCTTGTAAACGTATATTCACTTGTTCATACGTTGGATATTTCCGTTTGTCCTCAATCAACGGTTCATAAAGACCTTCGGAGCTGGCTGGACTTGGTGGTGGGGTTGCAGCATTAATATTTCGAACTTGTGTTAGATTTTTGGAGAATCTAGAGAGTCTGGCCAACATCTGAAAAAGGTTCTTAGATTTTTGAAACAAGAGTAATATCAAAAAATGGCAATAACAAAGTAAATTTTAAGCCAAATCACAAATTTTTCGAAAATAATGCCATTTTTTATAAAAGTAAAATTAAAATTTAGGTAACAAACAGCGTTAAAACGCTTAAAAACTATACTTAATCCAACAAAATCAATATAAAAATTTATAAAATCAAAAGCTCGTATAAAATGTATGATAACATAAGTGGACAATAACATCACAATACAACCCGGTAATGTATATAACAATTTCAAATTCATAAAATATGCTTATAAACAACAACTTAAACCTAGTTAGACATTAATCTACCCGTTACCATATTATGAAAGACGGATATTGAGTATAACCTCAAAACCTTACTATAACATCCAATAAATGTCGTTTGAAACAATATATAACCCATGATATGGGTATGAAAAGAAGGAAAAGTGTTTATATATGTTGCATCTTTAATATTTCGTCCAGTTTCTTTGATTTAAACTCCTTTTCATGAACTTTCTTTCGTTTTTCCGTGTATTTATCCAAAAATTCCGTCATTTCCATGTTACCGTCAAGAAATTGGTCCATCATTACCTAAAAAATTAAGGTACTCTTCAAAATTAACACAACAATTACCTAAAACTCCAATACAACTAATAAAAACAACTTACTTCACTTTCGTCTTCTGTAACTCGCACACTAGCTCGAAGTATATTGGCCACTTTATCAATCCGCCGGCTTTCCCCAATGGCTTCTAATTCGGCTTTTAATTTCTCACATTCGGATTTTAAACGTCGTGCTTCTATATGAGCGTCCCTGAGATTGCTCTTTGTGCTATAGAAACGTTGTTCGTACTCTAGACTATGTTCAGCATAGCTTTTAGCCACTCGCTTTAAACCATCTCTCTGTGTTACCAACATGTTTAACTAAAATGATTATGTTACAAATGAAAACTCTAATAGCAACTTGAAAATTGTTGACGATGCTAAGAAAATGATAAAGAAGCTATAAAAATCGTTAACAATCTAAAAAACTTTAGGTTTCTATTGCTTTTCGCATCCTGATCATCTTCCCCACCTTTTAACACCAATTTCCCTTCAATTCAATCCACCTAAACCTCAAAAAACCAAAATAATAACAAACTTACCACCGGTGATCCTTTACATTGTTCGTTGATCTTTGCCGGATTATTTGCCAATTCCATCAACTGTTCATTACTCAAATTTCGTACCCAATATTGCAGATGAAGCAATGCGTTGTCCACATGTTGGTCTATAGAAGTTTGGGACATTTCTATATTATTTTAGTTTATCGCAAGGTATAGTAGTTAAATTTAAAGTGAAAAAATAGTAAAAACACAAATATATCTAAAATAAAATAAATTTAAAATAAATAGTAGGTAAAAAAGGTTATCTGGGTTATTTTAGAGCAAGATTATCCTTTTTGAGGTTGAAAAGCACCGAATTTTTAGAAAAATTACGAAAAATTATTATGAAGAACAAGCGCGAGTCGCCGCCGAGCAAAGTTATACGACGAAAGGTACCTTGATATAAAAATAATATTGTAGACGAGAATTTGATAAATATATTTTATATATATAGTTATCTTTAAAATCTAAAATAAATCTTATTTTTATGTAAAATACGAATCTTTTTTTCACCTTTAAAATTTTACACCACAATGTCATGTGTAATGTCCGTATTGTAACCGCCTATTATCGTGTAATATTTCCACTCTAAATTATAGTATGTATGGCTTCAGGGTCTTTAAGATGTGTTTGGTAAGAAATAGCGGAAAAATCTTTGGGAAAACGAGGAAATCTGTTTTTTCTATAAAGAAGTGTTACGAAAACGATTATTTTATAGGTTGTGTTACTTTACATGTTCGTATGTGTCGTTTGTAATTGTTTTGGCAAAAACAAACTTGTATTACTATTTTTGGTTTCACTATAGTCCATTTGGCAAATTTTTCGAAGTTTAGCAAACGTTTTGGTTGCACAGTGCAATGTTATGTTGATGTAGGTATAGGTGAACTTCCTTTGATGTTTTAGGTTGAAAATTGAACGTTTTATGACACGTTATAATTTACTATAGCTTTACAATAGTTTTCAAAGTATTTTATATTATGTTTTGTTTCAATTTCGATTTGTTTTCATATTGGAATCTCAAATTTTCTACAACAACATCAATTTTTGACCAATTTTAGCCGAAAAACCTAATTTTCCGGTCGATAATTTTATAGAATTACTACCAAAACATAAAATTTATATTTCCCAAGGTTTTTTCAAATTTTAAAACCAATTTCCAATAATATTTCATTCATATAACATATAAAATGGCACTGTAAAGTACAAAAACCTGGAAAATTAATTAAGAATTTGTAGAAAATTAATTGGTAATTATTGTAAACATGTTTATGTATGATGCGTGGGTACGAATATTACGTTTATTTCACCTGTTTGGGAAAAGAGAAACGTTACAATTAAGGTTTATATTTAGTATAGGGTAGAAACTGTCATTAATATGGGTTGGTTTGGACCGCTTTTGGGCGGTTTTTTGAGTTTTAAAGGGAAGGGTAGGGTAGGGGAGGGGATATAACATTGTAGGGTAGAATAGGGCATCATATGATAAGGCACGATAGGTTAAGGTATGGCAAGGCAAGGCAAGGCAAGGCAAGGCAAGGCAAGGCAAGGCAAGGCAAGGCAAGGCAAGGCAAGGCAAGTAGACAGATCAAACAGGCCGGGCTTAGTTTCTAATTTTCTAGCAGGGTAGGGTAAAATACGGCAGGGTAGGTGTTAAGGCAGGTTATTTTTACTTCATTCTATCCATTCAAGGTTTACTAATAAGCTTAAAGTAGGCGCGCGGCTTTGTTGGTTGTGCTTTCATGGTAACGGCTCGTCTTACCATTGTTATGAAGTGGTCGTGTGAGCCACAATTTTCATTTTTGATTACCGGTTTATGGGGTTTACGTTTAATTTTGGACTTGGTTTAAAATTTTCAAAATTTTCATTTTTAGGCAAAATAACGCTTGTAAAGAAAGTTCTTGCCATTTTCTGTTTTGTAAAGAAAGTTCTTGCTGTTTTATGTTTTGTAAAGAAAGTTCTTGCCATTCTTTGCTTTATAAAGCCAAATTTTAATAAATTTTTTAAAAATGCCATTTCAGGATGGTGCGGACATATAACTTCAATCCATCAATGCAAAGCTCAGTAAACCTGACTGGTTTACCCAAGGTCAACTTTAATAGCTATACTATGATGCCAAAGACACCTATACGGTAAGAAGACCAAAATTTTCAAAAAATTTTTGTTTTTCAAATTTTTGTAAATTTTAAAAATATTTTAAAATTTTAGACAAGACGTACAGTACCAAAAGTCTCCAGAGATCTTAAAAGTAAAGCCAATGCAACAAGCTAGCCCTAATTTCATTAAAGTTCAACGACCCTGCCCGTTAGATCAACCTGGATATTATCGTAGCTTAGAGTCGTTACATGGTGACTATAGTCGACAGAACTCTAGCTACAAGTTCGATGATAAAAACATGGGGTTGTCGTCTAAAAATGGTGAGCTTACCCTACCCTGCCCTACCCTACCCTACCCTACCCTACCCTACCCTACCCTACCCTACCCTACCCTACCCTACCCTACCCTACCCTACCCTACCCTACCCTACCCTACCCTACCCTACCCTACCCTACCCTACCCTACCCTACCCTACCCAATGCCTTGCCTTGTCTTGTCTGATCTGTCATGTTTAGTCATTTCCTACCTTATCCTGCCCTACTGTTCCCTATTTTAAACTTACTCTGCCCTACTTTTAAGTGCCAAATCCAACGCCTACATTACTCTTTACAGCCTCAAAATCGACCAATAACCTGACCAAGCTGGATTTACCTTCAAATTCCTTTGATAACAACACTACTCTGCTTGGAGTACAGAGTATTACAGTAAATGGTCAGAAGTATTATCGACCATTAGATCCGGAATCAAATCGAGTTTTAAACGAACAATTCAACGTTTTGAAAGGTGGTCCGACCGGTCGATATGGAGACAATTTCAACGACTTCGATGCTGCTTTCAAGGCTCTGGGTAAGGTTACTGTAATGATTACTGTAACAATTTAGATACTATATCTTAAGATGTACTGTAACAAAAATAATACTTTGTAAAAAGTACTATAACAAAAACATTATACTACAATGAATACAAAAGCAAAGGTACTGTAACAGGTACTGTAACAGACATACCGAACATACTGTAATGGAAGGTTTTAGCTATGGCAGTGGAAGAAAACAGAAGATCAGCAAAACAAGACCAACATGGTCAATATAATAATGGTAATGGAAACAAGGCTGTTCACAATGAACCTATAAACAATTTGAATGATCAAAAAGTGGGTTTGAAGTTGAACTTACCTCAAAGTTGGCAGCAGCAAAATAAGGTAAGGGAACTGACAAATGTTCAAGTTTTCTAGGTTTTATAACGATTTTTAGGTTCAAAAAATGCATTTTAGGCTCAAGAATTGAGTTTTAAGCTTAAAATTGCAATTTTAACTTAAAAATGAAATTTAGGCTTAAAAATGCATTTTAAGCTTAAAAATGCATTTTAAGCTTAAAAAATGAATTTTAGGCTTAAAAGTGAATTTTAGACTTAAACAATGAATTTTAGGCTTTAAATTGAATTTTAGGCTTAAAAAGTGTATTTTAGGCTTAAACAATGAATTTTAGGCATATCAACTTTTCTTAGGCTTGAAGCTAGGATTTGGGCTTAACAAATGAAATTTAAGCTTATAAAACAAAATTTAGGCTTAAAAATCAAAATTAGGTTTAGAAAATGAGCTTTAGGCTTAAAAATGAATTTTAGGCTTATAAAAGAAATTTTAGGCTTAAAAAATAAAACTGAGGTTTAAAACTTGAATTTTGGGTTTAGAAAATGAGGTTTAGGCTTAAAAATGAATTTTATGTTTAAAAAATAAACATTAAGCTTAAAAATCAATTTTAGGCTTATAAAATAAAATTTAAGTTTAAAACATAAATTTTAGGCTTTACTTTGGTTTAATGAACAGTTAGGCTTAAAAACAACTTTGTTTTAAATTTATATGTAATAATATAATATCTGCAAGCCTTTACTATTTTGCAGTAAGGCAAGGCACTTCCCAGTACATCTATTTATATAGTACTAACATAAACAGATGCAACTGTTGTCAACGTTCTCCTAATCCGAGTACAACCTCTATAAATATGCGAGTGGTTTTGTTTCGTTTTTTCTTACAAATGCCATTATTATTTGTAACCAAGGAAATTGTAAGTAACGGGGTGGACACTTTTTGTTGGTCAGTCGGTTGGAATGCCTCCGGAAACCGCTTTCAACACTTTCAGCTCTTTTTTATGCTTTAGGCTTGTTTTTCTATATAATAGGTTGTACTTTAGGTATAGTTACTTTAGATGGTTCTTTGTCTCTAGGGAGAGGGATCGGGCTAGGTTAAAATATTCGTTTTAGCCTAAAATTGGCTTTAAAACTTAAATTTATTAACTAACAAGGAAAGTACCCAACCTGCAACTCTCAGAATTAGCTCAAAATTTTTATACGGATTCTTTGTAGCACCATTAGCACATATAAAAAATCTTAGCTTGCGGTTTTAAATTTCAAATTTAATATATTTAAATTTTCCGCCAATTTGGCAAATTTGGCATTGTGTTACAAGCACTTTTTTTGATGTTCCAGATAAGATAGGCTTACAAATTTGAAATTGCAGGTTAATTTGAAGTTTTTCTATCAGTATATTAAAGAAAAATAGTTAAAAATTAAAAATTGACAAAGTTAAAAGCTTGCAACACTATGCCAATTTGGCGGGAAATTCAAAACGCGATTTTTTGATCTCGATTTTCTCAAGACTGGCCGCAAACCGCAACTTAGAATTTTACATAAGGTCTTACATTTACATGATCTTTCAATAGAAAAAATTTGAACGAAATCTGAGCGTTGCAGGTCGGGTACCTTCCTTGTAAGTCGAAATTGTAATTTGAACGCCTGGACTGTCTTCTTTAAGCTCAAAATGTATTTCTTAAGCCCAAACCACTTTCCAAGCCTAAAATTGATTTTATAAGCCTAAAATGTAGTTTCTAAGCCTAAAAAATACTTTTAAACCTAAACTAGATTTTTTAGTCTAAAACTTATTTTTAACCTTAATTTTTATCTTCAGGCCCACATTAATTTTTCTTTGCATAATATTTTTTTAAATTACATTGTTTTTGTTACAGTACCCTTCAGATGAGATATCATCTCGAGACAGTGGCATTCTAATGGAGAACGATCTGCCTTGGGCCCGAGGAAACCCCCAGCCCCGAAATGGCAAACGAGGAACAGCCGGCTGGAACCAGTTCCAACGAATGTCACCTTACAATAGCTTTGGCAACTCTTATAAGGTGGGTTTTGGAAATTTTGAATTTTGTAAAAATTTTAAAAAATTAAATTGAAAAAATTTTAAATTTCAAAATTCTTTTGGTTTTTTTTTTAATTTTTGGGTGCAAAATGAAAATAAAAGGTTAGTTTTAGCCGTTCTGGCAATATAACAGACCTCTAACCCCTCTATACCAAACGCCATTGTACTATGTAAGTGGAGTGCAGTGAACGTAGAGTTAGGTAGTATGACACTTGACAAATATATTACTTTACAAAAAGTGGCAATATTGTCATTTTGAAGCTTTAAAAATTGAAAAAATCAAATTTTGTTACCTAAAATTTAATAACTTTGTTAAAATGAGTTCTTGAAATCCAAATTTTAACAAAAGTTGCCATTTTTAACTCACCAAAATATTTTAAAATAAGTTTGTTCCCTAAAAAGCTGTTAGTATGTTGTCTAAAAACGCAAAACATTGTCAAAAATGCGTACGCCACTTGAGATTCCAAGGACGTCTCCGATCCAAGTACTAATCAAGCGCACCGTTGCTTAACTTGCCAGATCGGACGGGATGGCGTGCGTTCAACGGGCTATGGGCGTACACATTCGTTTCTCTTTCTTTTTCGAAGACAATCAAAGGGAAATGTCTAGTTCTCTCGCAAAGGCCGTTTTTCAACATTTTATTTTTTCTCTGATTTTTAGAAAAGATTACGAAAATATAATTAAACTAAAAGAGAGAGCAAAGCCTTAGGAATTTGTATACAAACATGCGAGAGCACACCTCTCTCCTTGCCAGAGATATACAGAAAAAACGAAAGAGAATGCGCACTCCTATAATAACAAAAGAGACCCCCAGAGTCCCCGAACGCCTCCAAAAACCCTGTCTTTCTCACTCGAAGAACAAATGACAGTTTTATTTAGAGCCGAAAGAGAGACAACATCTTCGGTTTATTAACCCAAGTTTGAGGTTAGCTCATGTTTCGGCTCTGAACTCCCAGTGGCTGATCAACGAGAAATTTTGGAACGCTCTGCTTATTGTGGAGCATATATAAAATGATAAAACATATGTTATGTAATAAAATGAAAAAAAAACGTTACAGAAACACCATTTGCAGTCTGAAATTAAAAATTAATTTTTTGAGTCTAAAGTTATTTTTTTAAGCCTAAAACTTATTTTTAAGCTTATAATTCATTTTCAAAATAAAAATTCAATTTTCATTTGAGCCTAAAATTTATTTTTAAACCTAAGATTAATTTTCCAAGCTAAAATTTCATCTATAAGCTTAACGTTTGCTTTTTAAGCCTAAAGCTTATTTTTAAGCTTATAATTCATTTTCAAAATAAAAATTCAATTTTCTAAACTAAAATTTCTTTTATAAGCGCAATGTTCATTTTCTAAGCCTAAAGTTTACTTATAAGTCTAAAACTTATCTTTAAGCCTAAACTTATTGCCAGACGGAAATTTAATTCCATACTCAAACATAGTGTCTCGTTTTGTCTTATAGCTTTCAGACTTCTCACGTGCTATTCGATTATCAATTTATTATAATCGCTGTAACACCCGCTGACGATAGGCCGAATAACATTTGCCAAGTAAAACCTTAAATTCCCACGTTTTTATATTTTTTTACTTGGTAATGGCCATTCGGTGTTTCTTGGCGGGTTTCCTTTATTTTTATGCACATACGTTAATAAAAAATTTACACAGGTTTCAGCCATCTTTTGTGAAATCTAATGATTAATCTTGTAACCTCGCGGTGGCATGTGCAAGTTTAGTAGGCATTCTTATTTTTGTTTATGGAAAGTGGCACTTTGAAATTTAATTTGAAAAATTAAAATTTGGTTTAAAGTGTAAGCATGGCTTTGCAGGGGGAGTACAATGGAAGGTTAAAAATAGGGCTAGTTTTCAGTTAAGGACAAGGCCTGAGGAGAGGTGAGGCTGGTCTTTATTTTAAGTTAGGGACAAGGCTTGGGTAGAAGAGCCTTCTCATTACATTATAGTAGAGTATGAATACTTAATGTAGGGCTATGGTAAGACGTATGTATGTGGAGATAGGGTTGAGTACAGTAGGCCAAGTAAGGTGAGACAAGGTTAAGATAAGTTAGAGTAGGATAAGACAGGGTAGAGTACGGTAGCGTAGGACTAGAACAAGCTAAGATATAGCAGGGTTAAGTAGGGTAGTGTAGGGTAGGATAGGGTGTGGTAGGGTAGGGTAGGGTAGGGTAGGGTAGGGAAGGGTAAAGTAGGGTAAGATAGGGTAGGGTTACATTGTTTATCCTTAAAAAATTGTAAATTTAAAACTTTTTTCGTAGATTCAAAAATTTTTTAAAAATTTTATTTTCAGGATGACTTCCAAATGCAGATGTCAGCCCCTCCACAGCCGATAGATTCAAATTTCAATCAAACCAACCGCTCACTGGGTGCGACTATCTTGAGTGATCCTTTTGTGACAAAACCAAACTACTACGATCCTATTGAAGATTCGAAACGTTGGGAAAAAGAACAACATCGCCTAGATTTACTGCGACAAATTCAAGAAAACGAGCAGCGAAAGCGGATAGAAAAACAAAAAGAGTGGGAGGAGGACGAACGAGAACGATTACGGTCGGTTTTTGGGTCGATAACTAGAAGTGGCATTTTGAATATTATACTCAAACTCGTTGTAGAGATTCAGGATAGTAGTATCGTTCGTTTTTTAATGTCTTAGATGCTTAAAAATGGCATTTTAAAATATTTTTTGTGCTTTTCGTCGACCAAGTATAACAAAATTTTAAAAAGTTGTACCAAGTGTAACACTAAACTTAAAAACATAATTTATGACATTTTGTATGTCATATGGTATGACGGAACATACTAAAACACAATTTTTTGAATTTTATGATTAGGTTTATGAATAATGGCAAAAAACTGAGATTATAGCAAGTTTGCCGCTTTTTGAAAAATAAATTTTAAAAAATTGTACCAAGTGTACCAGTTGATCTAAAAATGTTATTTTGATATTTTGTGGTACGTTATGGTCTTGTTAATTGATAAAAAATATAAAAGTTTGAATTTTGGTTTTAGGGTTAGAGATATAGGCTTAAAACATAGTCCTACTCTATCAACATTTATGACCATAAAATTGGATTTTTTAACGATTTTTTGAAATTTAGTGTTTACTAACCATATTATCAATAAAAATAAGTAATATTTGTTGCCCGTATTTTACAATTAATACAATATTTTAGTGCCGAACGCACACTTCAACGCCAGCGCGCAGAAATCGACCGTGAACAGGAGGAGGTGAAGCATCGTCAAGCAATGGCCGAGCTGAAGGCTCAACGAGTTGCTTTGGAGGCCGAAACACAACGTTTGCAACGTCGACAACGTTCACCTATTCCAGATACTCGTTCCCGGAATATGCAAAGGGGTATTGAAAACAATAACAATGGGTCTGGCACGCCACCACCTCGACTGGAGTGGTGGGAACGTAACAAAACGTGGCAGGACCGGCAGAAAGAGGCACAGTCGCCGGTTATTCCGGCCTTGCGCGGCAATAACAACAACTATGCGGCTGAGAACGATGGTACTGATAGTCGAGTACGTAGCCGAACTATTCAGGATTCTATTGGTAGTTCTGATGGTACTGGTCTTAGTGGTACTACTAGTAAAAGTGGTCGTAATCGGCGGCCGGACAGCGAAAATCATGGTTTAGCAGATGGTACTAGTCATAGTAATAGTCGTAGTAACCGTACAAGCCATAATGGTACTGATGTTACTAGTGGAGAAACTACAGACAGTAATGGCTACAGTAGTACTCAAAATACAGTATCAAGACGGTCCAATAGCCTAGCTGAAAATAACTTAAGAAGAAGAGAGTACCGTACTCAGAGCAGTACGGAAAGCTCGGTTCTGCCCGAGTCACCGGTACGGAACGGCCGTACAGAGATTTTCCAGAACGTTCAAGCACGGTCAGGCACGGGCAGTCACAGTGCAACAGTGGGAAGATTAAGAACTGGCAGAAGTAGAATTAGCCAAGCCAACTCGATTGATAGCTATACTAGCAATCGGTCTACTAGTACTGAAGTGAGTTTTCGGTACTGATGGTACTGTTTTTGTTTGTTTTTGAGGGTGGAGGAGGGAGGCAAGAAAAGTTTTGTCATTTTATGTTTTGTAAAGAAAGTTCTTGCAATTTTGCGTTTTTTGAAGAAAGTTCTTGCCATTTTGTGTTTTGTAAAGAAAGTTCTTGCCATTTTATTCTAAATTTCTTTATTTTAGGCTTACCTAACCTCCCACTCAGCTAGTAGAATGGGTGAAAGACGTCCCCAACTTCAACGTTCTACGTCTCGCACTTCTCGTCACAGCTACACACCTTCTGTAGCCAGTAGACATTCATCGTTGTCCCAAACTTCAGCTATGAAAGCGTTAGAATCAACTCAAAAGAGGCTTGATGAAGAGTTGAGAGCTATGAGAAATGGTCAATTTGCTCAGTAAAATGAGACCTTGGTCACGATGAATACATGAGACTTGTCATAAATTATGTTGATCAATATTGTACTGTATATTATGTGGTGAAATTACATTGATATTGTCTTTCAATAAACTTATATTATCATTGATAAAGAGTAGTACGGTAAGGGTAGGGTAGGTAGGGTAGGGTAGGGTAGAATAAGGCAGGGCAAAAAACTTTGTTTACAAGCATAAAACACCATGATCTACGTGCTAATGCCACTCTTTTTGTTGACTTTGGAACAAAGACAATGAAATATTCTCCTCCCTTATTTAATTAGACTGGTCCCTAGTCAATTTCCTTGTTTTCTGAGAAAAATCTCTTTATTTCGACTCTTATTCAAATAACTTTTTGATTTTTTGTGAGTCACATACATTAGGTAAACACTTTAGTCAAATGTTGCAGATTTAAGAAGATTGAGATGTACGTGGTAGTACGGTAAGCTTAATATAGGGTTCAGCATTCTTTTGCACGGTAAGGGTAGACTGAAGTACAGTGGTTGTTTATACGGTAAGATTAGAGCAGAGTGCAGTACTAGTCTGTACTAATTTAAATGCAGGAAAGAGTACAATACTTGCTTGTACAGTAAGATTAGAATAGACTTCAGTATTTGTTTGTAGGGTAAGTGCAAAGTAACTTTTAGTATCCGTTTGCAAACTACAGATAGAGTAAAATACGGTATTGTTGGGTAGTTTAAGGTAGGCTACCCTACTCCCTTGTACGGTAAAAATAGAATAGTTTGGAGTACATTGCTTTTTTGTACAGTAAGCATATCTTCGGGTTCAGTATTAGTTTGTAAAGTAACTATAGGGTCAGAGTCGAGCACGAGAGGAGGGGGGAACCAGGGCGGGGCAGGGACTTTTGGTCTGGGGGGGGTCAAAAAGATCTACAGGGGGGACCACGTTCAACTTTTTTTTGAAAATTTTTTTCTGAGGTAGGGTAGAGTAGTAGAGTACATAGTTTCAAAAATTACAACCTATAAAACTAGTTTCAACCCTAAAATACTTTACTTTAATCATATAATTGATCATTTAGTCTCAATGTCAAACTTTTTTCAAATTTATAGCTTTTCAATTTTTGTTCAAATTTTTTAATCAAAATAAATAAAAAACAAATTGCCTTTTACCATATGTTTTGTTGCATGATTAAAAAGCATTGTCATTCCGCACTAATTTCTAAAAATACGGCAATTAGTCAAATAGATTAAATTTTGTTTTGGCAACTTTTGAAACGGAACGCTTCAGGCTTTTTTGACACTTTAAATTGACTTTTTTGCAATTTTTTGTGTTTCAATGCGTTTCCAATAAATTTATTGCGCCGAAAACATGGTTGTTCAGGATGAGTGGGTTTGGAAAGAATACTATATTAGGTTTCGAAGATGGGTGTTCAAAACAAACGTGATGTATATGTATGTATATATTTATATATGTAGGTATACTGGAACTTCAGTATAATGAGAGTCTGTAGAAGACGAGCCTACTTATCCTGGCCCAGCGTAGTTTTTTACAAAGTTGCTTTAGCCTGGCCCGGTCATTTATCATATTGTATAAGTTCTTTAGTTCTTCACTAGGTACGACTGCAAATCAAAACTTTTGTTGCGGGATTTGAGTAGAGATCCTGGGCCTTCATTTACGGTTTTTGAGCAACGGTTTTTGAACCGGCAAAATCAGGTCCGACTTCTTTTAAAATTGCTTTAGCTTGGCCCAGCCCTGGCTTTTTTTGTAAAAACCTAAAAATAGTAGGCCTTTTCCTCAGGGATTTTAAATTTGTTTGTCGTGTAAAGAAGTTTTATTTTAAATAAATGCACGTAGTGTTTAACAAATATAGTATTAAAAGTAAAAATAGTTTTTAAAAATGATAGTTTTTACTATAAGCTTATGGCGAAATTTTTGAGCTCAGATTAGTTTTGCTAAGCCTAGAATTTAATGCTCCATTTAAATTTGTTTCTTTTTGTTAAAAGTTTATTAGAAACTTGAAATTATCACTGCTTTAGCCATAGCCTTAGCTTTTTAAAATTTGAAATTTGCAAAAACTGCACACAACTTTATGATAATATAATATGAATTGTGTGTCGGAACGTGTGATCAGGCCGAAACTGAAGTGTGTGTCATTGAATTCTTTTGGCTTCTGAATTCGACTCAGTCGCCCGAGTGTTTTTGATCTTTTTTTGTTTTCTTGAGTTGATTGTGTAAAGTTTTTTTGCGATTTTGGGGACCTAAAAATAGAAGTTAAAGATCACGTCAGGTCGATTTGTGAAATTTAAATTGTTTTTCGAATTCAGCTTTGGGTTGGGAATCTGGAGAACAATTGGAGAGTGGGTTGTGTTTGTTTATAGGTGACTTTGGTTTTGAGTATTTCGATGATTTTTGGACATTTGGAAAAGTTGTGTTTAGGCCTACGTCTAAGCCTTGAGCTAAGTTTAACCTTAGATATAGTTCAACCTTAAATTAAGCCAAAACTTAAGCTTAAGCTTATGCGTTACGAACGAGCCTAAAATCTATGCTTCAGCTTAAGCCTAAATGTTAGCTTAAATGTATAGCTAAGCTTAAGCCTCAATCCGATCGTGAGTTGAAACCTAAGCTTAAACTTATCCTAAGCCTCAGTTTAAGCCTAAGCCTAACTTTAAATCGGAGCCTAAGTCTAACTCTAAACCTAAGTTTAAGTCCAAGCCTACGCCTAAGCCTGAGGTTGAGTTTAAGCCTAAGCCTAAGCTTAAGCCTAAGCCTAAGCCTAAGCCTAAGCCTAAGCCTAAGCCTAAGCCTAAGCCTAAGCCTAAGCCTAAGCCTAAGTCTAAGCCTAAGCTTAAGCCTAAGCCTAAGCCTAAGCCTAATTTTTTTTGTGCGCGATTTCACATATTTAAATTTTTTTTATTTTTAATCTACTTTGAATTTAGTGCACCAATGTCCGTCCCCACCTACAGTAATATCTGATGTGTCCTAATGCTGAATGGAACCTGTCGCCTGAGTAATGTTGGTGATCTAGAGCCGGCTGTTTTTAAATCCGTGGCTTGTGTCAAGTGCCTACTGTACATTTACTTGGCTCAACCACCGTATAACAGTTTCTATGGCTTTGACGAGTCGAATGTATGTGACAATGGATTCTTATACTGTAACAGTAATGACAAGAACTGTAACTGTGGCAATCGGCGGTTTTTGTTTAATCTACCAGAGTTTTCCTTAAAGTAAGTTAATATATTAGCCTGTTATAGTGTTTTTAGGCCAGTCTACCTTCTAAACCGACTTCACGTATCTCCACCCCTACCTCAAGATGCCATAGCTACAGTAAGAGAATGTTGTCAAGCTGCTGAGAGTTGTTGCCAAAATACTTTGATACACGATGTTCATAATCAAGGTACAGTGATATCCTTGCTATGCTTAGCCTTGTCCCAGAGCCGTAGCCCAGAGCTTTAGCCCAGAGCGCTAGCCCAGAGCCTCAGCCCAGAGCTCTAGCCCAGAGCCCTAGCCCAGAGCCCTAGCCCAGAGCCCTAGCCCAGAGTCCTAGCCCAGAACCCTAGCCCAGAGCTTTAGCCCAGAGCTTTAGCCTAGAGCGCTAGCCCAGAGCCCTAGCCCAGAACCCTAGCCCAGAGCCCTAGCCTGAGAGTCCTAGCCCAGAGCCCTAGCCCAGAACCCTAGCCCAGAGCCCTAGCCTGAGAGTCCTAGCCCAGAGCCCTAGCCCAGAACCCTAGCCCAAAGCCCAAGCCCAGAGCCCTAGCTCGAGAGAAACGGACCAGCCCGGTCCTGAGCAAAATTTCGATCGGGTTGAGCCTGAAAAATGAGCAGGGTCCGGCCCGTTTTCATGTAAAAATATTCGGCCCGGCTTGGCTCGGGCCGGGCCTGCTAAAACTAACATTCAAACCCGGCCCGGTTTTTTTATGGCTAGAGAGCCCTAGCCTGGGAGCCCTAGCCCAGAGTCCTAGCCCAGAGCTCTAGCCCAGAGCCAGAGTTCTAGTCCAGAGCCCTAGCCCCAAACCCTAGCCTAGAGACCTTTATATAAAGTGTTATAGATTCCTGTCCAGCCACCTGGGATGGTTGGCAGTGTTTTCAACGAACAACACCCACATTAGTTACCCACAAGTGCCCCAAGTACATATACGGTTCAGGTCTTGTACATAGTGTTGGTAAGCTTAATTAATGTAAAATACGGCGTATAATATAACAGCGCCTATAAATCAAGATCTTACTGGACCTAAACTAAAGACTAATTCACCTTCTTCTAGACCACGGTGTAAAAAAGTTGTGTGAACCAGACGGTACTTGGAGTACTCGACATGTTGATGATCTCAAAGAATACACTGACTATAGTGGTTGTGTATCTACTGACATTTGGCTGGAACCCATTCTCATTCTAACTGTTGTGGCTTATATTATCAGTATTGTATCTATAATATTCACTATTTCTGTCATATCATCTAATAAGTGAGTTTTTATCAATTTTTGGATTTGTGACATTTTGTTGTCATATTATCGAAATTTTTTCTAAATGAAGTTTGTGTAAAAAAGCATTGTAATATGTGTAAAATACGTTTAAATGAGGTAATTTTGCATATATCTAAAAGTTTTTTGAAAAATCAATAATTTTTGTGACATTTCGTCAAAAATCAATAACTTATGTGACATTTCGTCTTAAAAATTTTTGGTTTTTTTGCATTAATTTTACTAAAAAACTAGTTAAAACAATGTTTTTTTAAAATTTTTTCGACATTTTCAAAACATCAATAATCTTGTGACATTTCGTCAAAAGTCAACAATTTTTGTGACATTTCGGCTAAGTTTTAAAAACTTGTTATAATAGTTTCAAAACTCATTTTAACGTAATATTACTATTTTAGGTACTTGAAAAAGCAGTACGTATTCACAATCCACCGTCATTTATTGGTCTCTTTACTATGCACATCAGTCGCTTATGTTATCAACGCCTTATTATTCATGCCATTCACTCAATATGGCATTGACTTGTATTTTACTAATCATGTGAGTTTTTTATTTTATTTTATTTTATTTTATTTTATTTTATTTTTTTTTTAGTTGAAAACCTACTATTTGTTACCTAATCTTACGACAATAACGTTGCAGATACTGTGTCGTATGTTGTACATTCTCCAGTTTGCCTACTTTCCATTGGCTTCGTTCTGCTGGATGCTGGCCGAAGGAATACATTTGTACTGGCTACTGTTCCGTTCGTTAACGCATGGTAGCACACATATCAAGTACCTACCATATGTCTGTTGGGGACTGCCTGTACTACTAACTGTACTATATGCAGTACCAGCCGAGATCTTTGATAGTGAACAATGTTTGACTGAACCGTCGAGCAACTTTTGGATTAGGATATGGCTGATTGTGCCTCGATTTGTTTGTCTTGGGGTGGGTTTTTAAAATTTTTGAAATTTTTAAATTTTTAAAATTTTTTAAAATTTTTAAAATTTTGAAGTTTTTTGGATTTTTAAAATCCAAATTTTATTTTAATTTACAGCTTGGTAACGAATGCGTATTTTACAAAACATTAAAAATATTTTTGAAAAATAAAAATAAATTAAAAATGACACTTTTCAGGTTAATGTAGTGATCTTATCAGTAACCCTACGCTTGTTATTGCAAAAATTGAAGATGAATACCAATTGCTCAAAGCTGAGGAATTACTTGTAAGTTGCCTTGCCTTGCCTTGCCTTGCCTTGCCTTGCCTTGCCTTGCCTTGCCTTGCCTTGCCTTGCCTTGCCTTGCCTTGCCTTGCCTTGCCTTGCCTTGCCTTGCCTTGCCTTGCCTTACCCATGCCTTATTCAAAATGATTTCAGGAAAGTGATGAGAGCCATGTTGATGTTAGTGCCATTATTTGGAATCCACCTATTTTTGGTGATAATGGAAACCGGTGAAGAATCTGACATTCATGATGTCATCAAAATGGTTGTTAATGGATTTCAGGTAAATTTCAAATTGAAAGAAAAGTCTTATGATCCGTATTTTACAAACATTTTGATGACAATAACGATCAAAACTAACGTATTTTACATTAACAATACTACGTTTCAGGGTTTTATCGTATCCTCTGTAATATGTTACTCAAATCGTATGGTAAGTCAACTGAGTCGACCGTCCACTACTGTGCACATGTAAAACATCACAATCATCAATGTTGCTCACTTATTACTATGTCCTGTAAGAAAGTGTGTGGTAAATGCGCATATGTGGACGCATTGTAACTGTAGTGAATATCTTTGAAACCTAAGCTTAGAAACATAAGCCAAAAAGTCTAAGTTTGCTAAACTTAAGCTTAACTATGCTAAGCTGAAGCCAAAGAATATCTTTGAACCCTACTATTCCTAAGCCTAAGCCTAAGCCTAAGCCTAAGCTTAAGCCTCAGCCTAAGTCTAAGCCTAAGCCTAAGTCTAAGCCTAAGCATATTAGCCTATGTTAGTCTGTGTCAACGTGAACCATGTGTGAATGTAAATGTGTGATAAAAAAGTTCAAAGTACGTCGCCTCTAATTCGAATTACAGAAATTTTTCCGTTCGAAACATCGTTTTGGTTTATTCTCGAGTGGCGTCGTCTCTCACGATCGGCTTCACTCCGACTCCAAATGTGTGCTTCTAGCGCTACAGAAACGGCACGAGTCGCGGAAGAGCACCAATACGACTACTGTTTTGTCATGATATTGTAGTACTGCCTTTAGCTATTTTTGGTATTATAATACTATTTTTTGTTATATAGTACTATGTTTGGCAATGCAGTACTATTTTTGACAATATAGTACTATGATTGATAGTATAGCACTATGTTTGGCACGATGGTACTATGTTTGATAATATAGTACTATATTTGGCTATGTAGTACTATATGTCACATTACAGTACTATGTTGATCATTATGGTACTTTGTTTGAAAATATGGTACTACTTTAGATATTAAAGTACAAAACTTGAGTTCTGGTGCTATAATATTAAGTTTAGTACTATTTTTAATATTATGTAATATAGGATTGTCATTATTTTTTACATTTGTTTTTTCTTTGAAATCTTAATCATATTAACCACCGTTTTAGGTCGTGTTTTCTTGTATTTTTCGATTTTTTGAAGTATATTATAGTACTTTTGATGATTAAAAACAGTTTTTCATGGTCTGAGTTTTTATATGCCTTTATCAAAAATAAAATGGCAAGAACTTTCTTTCCAAAACAAAAAATTAGAAGGATTTTGTTTTCAAAACGTAAAATAACTTTCATCGTATAACTTGTCAAGCGCAGGCTGCGGAGCTCATAATTTTGTTATTTTGGCTTAAAATGGCCAGAACTTTCTTTACAAAACATAACATGGCAAGAACTTTCTTTACAAAACAAAAAACGGCAGGAACTTTCTTTACAAAACACAAATAGCAAAAACTTTATATTCTAAACATAAAGTGGCAAGAACTTTCTTTACAAACTGTACAATGACAAGAACTTTCTTTACAAAACATAAAAGGTCATTCATCGTATAACTTGTCCCTCCCAGACTGCAAAACACCTAATTTTGTTATTTTGTCTTAAAATAGAAAGAACTTTCTTTCCAAAACAACCAATGTGTCTGTGATTTTCCAATCATTTTCAAAAATTTAATTTCAAGTTCACATTCATCGAAGCCGATGACGAAACACGTCGCTGTAAAGAATGTTTTTGTAATCGATGGAATGAAAAGGCTCTTTTCAACCCTTTCACATCACTCTTTTGCGGTGTTTACTACACCTTGTGGTTTATATTCGTCATAACATGTATGTATTTGGGTTGGGCATGGTTTTTTTTGTACTGTAAAGAAAGTTTTTGACATTTTTGCTATTTGTAAAGAAAATTCTTGCCATTTTTTGTTTTGTAAGGAAAGTTTTTGCCATTTTATGTTGTGGAAAGAAAGTTCTTGCCATTTTTTGTTTTGTAAAGAAAGTTTTTGCCGCTTTTTGTTTTGTAAAGAAAGTTCTTGCCATTTTTTGTTTTGTAAAGAAAGTTTTTGCCGCTTTTTGTTTTGTAAAGAAAGTTTTTGCCATTTTTCACCAACACAAAGAGATTTTGGCTTTCGGCAGTCTGCGGGTGACAAGTTATACGCCAAGTGAAATTTTATGTTGTGGAAAGAAAGTTCTTGCCATTTTTAACCTTGTAAAGAAAATTATTGCCATTTTTCTTAAAATCCTTATTCAATGTGACAATTGAAAGCAATACTGTAAAGTTCGTACCCTTAAGTGTTAAAATTTAATTTTATATTACAACGAGAAGGTTAAGCATTTTATACTTTTTATACGTGATTAAAAGAAACTTTTCTGATTGGAAGTAAAACTCTAGAAGATATAAATCACAAAGTTCAAAGCAGAAAAAACTTTGTTTACAAGGCATTAAATACCCAGAAACTTCTTTACAGAATAAAAAATGGCAAGAACTTTATTTACAAAATAAAAAATGGCAAGAACTTTCTTTACAGAATAAAAAATGGCAAGAACTTTCTTTACAAAACAAAAAGCTGTTTTTTAAAAACTTTTTTGTCTAAAAACTTTAAAAATAAAATTTAAATTTAAAAAAATGACAAAATATCTTTAACCTATTAAAGACCGCCACATTTTTACCTTCTAAAACATACCTTGATGTAAAAATATTGAGAAAGAATGGCGTTTACAGTATAGTCATCAACCAACGTTGTTGTACTTTAGTCTTTGGAGTATATTTTGTCGCTATTGCAAAATATTTTAAAAATAAATAAGATTTCATAATATTTGTCACAATTACATTAATTTTATTGTAATTGATGGCCGTGACCGGATTTTTACAACAAAGTGATTTTTAAAGGTCCAATTAGAAAATTGAATTAAAAAGTTGCCTTATAAAATAAAAAATGGCAAGAACTTCCTTTACAAAGCTTAAAATGCCATTCATCGTATAACTTGTCACCCGCAGGCTGCAAAACGTCTAATTTTTTTATATTGGCTTAAAAAAGAAAGAACTTTCTTAACAAAACATAAAATAGCAAAAACTTTCTTTACAAAACCTAAAATGGCAAGAACTTTCTTTACAAAACAAAAAATGGCAAGAACTTTCTTTGCAGAACAAAAAATGATAACAACTTCTTTACAAAACAAAAAACGGCAAAAACTTTCTTTACAAAACCTAAAATGGCAAGAACTTTCTTTACAAAACAAAAAATGGCAAGAACTTTCTTTACAGAACAAAAAATGATAACAACTTCTTTACAAAACAAAAAACGGCAAAAACTTTCTTTACAAATCTGAAGTTTAAACTTTGTACCATAAAACAATATATTCCTCCTCAATGTTCTGACGTATTTTATGTATTATTCATATCTTGATTCAGAACGACTTTGATTATGATTTGTCTCTGTTTTTTGGTCATTTCCAATATGAACTACTGATTCGACTGCGCCATTATTTATGAGAAACACTAAGACATTAATATTAACTTGGAATTCCCACTATCGAGAATTGTTTTACTTTGTTGTGAAAACTCGCTGCTGTGTGTAAGTGTAGTTTTATTGCATGGTTTGGGTTTTATTGATTGTTTCGAATCCAATTTTTAAAATTTTTAAAATATTTTTGCATTTTATACAGTAAAGTAGAAGTGTAGAGTAAAGTACATTATAATAACGGTAGAGTTGAGCAAGTAGGTAGTGTATAGTTAAGTAAAATATACTACATTATGTTTATGATAGAGTAGGGCTGGTAGGTAAGGCATATTCAACTAGAGCATTGAAGGATAAGGAAGGGTAGAAAAAACCCTTCTTTGCCCTTAATCATCTATTCAATGCCTGTCAGAAGCGATAAATAATGTAGGGAATGATAAGAATAAGGTAATACTGTGCCATAGCATAGTGTGGTATGGATATCATACTGTGTGGCAAGGCAAGAATATATTTATAATGCAGTATGATTATGGTAGTTTTGGGGACAGGTTATAAGGACAGGAAAGAGCATTATAAGGCTAAGGCTATGGATAAGACTAGGATTAGGGCACTGTGCTAGGACTCTGAGCTGCTAGCCGGGCCCATTTTGAAAGCTCGGTCCGGCTGAACTTTCTTTACAAAGACCGGGCTTATTTTTCCGACCCGGTCCAAGGCCGGGTTTTTGGACCGGGCCTTGATTTTCAGGCTTGGCACGACCTAATGTTGGGTCAAGGCTAGTCTGTTTTTTTGTACTCTTTCGGCTAGAGCTCCGGGCTAGGGCTCCGGGCTAGGGCTCCGGGCTAGGGCTCCGGGCTAGGGCTCCGGGCTAGGGCTCCGGGCTAGGGCTCCGGGCTAGGGCTCCGGGCTAGGGCTCCGGGCTAGGGCTCCGGGCTAGGGCTCCGGGCTAGGGCTCCGGGCTAGGGCTCCGGGCTAGGGCTCCGGGCTAGGGCTCCGGGCTAGGGCTCCGGGCTAGGGCTCTGGGCTAGGGCTCTGGGCTAGGGCTCTGGGCTACGGCTCTGGGCTAGGGCTCTGGGCTAGGGCTCTGGGCTAGGGCTCTGGGCTAGGGCTCTGGGCTACGGCTCTGGGCTAGGGCTCTGGGCTAGGGCTCCGGGCTAGGGCTCTGGACTAAGCTAGTCAACCTCTGCTGTTATTTAAAAACTTTTTTTTAATTTGTCTGCTATGTTCACCATGTCACGTTTGTTAAAACCGCAAATAAATAATTTTGACAAAACGTCTACCTTTTGTTTTTAAAAAGCTTTACGGTCTTCGGTGACTACGCAGGCTCTTACACGTTTACTTTGAAGGGTTGTTTGGTGTTTTATTCCTTGTAAAGAAAGTTCTTGTATTTTTTTGGTTTGTCAAGTAAGTTCTTGCCATTTTATGTTTAGTAAAAGAAGTTTTTGTATTTTTGTCAAACACTTACAAAATTCCGTATTTTACAAACTTATTAAAGAATACATCACTCCACTGCTTTCTCCTCTCCTCCCCCCCCTCCCTCGCCCCCTCCCCCTACCCATAAACAAATTTAACCTTGTCCCATGCTCAACTGTTTACAATGTATAATAGTAGGAAGCTCACTTTTAATGTGTAACCGCTCAGATAATATCATAACTTGACCCGCCCGACCTTCTTTTCTGATTTATTAAGACGGATCTTATGGTATGTCGTTTTTATTACCATGGTCAGAGGAAGGCTTGTGTTAGCAAGAATATGCACTTGAATTGGGTAGTGTGTTTTGAAAGTTCACTTTAAAGAGGCAAGGTTATGTTGGTCATTTAAGTTATTTATGCTGTAAAGAAAGTTCTTGCCATTTTATGTTTTGTAAAGAAAGTTTTTGCTATTTTTGTTTTGTAAAGAAATTTCTTGTCATTTTTTGTTTTGTAAAGAAAGTTCTTGCCATTTTTTGTTTTGTAAAAAAAAGATATTGCCATTTACTGACTTGTAAACAAAATTCTTGCCAATTTTTGTTCAATAAAAGTACTCATTACCTGATTTCAACCACTTTTCTTAAACCCATCAATATGTTTTGACCTTATTTCATGGTCATAATAAACGTGTTCGACCCGTTGTTGTATTATATTTTCATTATTCATGATGAAAATATTTTCAGAATCCGCCCATTTCGAAAAATGAAGAAAAGGTTTCTTGTTTTTGAGTCGAAAACATTTTTGAACAAGAATTTCCACGTTTTTTTAATTCAGCGAGGTTTAAACGCGTTCATTAACAATATCTTCAACCATTCTTACCTTCACCCTACCCTACCCTATCCTACCCTACCCTACCTTACTCTACCCTGCCTTACCCTACTCTATCTTACTCTACTCTACCTTACTCTACCGCGCCCTGTTCTACCGTGTCTTGTTCTACCGTACTCTGCCTTACCTTATTCTATATACCCTACCTCTACCTTCAAGAATTGACCTCTATTTTGTTTTACCTTATTTTACTTGCCCTATCTTAACTTGCTTAAACCTTACCTTACCCTATCTTGTATTTTTCGAGCTTTAGTTTTGTTGTATCTTCGCTTCACTGTAGCTATTCTGTCGCTACCATAAATCACGTTGCTTTTATTTAGCTATATGTTTACTATTGTTTTTTCTTTTGCGTGCTGAACTATTAATACGACCTCTTCATACCAACAAAGGGCTTGAGCACAGTGTTTTGCCGGACCCGTAAAAGAAAATAGAGCCGGACCGGACCAAAAAAAAAGTTCCGGACCGGTCCGGAAAAAATTTTTTTTTTTTATTTTAATAAAATTGTTCTAAAAATTGCAAATAAAACATATTTTTAAGAGTTTTTAAACGTAAAAAAAGCAGTTTTAGCGCTCCTGGCTCTTTTCAAAAATAAAAAAAAAAATTTCCGGACCGGACCGGATTTGACCTTTTTGGTCCGGACCGGACCGGACCTGAGCAAAAAAAAATAGAGCCGGACCGGACCGGACCGAAAATTTTTCGGACCGGACCGAAAAAATTCTCATCCGGACCGGTCCGGCAAAACACTGCTTGAGCAAGTCTTTAGCTTACAATAATTCGCTTTGCATTCATACTTTTATTTTACTGTAAATCGAGTATTTCCGTGCTATTTTTGAAGTTTTTAAAGCGATTCTGAAGTCATTAAAACAAGATTTTTTTTAGTTAACGCAGACTAAAACCAGCGTATTTTACAAAACCTTGACCAAGCAAAACCCAAAAAAGTGATTATGAATCTGACCGAGAGTGTGAACGATCAGATAGCTGGAACGTTCGAAAACATGGACTTTGGAATGAACTCACGTTCAATACAACAGTTGATATCGGCTTCAATACTTATTCTAGGCATATCTGTTATTGTCGTAAGTTTTTTTTAATTTTGGTTTTTTTTGTTTTTTTTTATCATTAACAATCATAATCTTCGTATTTTACAATTACTACTTTTCAAAAAAGATAAAATCTTCAAAAAATGTGTGTAAATAAAGTTTTTGCAATCTTAAAAAATAATGTGTGTAAACAATATTCTTGCAGTTTAAAAAGCTACAGTAATGACAAAAATAGTTACTGTGTTAAGTTCGAAACCATAAAGTAGATACAAACTCTGAAACTACAACAAGAATAGTAGATTGATTGTAAAACAGAGATCACTTTTCCGATCTAATTGTACATTTGTCTCTCATCCATTTTGATATAGCGCTGTCACTATTAATTAATGAAAAAAATCGCTTTTCAAAGAATTTTTTTTTGAAAATTTGAAATTACATTGAGATCAACTCGAGCCGGTTTTTGTAAAATACGGAACAGTGAATATAATACAGGGAAGAAAAGTGCAGTCGGATACAGTACTGTAGAACAGGAAAATGGTAAGGTAGGGTAGGGTAGGGTAAGGTAGGGTAGGGTAGGGTAGGGTAGGGTAGGGTAGGGTAGGGTAGGGTAGGGTAGGGTAGGGTAGGGTAGGGTAGGGTAGGGTAGGGTAGGGTAGGGTAGGGTAGGGTAGGGTAGGGTAGGGTAGGGTAGGGTAGGGTAGGGTAGGGTAGGGTAGGGTAGGGTAGGGTAGGGTAGGGTAGGGTAGAAGTGTTTTAAAGGCTTGCATAATTTTTTAATTAAACTTTGTTTTGTTACCTAAAAAGGTGTTTACAACTTAATATGCTAACTTAACGTGGCAGTTGTGAGTTGTTCTTTCACCTAATCACCTGACAGTAATTAAAAAATATTTCGTAAAAGGCGTGTGTAATGTTTTAATAGCCGGAAGTTAGCATATTACTCATGAGTTACCGCTGCCTTGAACGTTACTGTAACGGTAAGGTCGGTCAAATTTCAAAATTTTAAAACTTTTTGAAAATTGCAGAAACTTTTTTTACAATTTTGTTTTAAAATTTTTGTGACAGTGTGTTACCGTGTACCAATAATATCATTTCAGACCATTTCTTTCTTCATTTTCCGTTTGTACATGTTGTACTGTAGAAACTACCGTAATACTGTAACCTACCATCTACCGTCACATCAGAATCCGAATAACCGAAACAGAAGAATGAAGAGTGACTCAGATAGCCAACGGCCGTTATATTCGTTTAAAAATGTCTTCAGTGATAGTGAAGAGAACATCATGCATATCTAATACTGTAACATCACTACTTATTACTGTACTGTAATCTTTTCATTTGTACTGTATTTTTGTCATGCAGTAATTTTAATATTTTTAAGACAGTTAAGAAGCCATCATCAATATATCTTCACTGATCTCATATTTATATGGGTATTATAACACTTATATTGTACTACATGCCATACTTCAATATGTATATACATACTATTGTTATTTTTAAAAATTTTGACAATAAATTTTACTTTGTACAAACTACAGTAATATTCAATAGCCTAAGCCCTATTCCAGAGCCCTAGCCCAAAGCCCTAGCACAGAGCCCTAGCCCAAAGCCTAAGCCTAAGCCCTAGCTGAATGCTTTTCCTAACCTTAGCCGTAGTTTTTAGCCCTAGTCTAAGCTGTAATTTTAGTCGTAACCTACAACCCTAGTCCAAAGCTTGCACTATCCTCAGCGCTTGCTCTAGCTCTAGTCTCCACCCCCTAGGCTTAAGTTTAGTTAAGCCAAGCGTAGTCTTCTTGCTTTAACTCGTCCTTGCTCTAATCATAACCTAGTCATAGTACTAGTCTTATCCCTAATCTTAACCTTAGGCTTATCTTCAGTTTATATAAACTTAGTCTTCTTGTTTTAGCCTAATCGTGAAGACTTCTTGGCGTATTTTACATGTATTTTACCCTAATCGTAAGCAATTTTTCTTCTGTTGTATCCTACCTTACTATCTACTACTGTCGTTATCTCTTGCTTTTATCATGCCTAAAGGTAGGAAAGTTCTTTCATATTCTATTCTAATCATATCTTATTCCTATTACCTCTTGCTCCTTTTATAACCGCCCCCTTTTTTTAGATTTTACTTTTATAATATCATACTCTGCTTCTATTGCATTATTATTTTATAGCATACTGTATTTTTACCTTATACTAACTTTTTTTTCTATTTTAAAATTCAAATGTATGATATCTTGTCATTACTCTAAAACAAATCTCATTTCCCGGAGATTTAAGACAGAATGACATTGGATCCAGCAAGTTTAAAGTCGGATTAAACTAAATGAAAGAAAAAAAAGAGGGGGGGGGTTGGAGTGAAAAATGACAAGACTTTCGGCCTCGAATCAATTGATACTTTATGGTGATTTTCTTGAAAAACGGTCAGTTTTTTGCTTCTGGATCTATTTTATTTTGCTTTTATTCTTTTAAAAATCAGCCTTAGTCTTAGCCTTAGCCTTAGTCTTAGTCTTAGCCTTAGCCTAAGTCTTAGCCTTAGCCTTCTAATGGGCCCGGCCCGTTCCTCAATTCTAATCTTTAGTGTTAAGATTTGTCTCAGCCTTTGTTTTAGCTTAATTTTTTTTAAATTTTTAAATTATTTTTTCAAAAAAAAATTTTTAATTTTTAGTTTTAAGCTTAAACTTTGGTTTTCACTGCCATTCTAAACTCACTATACCCCTAAAAACTTATCAAAACAATTTTTTTCTAAAACCTTATAAACTTTAATGCCTAAACCATCGTGCTCGGCTTTTTACCATCAGATTTGACCTTGTGGTACGTTATTGTTTGTCTTATGACGTTCCACGATCAGCTGCTTTCCACTGATTTCAGCTGATTTTTGGGTCTTTTTGCTCTTTGTTTGTTGTTTCTTTTACAAGTTACAGGTTGACTGATAACAAAGTACGTTTTATCATACCTTTGGGCTTACAACACGGTTGTTGATTTTTGAAAAATTTTTTTTAGATATAAAAAAGGCTAGAAAACTGAGTTTTTAGGCGGTTTTCTCGATTTTTGCTATTTTTTCGACTTTTTACCCTTTTTTTGCTACTTTAAAATCTTTTTACTAAACTAATAGACCTAAGGCTAAATGCCAAATCATTTTTAAAACCTTCCCAGACATGTTTAGTATCAATATGACTCATTAAACGATTGTTTTATTTTGAATTCCATTCGTTTCTTTTGCTTTTTATAATGTTCCGTACCAGGATCGAGGGGATCACAGAACTTTGACCTCGACTTAAATGCCCTCCGGCTGTTATGGAATAATCTTTTTTGTGGCCAAATGGTAGTCCAAAATGTCTTGATTTTAGAGAGTAATTTGGGTTGGTCAAGTTGGTGGGTTATTGAATGGTGGGGTAATAAAAATGATGTTTTAAGGAGGGTACGGGTAAGATATTAAGGTAGAGAAAAACGTGGCAGGTAAGATCTGTATATAACATTTATTCATTAAGAGTACAGTAAGATCAGGGCTATAGGGTTAAGCAGGGTACAATAAGGCAGGCCAGGGCTAAGCAAGCCATGGCTTGGCTAAGAAAGGTAAGGCTGGGCCAGACTTGGTTGGACCAAGCTAAACTTGGCTGTGCTGGGCTAGCATGAACATGGCTGGACTGGACTAGGCTTGGCTGGACCAAACTAAACTGAAGTGGACTAAACTGAGCTAGACTGAGCAAAGTAAAGTAGAGCAAGGCAAGGCTGGGCTGGGCTGGGCTGGGCTGGGCTGGGCTGGGCTGGGCTGGGCTGGGCTGAGCTGAGCTGAGCTGGGCTTGGTTGGTTTCATTTGGTCTGGTCTGGTCTGGTCTGGTCTGGTCTGGTCTGGTCTAGTCTGGTCTTTGTCACCGTACCCAAAAACCCCCTAAAAATCGTTTTTAACACCAAAAACCGCCTGCAACCTCCTCTTATCACTTGACCATTTTATCGACCACATAACTCACATTCGTAACCAACTGACCATCTCTTTTGCTAGTGTTTCGGGCCCGGAAACCGAGCTGATTCATTCTGTTTCGAGGCCAAATGTTTTTTCTGCAGCCAGCAATCATTGGCCAGACAAACGTTTTTTGCTTTTCGCACGTAGTTTTGGCTTTGAGGCTGGGCTAAATTTGTGTGAGATTTAATTTGATTTGGCTATGTTATGGTAGGGGCATACATTAACTATGTTTGAGAAGAGATCCAGCTATTTTTTTAATGGGCATGGCAATTACAAGGCTTATAAGAAAGCTTAAAGAGTAGGTATAGGCCTTCGAAGGCCAAGGCAAGGCAAGGCAAGGCAAAACTGTTTAGTCTGGTCTGATCTGGTTTGGTCTTATCTGGTCTGGTCTGGTCTGGCATAGTCTGGTCTGGTCTGGGGTGGTCTGATCTGGTCCGGTCTGGTTTTAACAAAAAAAATTTAATCCAGCATTGTCCACTCCTCTTCCACATAATCTCCAACGAAGTTCGATTGCAGTTCGCAACACCTGCACGAGAGTGCAGACGTCATGTGTCGAAGAGAGTTTTAAAAAAATAGCCTCTGGGGCGAAAGTTCGAATCCGGGCTTTTGGCGGGCGATTGGCTTAGCTTGACTAGGCTAGGCTAGGCTAGGCTAGGCTAGGCTAGGCTAGGCTAGGCTAGGCTAGGCTAGGCTAGGCTGGGCTGGGCTGGGCTGGGCTGGGCTGGGTTGGGCTGGGTTGGGCTGGGTTGGGCTGGGACTAACAAGCCTTCCTTTCAGGTCATTTCTTAGCTAGAACACTATCTTTCTTGCTCTCTTTGAGCCATATCATCTGTCTATTGCTTTACTATTTCTCCCCAAACTATCCGATCACTTAACTGTTCTCTGATTGCCCTCCCGAACCCTTCGCTATCACTATCTCTCATCTCATATTCATGTGTCAATCGTTTTCCTGAAATACCCTCTCTATGATCGGAGCAAGGTCGGGAGGGCGTTGCGACACGGGCTTGCACCGTGGCCACTGGTCCCCGTCGCCGTTTATCAGCGATCGCTGACACTCGGCCCCTTGTTTCGGGGGAAAGCGGGTTGTTGCTGCTTTTTGGCTTCCGGTTTTTGTCGTCGGCGGTGATTTTTTTGGAATGTTATAGGTTTATTTTGTATATATGGTTTTTGGGGGTAGTTGGGAAAAGTTTTGCTATGGTTTTCTTAAGGGGGGGGGGAGAAAGGAGAGAAAGAAAATGTGTTGCCTGTCGTTTTGGGACTCTGTGGTTAAAAGATACTATATACATCAAGTCCAAACTTTAGTCCTACCTCTGACTTTAGCCTTAGAACTAGCCTAAATTCAAGCCTGGACTTGAGCTTAATTCAAAGTTTTATCCTAAGCCTAAACTAAAGTTTTACTTTCAGTCTTAATTTTAGCCTTTGATTTAGCGTCTGCCTTCGCCATAGCTTTAGCCTTAATATTATCCTAGGTCTATTTGGGTACGTCTAAGCTCAAATATACGTCTACGTCTAAGTTTAAGCCTAAGCTTAAGTACGTATCTAAGCCTGAGCTTACGCCTGAACTTGAGGTTGCGCCTAAGCTTAAACCTAAGCCTAAGCCTAATCTTAACACTAAGTCGAAGCCTAAGGGCGAGCCTAAGCTGAAGCCTAAGTTTAACCCTAAGCTTTAGCTTGAACTTGAGCTTGAACCTGGGTCGGACTCTGAGGCTAAGGCACATCCTGAGCCTGAGCTTATTTCTGAACTTGAGGTTGAGGTTGAAGATGAGGCCAAGTTTTAGTCTGAGTTTGAGCTAAAGCTTAAACCTAAGCCTAAGCCTACGCTTTTGTTTCAAACCGAGCTTAAGCTTTAACAGTTCAATCCCTTGATTACATACTATACGGTTTTTTCAACATGTACCTAAACCTACCCTACGTTAACCTCCCATTTTTTTCTTTTTTTTTCCTTTTCTAACTTGAAAATTTTCTACCCAGCACACAATTAAGATTAAGTTTTGAATTTTGTCGCAGTTTAAAATTATGATCCGCCACAATCTTCGCATTCCAATCTGTCGCAACCCCAAAAACTAAATCTGTCGCAATTCCTTCCCAAAACTTTTGCCGCGGTGTGTTTTTGAAGTTCGGTTCGCGTCTTGGAAATCCAGTCTCTAAAAAAATCATCCCGGCTTCTCACTTGCCCTGCGGGTTCAACGCGTTTCGTTGCTCGCTCGTCATTCCCCAACTCAAATCGATTTTTGTCGCTTTTGGTTGGGAGGGGGAGAGAGCGAATTTCGTTTTTCGTAAAATGAAGGGACTGGGCTTTGAATGTCAGGCATTTTTGACATTGATGTGACAATTATAGTTGGAGGTATAGAGAAAGTTTGTTCAACTAACCTTTACTTATAACAATCATGCCATTTTGTAGAATTATGCAAATACTTTTGTTTTTCGTCGTCTTCCTGCAAAGTCGCGTATCTTATCGGTTGTTTGTTTGATTAGGCCAAAAACTGATTCAGATGTGCTTGAGAGCACGATAAACATTGTGTACATGTGTTAATTGATTATTTATCCTACCCTACCCTACCCTACCCTACCCTACCCTACCCTACCTTACCCTACCCTACCCTACTCTACCTTACTGTACCCTACTTTACCCTAACCTAAAGTACCTCACCTCACTTTATGCTACCCTACAGTATTCTGCCCTCCCTTACCCTACAAACTCTTACTTTACTCTACTCTAACTTACCTTACAGTACTCAAAGTTTAAAGTGCACAGCTAACAGTACCTTACTACCTTAGTCTTTGCTTTCTGGGCCCTTCCTTTTTCTGCCGTTCCTACCGTAATTTTTTTACAGGCTTAGTAAGGGCACAATATATAGGTTTCTGAAGTCACGCATTTTTTGAAGCTCATGGGATAGACTTATTTTACGCTCTAAGTCAAGTAAGTTTACCCCCCCCCCTCTTCTTGCCAAAGTTTTTTACGATTGTGCAACCCCTCTAAATTTAAAATTTATTCAAAAGAACGTCTAAAAATAACCGTGAAATCGCGCGAAAACCGGCTAATTAACTGTTTTTCGAGAGGTTAACAGGGGCCGAGCAAAAACAAGCACAGCGTCATTATTGTTTACTCAATCTTCTCCATATCAATTTTAAACATCATAACACGATTCTTTCCACTGTTTTTTGACGTTTGTCCGCGTTCCTATTACTATATTTTGGGCTGGGTGGGTTTTTAAACTGCATTGCTTTAGATTTTAAAATTATGGCGTTAAGAGGGGGGGGGGAGGGGGCTTAGCTAAAATTTTAAGCCTATAAACAACTTAAGCCTAGAAGCTTAAGGCTAGAAGTTTAAGCCTAAAAGCTTAAGCCTAGAAGCCTAAGCTTAGAAGCCTAAGGCTAGAAGTCTAAGCCGAAAAGTTTAAGCCTAAAAGCCGAAGCTTAGAATCCTAAGCCTAGAAGCTTAAGCCTAGAAGCCTAAGCCTACAAGCCTAAGCCTAGAAACCTAAGCCTACAAGCCTAAACTTAGAAGCCCAAATTTACGTCTGCGCCTAAGCCTATACTTAACCCTAAACCTGAGTCTAAGTTCAAACCTAAATCAAAGTTTAAGTCCGAATCTAAGCCTGAAATTACTTTCAAGCCTAAGGCTAAGGCTTGCTGTAAATCTACTTTTTTTGTTAGAATTTTTTCGAAACGTTACTTCAAAACCATAATATTAAGATATCTTGCAAAAACTACAAACTCTGTTACATTCAAGTACATTCTCAGCCTTATTTGAGTACATATTAGTATGTTATCGCGTTTTACTTTGCTTGCACTAACTCTCACGTTCCTTTCTAATCTTTATATTTGCAGTAACTTTACTTGTTTGTGTTTCAAACATCAAGAAAAGTACAATGTTTGGACTTTTTTACTATTATAAGGCTGTTTGTAAAAGTTTTTTGCTTGTTTTGTAGAGGAGGTTTACTGAGTAAGGCTATGATTTTTGCTTTTTTTAACTGTATTTTGATTAGTCGTATTTTACCTTTATTTCATAGTGATTTGGACGTATGTATCTGTTAGTGTTTTAGACAGCATATTCCAGTCTTGAAGACAACCTACCTCAACATTAGGTGCCGACATAAAGAACCCGCCATTTTTTACATTTTTAGTGTTTTAGACAGCATATTCCAGTCTTTAAGACAACAAACCTTAATATTAGGTGCGACATAAAGAACCCTCCATTTTTTACATGAAATTACAAGCAAAATGGGGCGGTTCCTTTATGTCGGCACCTAATATTTTTAATTTTTAAGGTACATACCTTAATATCATCATATAAACATTCTTTTTCAAAAAATCATTTCGTTTTTCCATTGCAATGTATCATAAGTTTGTTCCTTTCAAATTCCCCTTTACAATCGTTTAGTCATCGTGATTGGAAGCGAATTAACGACATGTATATGATGACTACTCGACTTACGAAAACCGAGCGGCTGCCTCCAGACTTTTGTCTTTTTCTCTGCTTCTTTCTCGTTTTTCTTTATATATCTATCTGCCTTTGTGATTTTTTGATTGTTGGATGTAAACCACATTTCTTGTACTGTAAGCTAGGCATACCTTAGTCTAATATTTAGCCTTATCTTAGAGCCATAGCCCAGAGCCCTAGCTCAGCGCCTTAGCCCAGAGCCTTAAACCTAGCTCAGAGCCCTAGCCCAGAGACTTAGTCCAGAGCCCTAGCCCAGAGCCCTAGGCAAGAGCTCTAGCCACAGCCTTAGTTTTAGATCTAGCCCCAGCTTTAGCTTTATCCTTAATCTTGGGTTTTTTTCACGCCCTGTCCGATCATAATATCATATACATACATACCTTTTCTAAAAACTTAATTTTATTACCCTACCCCCTATGACCCACCACCTTGACCACGACACCAGTTGGTTTGGTCAGTGAATAGGAGTTAAAAAATTTATTTTCTAGGCAACCAATAGGGCAGGGGCGGTCTACCTTCAAATTTAAAAAATAGAGCATGTTTTGAAAAACTACCCTACCCTACCCTATTACCTTAACTCTTTTTTTAGCACTAGATTTACCGCCTTCTTATCGCACCCATTCAAACCC